GCCCCAGGACGTCCAGGTCCTCCCGGCCGTACCGGAACGCACAGGTCAGCGTGACGAACACTGGAGAGAACAGAAAGATCAGCAGCTCCAGGACGCTTCCCAGAGGAACCCCGCCAAATTAAAGAGCGCCCGATTCCTCACGTCCAACGCCACACAACCAACTCTCAGTGGCCTCACCTTTCCTCTCCTTCAGGTATTCTGGGTCAATTAACACAACACCATCTGCAGGAAGACATACAGTGAACAGAGAAGCCTGATGGTGGACAGGCGTCCTCTCACAGCCTGAACTAAAACCTCTCACCGACGGGCTCCACCAGGTCCACATGGTCCACAAAGTCTCTCTTCCCCAGGTAGACGGTGAGCTGGAGGAGAAACAAAACCTTCAGCTCAGAAAGCATCCTGATATGAAAACATAAAACTGAAATTCATGTGCTCAGCAGATAAAATGTATGATACATTATGATTTGGTATAATCATAATGTATATGCTACGCTATGGTACTTTATGCTATGGTTAGCCATGCTACGCTATGGTACTTTATGCTATGGTTAGCCATGCTACGCTATGGTACTTTATGCTATGGTTAGCCGTGCTACGCTATGGTACTTTATGCTATGGTTAGCCATGCTACGCTATGGTACTTTATGCTATGGTTAGCCATGCTACGCTATGGTACTTTATGCTATGGTTAGCCATGCTACGCTATGGTACTTTATGCTATAGTTAGCCGTGCTACTCTATGGTACTTTATGCTATAGTTAGCCGTGCTACGCTATGGTGCTATGCTTCTACGGGCCCCTCTTTCACATGCTGGCTGCTCTGTCTCAATAGCAACAGAACTCATTTAGCAGGTTGTGCGTTTAAATTCAGTGGCTGTGCCGTTAAGCAAGGCATTTCAGTCCAGGTTTCCTGCTAATCTGCTCATCAGTGTGAGTGCAAACCGGGAGACTAAAAAAAGTTTAATCCCATATAAGCAGCCGAGTGGAAACGTTTTCAGTCTGATGATGATGATGATGAAGACGCTCTGGTGCCAAACAAGGTGAAAATCTTAAATCTCCTTTAAGCACAACAACAGTCAACATGTTCTTCTGTTTTAAGTTCAGTAAAATCCACATAAAACTGAATTATAATCTGTAATCTGTTTCAATCTGGTTGGCAGCAGAGAAACCGAGGATGAATCATGGATGAGGTCACACCGACGACAACGCAGCACAAAAACTACGTCTGGCTGCATGAAGGGAAACATTTGAACTAAACCAAAAACATTTTATATTTGAAAAATGTTTCAGTTTTCAAATATTAATATTCATAGAAAATGAGAATACGATTGAATCTTATTGGACGTCTCAGCACCAAACGGTGCCGCCCACATTCTAATGCCACCCTGGGCTTCTGCCCAGTCGGCCCAGTTCAACCACCAGAACCTTCAGTTCATTTAGTTCAGTGTTAATAGAGCGTAATATATTTAATTCTTTGGTGCCTGCAGAATGCGCTGCCCTGAAATAAAATGGAGGAGGATTTTCTGAAAGGCTGAGACTCACCTTCCCGTTAGGACTGGCCTTCTTAAACACTCTGCAACCAGACAAACAGACGGAAACGGGTCAGGAACAGAATAAAGCTGCTTGTTCAGTTCACATCCTCTAATTAAATCATAACATGATTTACAGCTTCCTGCAGCGACAAATTCCAAAATTACAAAGAACAAAAAATATTTGGTAATAATCCGCCTCCAGCAAACATCTTTTTTAGCTGAATTGATTAAATAAACGATCCATAAAGTGAAGCTAATATTCCTGACAGTCGGAGCCAGCAGGGCCCTAAAAGCTGCTGCTGCGGCCCTGCAGAGTTTAAACCCATCTGGGCCTCCTGCTGCCCAACCCCGCCCCACAGTGCCCGCCCTGCCCCGCCCCGCCCCGCCCCGCCCTGCCCTGCCCCGCCCTGCCCCGCCCTGCCCTGGCTCGCCCCACAGTGCCCGCCCCACAGTGCCCGCCCTGCCCTGCCCCGCCCCACAGTGCCCGCCCTGCCCCGCCCCGCCCCGCCCCGCCCCGCCCTGCCCCGCCCCGCCCCCTCCTGCCCCGCCCTGCCCCGCCCCGCCCCGCCCTGCCCCGCCCCACAGTGCCCGCCCTGCCCCGCCCCGCCCCGCCCCGCCCTGCCCTGCCCCGCCCCACAGTGCCCTGCCCTGCCCCGCCCTGCCCCGCCCCGCCCTGCCCTGGCTCGCCCCACAGTGCCCGCCCTGCCCCGCCCCACAGAACCAGACCAACCGTCTCTGTCTCGGTTATTCGGCTTCCTCAGGTTTTAACCTGCAGCTGTTTTCCATCTGCTGCAGTTCCATCAGCTCAGTCATGAGTTTCTGTGTTCAGACTCTATTCATCTGATCGATCAGGACGCCCAGCACTGAGGGAACACTAACCGCCGGGTCGATGGCTGACGTTTGTGTCGGCCTGAATGGATCCTGAAGGCTCCCTGGACGCTGCAGAGTCGCATCGGCTCGTTTACGGCTGGTTAATAAACGACGGATTCATTTACACGTCAACGACGCTGAAGCTCAGAGAAACATATTTCTATTTTCTCGTCTGTTCAGCACGAGAACTTTACCGAACCGGATCAGAACCGGATCAGAACCGGGATCAAACGTTAAAGTTTGAAGATTGTTTACAGATTCTGTAAATCATGTTTCATTTCATGTTTTCAGTTTTATTTCCATGTGGACGTTTCTCACATCTAGTTAAAATATTTCCTTTCCTTTGGACAGAAATTTCTCTTTTAACTTATTCAAACTGTAACAAAAACTTTTTGGTCCTGAATGTTCAGCTCCAATAAACCGATGATTCGAACATCATAATCCAAGATTATGATGGATTATTTCAATGTTTTTAACTCCTTCAGCTCAGTTTGGTTGATTTATGAGCAACTAAGAAAAGAATTGGAGTTAAATTACAAAGTTTGATGATTTATTTATCATTTTTTCTATTTAAAACATGAAATAGAAATTTAAATGGAAAATATTTCTATTTAAATGTTTTCCATGTTAGTTTGACTTTTTGGACAATTGTTCCCTCTGGTTTTAGATAGCAACAAGGCTAAACGTTAGCATCTGAGAAGGTCAAATAATGCCTGAACTTTGACCCCAAATTCCAGAGGAGTTGAAAAGGCTTCAGGATGCAGAAAGAGTAACTTCCAACCATCTCTTCCATCCATTAGAACAGAAACGTTGGTATCCCCAACTCCAGCATCCCCAACTCCAGCATCTCCCCAACTCCAGCATCTCCCCAACTCCAGCATCCCCTACTCCAGCATCTCCCCAACTCCAGCATCTCCCCAACTCCAGCATCCCCAACTCCAGCATCTCCCCAAACAGAGACAGACTGAAAGAGGAGCAGCAAAACCAAAGGAGGTCTGTTAGCAGTGATAGCGTCATCCAGGTTACTGTGGGATATATCACTTCTGCTGTCTGAATGTTGAGCCGTTAGCATGATGCTACGAGCATTGTGCTAACAGCATCATGCTAACAGCTAGCCTGTGATAATTAATAGTTTTGTTGGAGGATAAATTGTCTCTGCAGTTTTTGTGATAAATAAAAATGTTCTTTTGAAACAGTTTTTAAGTAAAATGTTGATGATCCAAGTTTTGATCTCAAAGAAAAATAAACTGTAAATTTGAAAAGATCAAATCAGGAAATTCATTTAAATTTCCAAAATAAAACAAAACAAGACCAAAAACATGAACAGCACAACCAAAACTAAATGGATTACAAATATTGTTATAAATTGATTTATTGTAAACGGTGAAGCCACAGTGTCTTCAGTCAGAAGCTTCTTGAGGTTTGCTGCAAGACTGACTGCTACTGGAGATGCTTCCTGCTCACACAACTTTAAAGATAAAATTATTTATGATATTTAAACTGATGATCTGTTTCCGCTGGCGGCCTGACAAACTCAGGTTTGCTGCAGTCAGTGCTGCAGCACCGACTGCAGCACTGACTGCAGCATCGACCGACTGCAGCTCTGACTGCATCACCGACTGCAGCACTGACTGCAGCATCGACCAACTGCAGCACTGACTGCATCACTGAGTTCTGAGCCAAAAACAGGAGGAAAAAGCTGCAGGACAAAAACGAGGAAATAACCCAGATCCTCTCAGCATCTGATAATCATTGATTCAACGTTTCATGACAAACTATGATGATGACAATGTGACCATCAGCTGCAGATTTCTGCTTCATTCACTGGTCTAAAGATGCAGAGACCAGCAGCATGCTGGGATCTCACCAGTGACACCAGTAGATCTGATTCTCTGCTGAAGTTTGGATTAAAGCAGCTTGTTGTGATGATGGCGGAGCCGCATCACTCTGAGCTGCTCTGTATGTCGGGACCGTCGCTCCGAGCTCATTAAGATTCTCCTGACACGACCGGCTCAGATCATCGAGGCCGAGAACACAGAGACACGGAGAGACACGGAGAGACACGGAGAGACATGGAGAGACACAGAGACACGGAGAGACACGGAGAGAGACGGAGAGACACAGAGAGACACGGAGAGAGACGGAGAGACAGAGAGAGACACAGAGACATGGAGAGACACGGAGAGAGACGGAGAGACACAGAGAGACAGAGAGACGGAGAGACACAGAGACACGGAGAGACACAGAGAGACATGGAGAGACACGGAGAGACACAGACATGGAGAGACACGGAGAGACACAGAGAGACATGGAGAGACACAGAGACACGGAGAGACACGGAGAGACACGGAGAGACATGGAGAGACATGGAGAGACATGGAGAGACACGGAGAGACATGGAGAGACATGGAGAGACACGTAACCCAACAGGGCCTGCAGAAACACACTGAAACCCAGAGACACTGAAACCCAGAGACACACGTCAAAACATCCATAAACCCACTGAGCTCATGGATCCTCCCATGAGACTCAGAGAACCAGTAGAGTTCTGGACCAGACTCGGACCTGGACGGTTGGGTCTGAAACCCAGCAGAACCCAGATTATGTCAACATGATGATGTCACACAGCTGCTGCAGATCCGTGATGCAAATGAGGCCCGGTTGGTGCTGATGGGTCCCACAGTGAGGCAGGAACCGCACCAGAACCACCGTGATTCCGGCAGGAGAGCAGAGGAAGAGGAAACCGGAGCAGAAACGACCTGAAGGTGAAACAAACAGGACTTCAAAGTAAGAGCTCAGGCTGGACCAGAACTCCATGTCTGAAGAACCATTTGGTATTTTAAAGCCGTTTCCTCGTCCTTCAGGTTGCAGAGCGAACATGCGGCGTTCTGACATGGGGCAGGAAGCAGAGCATCAATTATTGATCCAGCATCGCTGACATGATGACGGGAAACCAGCAGCGTCATGGAGACGGTGGAGGAGCGGGCGGGTTCTCCTTTTCCGGATCCTCGGAGCGAATCCCAAACACCTTTCAGTGAAACGGATCAAACTGTCCAGATTCAGTGATGATGAGGGGCTGAAAGTCCTTCATCGGCTCGTTCTCCCTGATTCTTCACTGCGGCCCGGTTCTCCATCCTCCTCTGGCCCAATGCAGCCGGACTTCAGCGTCTCAGTCTGTCTGGACCGTTCAGCTCCTCAGCTTCCTGTCAGGAAACTCTCTCCATGGTCCAGGAGTTCCTCAAGGCGTCGTCTTCAGACCACAACTGCTTACCGGTCAAATGATCCAAACGCCTTCAATTATTCCTAATTTTCTTCTTATCTTTATGAAACTACATGTTCCCACCCATTTAGTTCCCAACACACCAACTCTATGCTCGACTTTCTGCTGAGAGTTCAGGAAACTAACGCAGACAGCAACACCGCTGCATTTATATTAAAAACAAATATTTAGAAAATCTGAGCCCAGGATGCAGTTGTTCTGCCGACCAGCTGGTGGCGCTGTGTCAGAACAAAAACAGAGAACAAGGTTTGATTATCTGCGTTTCATCTCTGACTCAAACAAACAAACATGGCGCCGTTCTGCGCTGTGGCTGCGATACGGCGCCACCGCCTGGCCTGGAAGACCAACTGCTTGGGTTTCAGAGCTTCTGGTTCAGAAATGATCATTTCAATAAACTGATAATGGATTCTGCGTGTCGCCCGATTCCCTTCCTGGTTTTACTTCCTCTTACTTCCTTCCTCTTCCTCTGCTTCACCTTTTCATTCTGCTGTCAAACCGGAGTTTTCCTCTCCACCGTCGCCCCCTGCTGGCAGGAGGACTGACTGACTGTTGACTCATTAATTTGAAAATGTTTTAAAATGAAACGATGCAACAGAAACAAACTGAATACAATAAGCATCTCTGCAGCAGCTGCAGCTTTAGCATGGAGCTAACATCATGAATAAAAACTCATCTGCATAGAAACTGACTTTCTTGCAGTTTGTCGTCATGTAGGAGGAAATGACGTCATAAACAAACAGAGTCCTGAGGAAACTCAGAGTTTTAAACTAATATTTATATTTAACAGCTTCATTCACTGACGTCACTTTTTATAAGTTTTCTTAAGACGTTTCAGAAGTAAACCGAACCGAGCCGAGCCGAACCGAGCCGTGCTGTGAGTCAGCTGGAAGGAAAACGTCCAGAACTCCACCGGAACCGAACCTGCATCCTGACAGCTGGGTCAGAGGAAGAACCGAACCGGTTCGGGTTCTGAGGCTGTTAAAGGTTTGGATCGGGACCAGAAACAAGCAGGGAATTGTTCTGGAGTTAAATGGACCTCCAGAACTCAGAGGAATCGAACCTGCAACCTGCTGATGCAGCTCTGCCTCGGACCGGACCGGGTCGGACCGGAACTTTGGTTTTCTGTCCAGTTTCTACTGATTTGACTTGAATCTCAAAGTTTCGGGTTGTCAGAACCTGCAGAACCTCCAGAACCTCCAGAACCTCCAGAACCTCCAGAACCTGATCCAGTCAAAACAGAGCATCGGTTCTGTTCCGGCACCGCGTGCGCTCATGCATTCAGAGTTAAAGGTCCGGCAGTGACACAGCAGCCGAACCGAACCGAACCGAACCGAGCCGAACCCGTCCTTCAGCTTCCCGTCTCACCGCCAGAATTAGACGCAGAAATCAGGGAAATATCACGCAGACGTCACTGTCCTGCAGGTTCCGACCCGTTACGTAACAGCGCGAGCCCGAACAGAACCGGAGCAGAACCGACCCAGAGAAACGGAACAAATCCCACCTGGTTCCTTTATCACCCATCCTGACGACACCGACGAGCCGACGGAACCGGGCAGCGAGCGATGGGCGAGGAAGAGGAGCAGAGGAGGAAGAGGAGGGAGGAAGAGGAGGGAGGGGGAGGCGATGCCGTCACCGTGGAAACAGAGGGGGACGTCTGACCGGAAACCGCCGTCAGAAAAGAGACGATGCTGCTCTTCCTCCTCCTCTTCCTCCTCCTCTTCCTCCTCGTCTTCCTCCTCCTCCTCCTCTTCCCCCTCCTCCTTTTCTTCTTCCTCTTCCTCCTCCTCCTCTTCCTCTTTCTCCTCCTCCTCTTCCTCTTCCTCCTCCTCCTCTTCCTCCTCCTCCTCTTCTTCTTCCTCCTCCTCCTCCTCTTCCTCCTAATTCTCCTCCTCCACTTCCTCCTAATTCTCTTCCTCTTCCTCCTCCTCCTCTTCCTCCTAATTCTCCTCCTCTTCCTCTGTAAAGTTTGTTTCCTCTTCTATGTTTTTATAGTTTGAATCTGTTTCCATTTCTTTGACTCTGAAATATTACATGAATAATATTTTATTATTTTCATTTGCATTAAACCAAACATGCAGATTTGATTTCAGATTCATCCGCAGTTTGTGAAAAACAATCGTTTTTAAAATTTGTTGCGTTTGGATGATTTTCATAACCAAACTGGTTTCTAACAATAAAAGCGACAGAAACGGTAAATTAAGGCCTGCGGGTCAAAGGTCATCATGTGGAGGCAGCAGCTGGTCCCTCATTAACATGTCGGTGTGAATCAGCCTGCAGGCCTCATCATCATCATCATCATCATCATCATCACCTGCTGCCAGTTTGTCCCGAAACAGAAACCAGTTCAGATTCATTCAAATCATTTTTCATTTTGACTGGAAGGAAAAACAGAATCACAGCTCGAGGAACGACGCCCTGATCAGAGCGAGGACGAGATTTTCATCTAGAAAAAGATTCAAAATGAAAAAAAACTGGTCATATTTCAGCTTAAACAGTTTTAATTTTATTTGAAGAATGTATATAAATTATTAGCTAAAAAACAAAATGATTATTTTATGAGTTTGTCTGGAAAATGTTTTAGAAAAACTCTGGATTTTAATTATGCTTTAAAAATCAAACAAATTGATGGTATAATAATCTCACTTTTTTCAGTAGGTTTTGTTTTTGGACTTTAAGCAGAATTTATTTTTCAGCGTTGTGTTTTTTTCTTCGACTAGTTTTAAACGATGAAGAGGAAGAGGAGAACCGGAAACACAAAAAAAGGAAAATCCACAAACAGCAGCAGACAGAAAACAGGAAGTCAGAACTTTTATTTCTACCAAGTCAAGCTTGGAAAAGCAAAAGTTAAATCTTCTTCCTTCTGGAGATGCGTCTCTGCTGAGGATCCAGGCGGTTTGCTGCTGGGCTCCCTCTGGTGGCCTGGAGGAGTTTTGTGTTTTTTGCCATTTGCTGCATTTTTACACCATAAAACGGCGTTACTGACCAATGAAGAGGAAGATTTGTTCATGTCTTGACAGAAAAAGCTTCTTGGTGATAAACATGCGGCTCCTGGAAGCGAACGGTGCCGTTAGCTGCTGCTGCTCCGGTCCGTTTGGGTTACTTTGAGATGGATCCATCAGGTATCAAACACGGTGGGTTTGGACCCAGATGAGGCGTTTCAATGTTTTAAACTTCCTGGTAATAAGTTCTGATCAGTCGGTCAAAGCTTTTGGTCCAACGGAGAATGGAAAGAAGAACCAGATCAGAAACAATCTGAGGGTTAAATTCCGGATTTATTTGTCTATTTCAGAGAAACTTTCACCTTTCAGGACTCATTAAGTTGAAAACAGCTTGCCATACAGTCCCAGTTAATTAGCTGTATAAATAAATGAAGGATAAAACCAGATGATCCAAAATGTTCCCTTAAAACCAGAACAGAACCGAACAAAAGGCAGAGCAGCAAGAACACAAATATTTCACATCATCTTCCCTTTTCAACCAAACATCACAAGAACAGAACCATCAGCAGAGTGGACAGAACCAGAACCGGAACCAGAGACGTTTAATCTGAGAGTCCAGACCGGATGAAGAACCAGTTCTGATCTCCACAGCCGGTTCTGATCCAGTTTAATAAACACAAATAATGTAACCGAACAGAACCGGGTCCAGAACAGAACCTTTTAACCCTCCTGTTCTGTTGGTTTCTGAGGTTCAGCAATAACTTGTTTAATCATACAAAACATTTTGTATCTGATTATTAACTCCAATATCAATCATTTCAATCAATATTTGTGCAATGATGATTTTTTACTTCTCACAGATTAAAGATCAATGATGATCAACGACTTATTTACTCATTTAGACATAAAAAATGGAATTTGGGCCAATTAAGACGAATAGAAAAAGTTTGATGCAAAATATATTTAACATGTTTTTAAACTTTAAAACGGGTCAATTTGACCATGAGGGTTAAGTTTTCCTTCACAGACCTGGTTCTGTAGAACCGACCCGATCCAAGCCAAGGTTGGTATCCGGATATGAACCAGATCCAGAACCTGTTCTGCAGCACCGGCAGAACCAATCAGCTTTGAGTTGAAGCTTCATGAAACCCAAACCAGGTCCAGTTCTGCTCCGATCCGAAGGTTCTGGTACGATTCAGAGTAAAACAACCAGCAGAACCGGTTTCAGCCACCAGGGGGAGCTGAACGCAGTGCCCTCTGCTGGCAGGAGGCCGCAACTGCACAACTCAAAATTATTTTGTAAAAGAAAAAGCTATTTAGTTTTAAAAGCCAGCAGCAGGGGGCGCTGCAGGCTCCAGTAAGTTAAAGGTTCATCGGCTGAATTTAGACGCAGTAAACACAAAGACGAACGGTGTAAAATGGAAATTACAGGATGCAGCGGCGCCGAATAACCTGATGTAACATGTCTGCCTGGCCACTGGGAGGCGCCGTAGCGCTGCCACAAAGACATGGAAGCAGCAAACGGCGCCATGTTTGTTTGTGACGTGGGGGAGGCGGTCAGCTCCGTTAATTCTGACGTCATCCTGCAGAATTTATTATTTCCCCAACATTGGAGTCGTTTTAATCAACACAATGTTTCTTTTCTTATGTCTTCGCTCAGCAAAAACAATTTAAAACTAATTAAATCTGTATTTTCCTTATTTATAATTAAACATGATTAAAACAGCTGAGATAAATTGTTCTCATTTCCACGAAAGGAGCTTTGATCTCATTAAACCCACAGATAGTTTTGTCTTTTATCTTCTATAAATGAAACTGCAGGACTCATCCTGAGACTCAGAGCTTCTTGCTTAGCAGCGCCATCCAGTGTTTGTGAATACAAACTGCAGTCAAAGTCCAGGACAGTTGGCAGCTAAAATCACCTTTGAGTCAAAAACAACGGTTTCTGGAAGCGACGGATCCGGGCCTGATCCGGTTCTTGCAGCTGGAATTAATCAGAATTTGCTCCTCGTCGTCTCCAGCTGGTGAGTCGGTCTGACCGTGTCGTAACCCGGTCCGATCTCAGGAGAACCACATGGTACCCGCCTGCAGCTCTGGCTGTCAATCAGATTCCTTCAGAGCAAACTGTGACCCTGTGACCCTGAACGCCGGCTGATGCGCCGACATTTTTATCCCTTAAAGAACCAGTTCAATCCGGAGGAACTTTTAGTTCCTCTGAAGGTTCTGTTCGTAAAGTGCTGCAGAAGACGAAACATTCTTCTGCCAGATTTCCACTCATCTTCAAGTTTGAACAGTTCGAGGAGGGCCAGGTGTGAACATCTGTCCAGTGAAGGTTCCTGATGTCCGTCTGACCCGCTGGCTTCTGACCAATCAACACGTTCTGTCAATGTCAGTAAAACCTGCTGGGAGTTTAACGGTTTCCATGTTTAAAAAGCTGAAGGTTAGTAAAGATCAACGATCTCTTGTCAATCTGTTACTGCACCAAACGTCTGTTAGAAAATATTTTAAAAATCCAAACTTCCCTTTTTCTGTGAATCATTTCAGGGAATGTTTACGGAACGAACCGTCGTCACGCCGGGATCTGCTGCTGGATCTGCTGCTGGATCTGCTGCTGGATCTGCTGCTGGATCTGCTGCTTCATCTCCACAGGAAGTCCCTTCTGATCGGCGGGTCAGAGGTCAGACGTCGCTCCAGAGGACGGCCCGGCGGCTCCGGTCCACGCTGACGAAGTGTTCCCCGGACAGAGACCAGGACACGGCGGAGACGGACGAGCTGCAGGACAAACTGAGGCTGAATTACCTGAAGACAAACATTTAACCTCCCAGCTAAATATTCAGTTAGCAAACACAGTTAGCTTCAAGCTAACTGTTGCTAATGACATATTTAGATCCATTGCGCTGCTCTGAATTCTCCATGGCAACCATCATGTTCTGGACCAGGCAGAGCAGAACCCGACCTGATGACGTCATCAGTCAGCTGCTCACCTGTGGCGGTCGGGGAGGCGGGCCTCCAGGCCCCCCGTGGAGACGTTCCAGATGTAAACGGCCCCGTCGGCGGATCCGGCCGCCAGGTAGCATCCGTCTGGGCTGCGGAGGCCAAACATGACGGTCAGAACCAGCAGAACCAGCAGAACCAGCAGGACCAGCAGGAGCTGGACTTTCACTGGGTTCAGCTGCTGTTGTCATGGAAACAGCGGAAAAAACAGACCGTTTGGTTCCGTCCAACTAAAGCCTGACGATACTCTGGTACCGTTTCAGGCCCAGGTCGGTACCGGTCCAGCAGACTGACCTGATGACCGCCTTGGTGCTGTCGCCGCCGCATTTGAAGCCGTCGGCTCTGAAACAGACAAACTGCGTCACCAACAGGAAGCCGGCCCAACAGAACCTCGGAGCAGAACCGGGCCGCCTCTACCTGAAGCACATCCGGTCGTTGGTCCAGCGCAGGTCCAGCAGCTGGAGGCCGTCGTCACGGCAACAGCTGAGCAGCTGGCGCCGGTCAGAGCTCAGGTCCAGAGAGGTCACTCTGCCCTGAGAGGGCAGCTCCTGAACGCAGCTCACCGCCCTGCCGAGCAGAACCGGGTCAGAACCGAAACCGGGTCAGAACCGGACCACACCATTCAGCCACGCTAAAGCTAAACCACTAAACAAAAACAGCCGAGTATAAAACGCTAAACTGCTCCACACAGAAACTAATTAGCAGAAGCTAATGCTAACTATTAACATGGCCGTCTCATGAAATGGTTGAACAAAGTCAAAAACACGTAAAGCGACAAAAGTTCATCCATGAAAATCTGTAACATGTGATGACCAGACGGCGGCCATGTTGGAAACGGTTCATATGAAGTGAGGAAGCGGAACCTGCTGTCCCAGACTCTGATCTTGGAGTCAAAATGTCCGCTGATGATGCTGCTGTCAGAACAGACCAGGTCGCTGCAGAACGACGCCACCTCCCCCTGCTGGACACCTGCAGGCACAGCGCCGCCTTAAACACTCAGGTATACCTGCAGCAGCTCGGCCAATCAGAGGACGGAACAGACGGTCACTCACAGGCGGCTCTGTTCAGGTCCCAGAGCCGGACGGTGCGGTCGGTACTTCCTGTCACCACCTGGTGGGGGACGCAGGTGAACCTGGCCGCCGTCACCTTCCTGCTGTGACCCGTCAGAGTCACCTGACCCACAAACACAACGTTTGAGTTTCCACCCTGACCGGCCACTGCGGTTCATTTTGGTAGGTTACCTTGGGGACGGAGTCGTCCAGGCGCCACAGCAGGGCGGACTTGTTGTGCGACGCCGCCAGGATCCTGCGGCCCTGCGGACACAAACAGGCGTCAGCGGCGACCCCGGCGGCGCCAGGCGACCTCCAGGCGACCCCGGCGGCGCCAGGCGACCTCCAGGCGACCCCGGCGGCGCCAGGCGACCTCCAGGCGACCCCGGCGGCGCCAGGCGACCTCCAGGCGACCCCAGCGGCGCCAGGCGACCTCCAGGCGACCTCGGTCGAGGCGTCCGCTCACCATGTGGTCGAACTCCACACAGGTGATCCCCTCCGTGCTTCCGTCCAGCGTGGCTCTGTGGGTCAGGGAACCTGGTGACATCATCAACGAGGTCACAACCACAGGAAACAGGAAACAGACCTGAGTCTGACACAACCGGAGCCAGCTGACCTGCTTGGACGTCCCACAGCTTGATGACCCGGTCCGACCCGCCGGTGGCCAGCAGGTCCGAGCTGAAGCTGAACCGCACCGCGTTGATGCCTTGCTCATGGGCTTCCTATGGAGGACCCTGCTGTTACTATGGCTACAGAGATGGACCCAACCAGGTCCGGCCAGAGAGCTTCTGGTTAAGTATTGGTAAGAAAATATCACTGCTTCCTGCAGTTCCTCCTTTCACCACCAGATGGAGACAAATGTCAGGTTCAGATTCTGCTGCTTCCTTGAACTTGATGCTGAAACATTAAATATCAGCCATTTTAACCTGATCGATGTAAATGTCTGCAGGACAATAACGGATTTTCCTAAAAATTGGAAAATTTGTTTTTGGCTTTAATTTTTTCTTTCGTGGGATGAAAGTTTGAGATTTAACTGTAAAAACAATATTTGTGTTTTACTGTTCACAGCTGAATTCAGAGCAGTTCACAGTCCACTCAGGGACGATGTTAATAAGCTGAGATGATGACTGTGAGGTCAGAGTTCACTCGTTTTAAGAGACACTTCTGTTTATTTATTCTGTCCTGAAATGTCCAGCTTTAAAAAGACGCCTTGTCTTCAGCTGTCTGCAGACTGACGGTTCCTTCATTTCTCACTTCGATGAGCGAGTTCAGCCTGGAATGCTTTACGTTTTAGTTTCTGACCAACTGATGGGTTTGGAGTCACTTACAGATGAATCCCATTGATGATCTGCACTGAAAAACTAAATATTACCAAGTTTCCACTACAAATACCTCAGTTGAAACAAGACAAAACCAATTTACAAGTAGCTTTCTCACCAGATATAGAATCTTGTTCTAAGTAAATAATGACCCTAATTCTGATTTTAAACAATATTTTTTCCACTGGCAAATTATTTAACTTGAAACAACAATCTTGGGAAATTATTGACCAAAAACAGTTTTGTTTCAGTTGCACTAGAAACCAGACCAAAAATACTTGGTAAATCTTTGTTTTCAGGCTTCAGAGGTCCTGCAGCAGATTATTTATGTAACTTTAGTCTGACAGGAGAGATTATGAGATTAAAAATAAAATGATCTGAAATCAGGGTTTGGTGCTGAACTCAACTGGAAACATCTCCAGAAATATTCAGGCCGACAGTAAAGCCAGAAAAAAGCCTTCAGGGACTGAGACCCACATGAGATCAGCAGGTTAGGACAGAAATGCATCATGGGAAGTGGAGTTTTACCAGGACTTGCAGCGGTCTGACAGGAACTCTGGCTGATAAACAGATTCCGACGGGAAACAGCAGATGCTCCTCCAGGCTGCGGACAGAGTGACCTCTTCTCTTCCTGCTGAGGTCAAACACTTTCCATCAGACTCTTCAACCCGACGGCGAACAACCCGAACCCCAGAAACTCACTCAAACATCTCTCTGATGGAGGAGAAGAACCTGGGCGAGGAGGCCGACGCCGACCTGAGGAGCAGGCTAGCGTTAGCATGTTGCTAAAGCATCAGCAGCAGAGGTTTGGTTCAGTGAGAATTTACAGAATCAGACGCACAGAAACAGAAATGTATGAAAAATGTAACCTTAAAATACAAAAAAATCTGTTTTCTAACATCTTTAAAGATGTTCTACAAATGTTTGATTAAAAATTTGACTTTTCAAACAAATTTGACTCAGTTTCCCTCTTAATTTGACAGTTTTCCCATAAAACCGTGAAGACGGTAAATGCTCTGTCCGTGTTTCTCAGTCGTTCTGACAGCCTGCGATGTGAAAACTGAAACGCAGCGGGTCGACCTGAAGAGGCGAGTCGCTCCTCGGCCGCCGGACTTGTCCTGATCCTCCGGCTTTGGAGACGTGGACCTGGAGGTCGGAGCGCTGGACGAGCTGGAAGACAACCCTCTGAGGTGACGTTCATCCTGTTAAACCTCTCAACCTTATTTATCGTTTAGTGACGCTCTCACCTCTCCTCGATGACCTTTGACCTGGCAGCCGTCTGCAGCTGCTTCTGCACAGTTGCCTGTCGAGCTCTGGTGGAAACAATCATAAAAGAATCTCTTGATGCCTGTTCTTGCTGCAGCGGGTGTAGAGCGGAGCATTTCCCACCTGGAGCGCCGTTCGTTGCGGTGGTTCATGCGGGCGGCGGCCTGCTTCTTCTGGTGCATCATGTCCTCCAGGACGCGCTCCTCCTTCTCCTTCTCTTCCCTGAGTTTGGACTCCGCCTCCCTCTGACGCTGCAGTAGCGCATCGTACGCCGCCTTCAGCGCCTTGTTCTTCTGTCGGACCTGCTCCACCTCATCCCTCAGAGCCCGTTTAGCGTCGGACGCCTCGGCTAGCCGACCGTCCTCCTTCTGCAGTCTGAGGACAAGAGGACGGGTTTTTCCACATCCAGTCACATTTACAGAACAGCAGCAAGAAGAAAGAGCATGAAGTGAGCTGAGAGTCCAACATGTTCACTTCAGGCTCTATTAGATCAAGATTTGTATAATTTGGGTCCATGAGCTTTTGCTAAATGTTTAAGAGGAAAAACTGCATCAGGTTATTAGGATCAGATTAAAGGTTGTTGATGAGGTGAAGCAGCAGTAGCTGCACCGTCAGAACAGGCTGCCCAGGTGCAACAGGTGGGCAGGCAGGCCCAGGTGTGTGTGTGTGTGTGTGTGTGAGACTCACCTGGCTTGCAGTTCCTGCAGAACGCGCTCTTTGATTTCAATCTGCTGCTGCAGCTCCAGCACCTTGTAGGCCAACTGCAACGACACCAACAGTGAGTTCAGCTCCCGTGAGTCACCTTTGAACTCCAGGCTGAATAAATCTCTCATTTCCTCCTGCAGGTTGATCTGCTGCAGCCCATGAACAAAAACATGGAGTTAAATTCAGGAAATGATCCTTTCAGGTGTTCCTGCATGTAATGCAGAGAGGAAACCTCAAACTGAACAGAAAGTTCTGCTCTTTCTCTCTGACTTGTTGCTGATCCTGTTTGTGTTCCCATGATGTTGAAGCACAACTTCCCATGATGCATTTCTGTCCTAACCTGCTGATCTCATGTGGGTCTCCGTCCCTGAAGGCTTTTTTCTGACTTTACTGTCAGCCTGAATATTTTCTGGAGATGTTTCCAGTTGAGTTCTGGACTGGAATTACAAACGACACTGAAGCCAAAGTTTGGTTCAGGTCAGCCTGACCTCTGACCTGAACATTTCAAACCTGGACCGCCTTCAGGTTCACAGGGTTCCTCTGGTCCCGTTCGGGTCCAACTTCAGCTGTCAAACTCGGCAGGATCCTTGTTTGATAATGACGCGTTTCCTGTTTGTCTGCAGGTGATGAGGAGCGTTTCTCACCTCGCCTGTCGTTTTCTTCAGCTGCTGCAGAGAGGAGCGGCGCTCAGCGGGAGGTCTGGATGCACAAACCAAACACACCATCAGAACAGGCTGTCCAGGTTCTGAAACCTGCAGGCTGAGCGAGTCAGAGCTCAGGTGAGTTACCTGCCCAGGAGCCCTTTGGTCAAACTGGTTCTGTCCAGCAGCCCGGTGTCTGAAAACAAACCAGACTTGGATCAGAACCTGACCAGTTTTAACTCCAAGTAGTTTAACCGATAGAAAACTGCAGGAACACCTGACACCGAACTCCATTCAGAACCGGGCCTCTTTCGACCCATTTCCGCCAGGTGAGTCTGAGCGAGCAGCTGATGAACCAGCTGCAGATTACCCGTCAGTCATGACTCACTGCTGAGAGGAAGTGCACCAGCCTGTCGTTGGGTTTTGGACCACTTCCTGTACCAAATGTCGGCAAAATACTGGAACTTTCTGTTAGAGATTCTGTTCGGTTCTGGATTATTTCGACTGCTGCCAGTCTGGTTCTGCAACAGAACCGGACTCTGCAGAGATAACGTTGGATTTCAGGTCAAAAACGAGTCGTTTGAGTGCGCCGTTAAATCGGGCTGTTTTTGAATGGAGTTCGGCGCAGACTGGATCCGGCTGCTCCCCGAGGTTCTTACAGAACCGGATCAGGTCCTGGAACATGGCGCTCTGGATCCGGTCCCGGTGCTTCAGCTGCTGGACGATGTGGCCCCTCCAGGCCGCGGACCGGCTGCTGCCGCCAGGATCCATCCCGGGTCAGTGCGGCCATGATCCGCGCTGCCCGGGCCGCCGCATGCCGCTGCGGGACGCGCTCACTCCGGCCTGGTCCTCTGCGCCGCGCCGCGCCGCTCCCTCCAGCCTGCTGGTCGCCTTCCACTTGATTTTTTGTTTTTCAACTTTTTGTTGTTACTTTCGCGTTCGTCACTGTAGTGGGGCGGGGCGATAGTTCACTGCAGCCAATCAGAGCCCTCTTCCTGATTTGCCCCAACAGGCCACGCCCCCAAAACTTCATCTGTCAAATACATTTTTCCATACAAGATGCGTCACCATGTTCCTACATAATGGGAATTATGGCAAAAAAAAAAAAGAAAAACCTTCCAGGTAAAGTGGAGAAAAAGACCCAAAAGCTAAAAACGAAACAGAAAAGGTATGAATGAGGGCGTGTTGGGACCATCTGAAATCTGCTCTGTTCTCCGGTGCTTCATCGTCATCATCCTCCTGCTTTGGGTTATGAACAATAAAGTCTGTTTATCTGCCTGATCTTTGATTTGAGCTGCAGCAAAATAAAGTTTCCTGAGGAAAATCTGAATTTCAAATCCTATAGCAGGATAAAAATCTGTGAAATATGTTCATCATAACACAAAGTTTATTACGAATTTAAAAGACAGTTTCAGTTTCAAAATCAGTCAGTGATTTAAAGTAAAAATAAAATACTGCTGGTAAAACAATAAGGTGCTTTTATTCCGGGGGTTTGTCGGCTTCGTACCGTTCAGATTTTATTCAGTTTGTTTTGAGTCATCTGAACCAGGAGCTCAGAGTATTTCTCCAGGAGTGACATCGTCTGCTCATCCTGCGTCTGACCAGAGGGGGCGCCGCCGCACGGCAGCACCGCCTGCAGCTCCCTGTGAGCGGCGGCGGCGGCTTCCTGCAGGACGGAGCAGCTTTCTGACGGCTCAGAGCCGCAAACCTGCCGGGAAAAAACGTCAACGGAGAATCAGAGAAATCAGACGAGTGATCCAAATCGTCTAAACATGGCCGCCGTGAGAACGACGCCAACCTGGCGGAACAGGACGACGGCTCGCCGTGTTGCCTGGCGCAGAGCGGTGGCGGCCTGCTGACAGCGCTGCAGGCTGACAGGCTCCGCCCCCTCTGCACCTGAAGCAGAAAAACAAAAATAAAAACCTGATTTTATCATTTCAGAGCAAAGAGCGTCTCCATGGAGACAATCCGAGGATTTACCTGTCCGACAGGTGTCACTGTCTGCCTGGGGGCGGAGCCTCTCTGACCCGGGGGAGGAGGAGGAAGTGGGCGGGGCAAAGGCCGACGAATCGGGTGCAGCAGAAACATCTGAAAATAAAATAACTTTTGCCTTCAGCAGAACCCAACCGGACCGGACCGGACCGGACCCAACCGGACCGGACCGGACCGGACCCAACCGGACCGGACCCAACCGGACCGGACCGAACCAACGTCGGCTTCAAAGTTAAAATTTTAATGCCATTTCTCTCCCAATTTTTTCTTAAGAAACTTTAGAAGGGAAACTCAAAGCCTCTCTCAGTTGATCTGAACTCAAAGTTTAACTCAATAAAAGCATCACTGAACTACGGAAGCCCACCTGGATCAGTCGGACCTCCTGGCTCCGCCCCTTTCCGTCCCCCAGGTGGCGCTGGGCTCTGGGTTAGTGTCCTGTTGGTCGGCGTCTCGTCCAGGCTGCTGGCGCTGCACCAACGCCCTGTCACAGCAGGGGGCGTGGCCAAAACCTGCACGCTACACCGGAGAAAACTGATCAATAACAACGTTTAACTTTAAAAACAGTGATTGCCAATAACTTATAAACCCAAAGCAAGAAAAGTTTGGTCTGCTTTAACTTCAACAGCGAGAAAACAACGTGTTGCTATGGAAACGGCTGGTTTTCCAAAGCAAACCTTAAACACTGAACTCAAATTAAAGCACTTTCAAGGATTTCAAGGACCTGCATGAACTCGGAGTTTAACATGACGGCGAATCAGGACAAAATGGAATCAATAAAATAAATAAGTTTTTCATGTGGACGATTATTCTAAATGGGAGAATGATCCATGTCCATAAGGCGACTGGACTGAAGGATGACTGCAGCTGGACCGGTACCGGTACCGGTACCAGTACCGCATGGCTCTAAGTTCTGCTCAGAGCTCCAGGATCATCAGTCTGATTCTCTAAACGCCAATAAACCAGCAGATCAATACGATCAATGGCTCCATGTTCTCTTCAGGTACCTTTATGCAACTACTGACATACCTGAGACTGTCTGATCACCTTCAATAATCAAACCTATTGATTACTTTTAATCAGCAGGTTTGAGTTAATCTGCTGATCAGCCCAGTTTCTTCTTTCAATGAGAATGAAATGACATCCCAGTGAGGTTTTAATTTTATTTAGCTTATTGTCTGAGGATGAATGCGCTTCAGTTTGGTTTAAACAATAAAATATTGAAATCATGAACACGTCGGGTTTGCTGCTTCCTGCTCTAAATAACTGAATGTCGTCAGATTTCAGTAGATTTAGGTGAATTTTGACGCTTTGTAGTTTATTATAGTTCACAGAATAAATTTGTGTGGCTCCTGAACATTTTCACGGTAGAGAAAACGTGTGTTTATGCAAACTTTGAAGTGAATTTTTATACATGCCGACTTGTGCGTAAAATATGGCGCTGCACATTTTTAGCGCTTTATACATGAGGCCCCTGCAGGCTGCAGCCATGGAGCTTCTTACCTGCTGCCCTGCTCCTGCTGGGAGAGGGGCGGAGCCTGTGGGAATGTGGGCGGAGATGTGGGCGGAGCCTGTGGGGAGCAGGGCGGAGATGTGGGCGGAGCCTGTGGGGAGCAGGGCGGAGATGAGGGCGGAGCCTGTGGGGATGTGGGCGTGGTCTGTTGGTTCTCCTTGTTCTCCTCCAGGGGGCAGCAGGCGGGTTTGGAGAGGCGGGACTCCTCCTTTACTGAAGACGTGGCGCCGCAGTTGGCTGTTCTGGACGTGACGTCTGATTGGTGGAAACAGAAACAGGTGAGGCGGTGAACCTGACTCAGGTGAGTCAGAGAGGAAACGCTGAAGTTGTGCTCCATCAGATGATTATCAGACCGATTCGGCCCTGATGCGACTGATAGGAAATCATCTGCTGATCAGGAGAGAAACCTTCACCCAGAAGCCTCGGCTGCACCATGAGAGACACCGCGAGTCGCTCACACACCTCCCAGCGTCTTCCTGCACCGCAGCACCAGCACCGTGTGTCGTCTGCGGGTCGCCCGCCGCCGGGGCTCATGGGAAATCCCACAGGAAGCTCTGCTACCTGGGACCGCTCTACCTCCCACTGCGGTCACACCAACACTCCCTGTTGGCGAACGGCACACGTGAATTTATCTGGAGTTCCTCAGGGAGGCGGCCCGGCCTCCGGGACGGACCAGAAATGGATCCGTGAAACCCGACCGGCGCCTTCCAGGTCTGATTGGTATCGGGGCGACGATCCGAGTGTTCAGAACCGGTCTGAACACGTCAACCTTCAGCTGATCTGAAGCAGAACCGGTCCAGCCGGTCCGGCTTCCAAACAAGAGTTTCTGAAGCGGATCCGGTCCCTCAAAGTTCAACGGAACCGGACCGTTTGGGTCAGACAACTTGGTTTTCAGCTCACGAATCCAAACAGAACCGTCTGAACAAACCGACCTGCTGCCTGGTTTATCACCAACATCAGGTTCAAAGAAAATCCTGAAACTTAGACACGGTTTCATTTGATCGCATCTTTCAGGCTGTTCTGTTTTATTCCTGCAGAACAAGCTGGAAGTGGTTCAGTCAAAGCAAAGTGGGAAGCCGCTCATGTTCATTTACTGTGTCTGATGTCCTGGCTGCTGTTTTGCTAGCAGTAGCATAATACCTTTGCTAATGATAGCACTGTATGCTAGCTGTTAGCTCCTTGAGGACAGAACATTATTACATAAACAGTCCAGCATCGTTTTTATCAACATGATGCAAAGGTAGAGAGTGACGTAGCGTTAGCATTAGCCGTGGAGCCTGAATGGATGATTCTGCTGTAATTATGGAATGAAATGTTTCTGCATCGTTAGCTAATTGTGAATCTGCTATCAGAGGTTTAGAGAAACCATCAAAACCAGTAAAACAACGTGGAGCCCAAATAAATATGTTCACAGTTAAACAGGAATAAACCCAGACTGGACCGGATCAGAACTCACCTCCATCAGCGTTTTCTCTCAGAGTCGAACCCAGAAACCCGATGGCGCCGCTGTGCTCGGATCTCATCTGGAGTTCTGATCCGATCTTCGGGTTCGAGTTGCTCTCTTCAGAGATCCTCCCTGTGATCCGGCCGGGCCGGACCCTGGAGCACACCAGAACCGCGTCGGCGTCAGCGCGGCGTTCGGGCAGCGCCGGGCCGCGGGGAATGGACCGGAGTCGGTCCTGGAAGCGGGACAGGAAGCGGGTGGAGATGCTGAGGCGCGGGTTCAGGAAGGGCTTCTCCTGGGCCGGACGCAGCGCCGTCAGGTCCGTATCGAAGCGTTCTGCAGAACCGCACGGCGCTCAGAGCGGGAAGCAGCAGCGGGAAGTCGGGTCGGGTCGGGAGGTTCTTACCTTCAGCCAGACTGGAGGCCAAACTCTCAAAGTGGTTCTTGAGAGAGTTCCGGTCCTCGTCGTCCTCCGGACCCAAACTGCCCACAGAGCTGCACTGGCTCAGGGAGTCGGTGTCTGACGGAGAGGAGCAGTTCGGATCAGAACATCCTGCAGCAAGACGCACTTCTAAATATGACGCCTTTATTTTGAAAACCCACGTTAAACTTCTATATTTTAGATCCAAACTTTAGGTTCTGCAGAACCTTTCGGGTCATTTTGCTTCAGGCAGCCATGATGGATTCTCTTAAGCCAGCTGATTCTGTCTCCTTTAGTGGCCTATACATGTTTTGTATATTATGGCCTATACAAAACATGCAGAGACATTTCAAAGCAGCTGCTGCTGAAGCTACATTTACACTGATAGTCAAAATGGCTGCAAACATGCACAATAATATAACATCTTTGAAAAGCAGAAGTGGAGCCTCCTGCACAAACAAGCAGAATGCAGCAAGTGGCTTCTGGATGGTGAGTCTTCTCCAGCAGCCATTGTACAGCAGGAAAACCAGCTGACCAAACCTGCTGGAGCTCACCTTTGGTTGCTGCTTGGAGAGCTTTTAGAAACAGCAGAAAGGAGAAAACCCTGGATCCCCCCCCCTGGGGCCTCAGGCCTCTGGATCCCCCCCCACTGGGGCCTCAGGCCTCTGGATCCCCCCCACTGGGGCCTCAGGCCTCTGGATCCCCCCCCACTGGGGCCTCAGGCCTCTGGATCCCCCCCACTGGGGCCTCAGGCCTCTGGATCCCCCCCACTGGGGCCTCAGGCCCCTGGATCCCCCCAGAGATCCACGGTGCCTTTACCGGTGTCGTGCTGCGGCTCCAGACTTCCTGTCGACCCTTCGGAGCAGGCCGAGTCGGGACTGGGGTGTGTCCTCCACACAGGCTCCGCCCCCTGACCTCTGACCTCCAGCGTGGGATCGGCCCCAGCCTCCACCTTGAAGTCCCTGGAACAGAAAGCCCAGGTTAAGATCTGAACAGAACCGCAACGCTGGGCCAGGGCTGAGGGGGCGGGGCTTACCTGTCGGACAGGGCGGGGCTGCCGTCCGACTGGAGGATGAAGGTCTGGTTTCCGCCGGCCGTCTGCAGCACCTGAAAGCCACACCAAGTTCACACAAAGTTGATGACATCACACACAGCTCATGACATCACATACAGCTCATGACATCACACACAGCTTATGACATCGTCCAGGTGTCCCGCCTACCTCCTCCTCCTCCTCTTCGTCTCCCAGCAGGCTGTCCAGGCTCTGAGGGTGGAACTCTTCCTCCTCCTCCTCTTCCTCAGGGCTGGCGTTCAGGCTGGAGCAGAAGGTCAGCGGGTTCAGAGGCTCCGCCCACCGGCTGCGCACCTGGCTGGGCTCCGCATCCGATTGGTCGATGGAGGAGGCCTCGGCGTCGGCCTGCAGACAAAATCCGACATTAAAGAATCCACACAGAACTGGTCCGGTATCCAGAACCGGTCTGGTATCCAGAACCGTCCAATACGGTCGGGATTAGAGGGAACCGACCAGCTTCCGGAACCACATGGGCATCTTCCCGTTGGTCTCCAGTAGCAGCGTCTCTGAAAAACAAAGTTCAGTTCATGAAGGTGGAACATTTAGCAAGATCTCAATAATTAATGATTTAAGTGATTTTCAGTCACCAGCTATGAAACAAACATGTCTGGTAGCCAAATCGTCCTGATGGTTTGTTATTAATCCAGTGCAGCTCCAGCCCCCGTCGTGATAAAACTAAATAAAATCCCCCACAAACTGCTCTGCCAGCAGCAGGTTCTGCTGCGTGGAAATATATTCAGTTTGTCTCGTCAGCATGACAAACTGTTCTCGATCCAGTCTGCATGCGTCCACTGGAACATTTTTACCTCCTGATCACTGGGGAATATTTGAGTTTTTTAATCCCTCCATTATGTTTAAGAACTTATTAGAAATAAACCAATGATCTGCTCACTCACCAGCAGGGGGCTCCGGTCCCCCAGGGGTCCGCTGATCCTCCTCCTCCTCCTCCAGAGGCAGCTGGGCGGCGGGGACGGTGATGAAGGTCTCCCTCCTGGAACACAGACAGAGTGGCTGAAGTGGCCGGCGCCCCCTGCTGTCGCCTCCGGGAACGCCACCCACCTGATGCTGGGCTGCTGGGGGCCTCTCGGCCCCGCGGCCCGCTTCTTCCTCATGGTGCTGCTCATCTGGGGGTCCAGGCGCCACACGAACACGCAGCTGCAGAACATCAGACGGAGGTCAGAGTGGGGTCAGAGGTCACGGCCGGACGGGCCGCCGTGTCGGAGGTTACCTGTCTCCGGACGCTGAGATCAGATGTCTGCAGTCTTGGCTGAACCGCATGCAGCTAACCAGCTCTGAGCAACACACAGAGGTCAAAAGGTCAGCAGCAAGTTTTTTTCTGTCGGAAATGTTATTTTACAGTTTGTGTTCATTTTTTATTTTAGTCTTTAAAAGCATCAGAATTTGGACCTAAAATTAGATTTTTCTCCATCACATCATGATACACAACATTTAACGTTGGCAATTCTAGAGGAGGCGCATCGATAACAGAACCACATCGGCTAGAATCAGAACCAGCAGGTCAGGCTTTCTGAGGAGCCGCGATCCGTCCAGCGGGTCATTTCCCTCCTCACCTGAGTGACCAAACAGCGTGGCGACGCACTCGCCCGTCTCCGCGTCGAAGATGCCGATGTTCTTATCGGAGCAGCTGGTGGCGAAGAACGATCCGGACGGGTCCGAGTGAACCTGCGACGGCCAGAGGTCAGATAGAGGTCGTCCAGAGGTCAGATAGAGGTCGGCCCGAGGTCAGATAGAGGTTGGCCAGAGGTCAGATAGAGGTCGGCCAGAGGTCAGATAGAGGTCGGCCCGAGGTCAGATAGAGGTTGGCCAGAGGTCAGATAGAGGTCGGCCAGAGGTCAGATAGAGGTCGGCCAGAGGTCAGATAGAGGTCGGCCAGACCCGGTTCCGGTTACCTTGAGCAGGGCTCCCTCGTCGCTCGCCGAGCCCTTCAGGCTGCGCTCCAGCTTTCCCGTCTCCACACTGTAAACCCTGAGGAGGCAGCGCGGAGTCAGAGGATCAAAGGTCAAACAGGTCGAGCGCGCCGGTCGGTCTGTACCTGACGTTTCTGTCCTGACACGCCACAGAGACGCGCGTCCCGGTCGGGTCCAGGTCCATGTCGTACAGTGTGGTCTTCTCCACCACATGGTGGCGCCGGGAGAACAGCGACCCGTCTGGTGTCTGGGCAAAGAACCAGAACCAGAACCAGAATCAGTGGAGCGGCTCAGGAGTCCCGGAATCATTTTAATGAGATAAAACGGTTCTGATGCTGAAACGCATCTTTTCCATATTTATTAAACTGAAGTTCATCGACTCAGTAACGTTCCTCTCAGCATCTCGGCTTCATTCCAATCATTTTACTCTCATCACTTGTTCATAAATGGATTCTTTTGGTTCAACTTCTGACTGACAGAGACGCTGCGATGGAGACATGAAGCCCAGAGTTCCTGAGACGCAATGAGATGCAGCCGTGGTGCGTTCAGGGTCCAACCTGCTCGGCCGTCTGGACGTAGATGCTCTTGTCGGCTCCACAGCTCACCAGCTGGACCTCTGGACTCTGACCTGCACCCAGAACAAGCAGAAGCTGAATGTTCCCTGAACATTAGCTGGTTGCTAACGTTGGCACCGGAGCAGCCAATAGGAGCGGCGCCTGGCTGGCCCCGCCCTCACCGGTGAACTTGACGGCGGTGATGGAGGCGGAGTGGTCGTTCAGGGTCTGCTGGAGGTTGTAGTTCTTCTCCTGGTTGAAGACGTGGATGAGCCGATCTCTGCTGGCTGAGGCCAGCAGCTTCACTCCTGAACAGGAAGAAAACAGGAAGTCAGCCTTTCTACAGGAAGCGGTCCTGCATTCAGACGTCAGCATGGCAACGTGGAGCAGCAGCTTGGCTCTCACCTGAGGACAGAGGAGAAAACTCCAAACAGAGGACCTCAGAGTCGTGAGCCTCGATCTTCAGCAGCTCAGTCAGGCTTGTCAGATCAAAGATCCTGTAAACAGGAGGCATCACTCGGTTACAGGAAGGAAACCTGATGGACACCAAGCTGCAGAGCAAAGCAGCTTGTTCAGGAGAACATGAAGATTTAACCCTGGCGGCGTTCTAAAGCGGCCGACCAACTCATCAGGTGACCGATTCATTGGTGAACCTTCAGAACCTGAAGGCGCTGCTGGATAACGGCTAACGTCCAGTTCTGATGAGAACCATGAGGGTCTGCGCAGCGGTTTCTCACCTCAGGTTCCCACAGCGGTCTCCGGCCGCCAGGTGCTTCCCGTCCGGACTGATCCCCAGCACCCGAATCCCGGCCTTCCCGTCCGGCCCGTCGGCCTCGGCCCGCTCCCCTGCCGCATGCAGGCGCTGCACGTCTTCCCCCACATACAGGATCTTCAGCAGCTCCTGGAAACACAACGACCCGCTACAGCCTGAGGACGAACTACCAGATTCACTGACTGGACCCGGCTGAACCAACAGAACCGGAGCGCCCAGCCAGCTGCCCGGCCAGCTGCCCGGCCTGCTGCCCGGCTTGCTGCAACAGTCCTGGGATTTTTTCTTTATTCTTTAAAAACTGTCTGTCACCAAACTGCAAAGTTCTGATTAAAATGAAAGTAGAATAAACCGATTTAGTTTCAAACCGACGTTCCCAAAGAATAAAAATACAAAATAAAGACTTTAAAAAAAAAGAATCATAACTAAACAAACATCCCGCTGATCTTTGACTCTCCTTCGGTGTTTTAGCCTGGATTAATTGTGATTATTCGAATCACCTGAAGCCACTGGGAACAGGTCCAGTCTCACCTGGCTGTACTGGTTCCTCTGCCTGATGGGGGCGTCAGAGTGCCACAGTCTGATGGTGTTATCAGAGGAACAGGTGAGGAAGGACGACGGCGGCAGGGAGGCATGAGACGGATCCTGCAGCTCCGGATAAACCTGGAAAACAAACCGTCACTGGATTAAACATAAACCGTTATCCTTCTGGTGCCAAAGTTCCCTGATTTATTAATAACTTCATAACGTTGATATCTGATCAATCCGGCGGATCCAGCCCAGGTTTTCCTGCTTCCAAAGCTGCATTTCCTTCAGGTAAACCTGAACATTTTCTGCTGGAGTGATGAGATGTGTGGGTGAATCCGTGATGATTTAGAGGAGAGTGACTGTAAACCAACAGGATGATGATTGACGGCCGATCAGGATATTGATGATCTTCCTGACCTGGATGTTCCACACGCAGCTGCTGTGGTACAGAGCCGAGTGCAGCCTCCAGGCGTTCTTCACGTCCGCCACGTCCCAGACGTACACACTGTGGTCCGTGTACACGCAGCTGAGCCGCTGCCCTCTGGGGTCGAAGGTCAGCGCCAGGGTGTCGGGATGCACCACCTCGGAGCCGGCGGGAGGCGGGCTGTTGTGGGAGCAGGAGGTCAGAGGTCAGAGGGGGAGCGGCGGCGCCGGTCAGAGGGGTGGCGGCGTTCCGACCTGTGCGGCGCGCTCCGGGTCAGATCCACGCCCAGGCGGTGCGGCCGCGGCAGCGTTCCCACGTACTGCAGGCCGGCCGGCCGGAAAACCCGGATCACTCCGTCTGCGCAGCCGCAGAACACCCAGTCCTCGCTGACCGCCAGGCCGCTGGCCGCCGCCGTCTGCAGGACAAGAGGCGGAGTTATCCCGGGAACGCCCCCGACGTGCCAATGTCACGACCTCTGACCTTCAGGTCCACCCAGGCCTCCAGCTGCCGGCTGCTGTTGAACAGACACAGGACCCCGGCGGCGGTGACGCAGTACGTGTTGCTCGCCGCTTGGCCCCGCCCACACGCCACTCCGCAGAACACGCTGTTCTTATGGTCACCTAGCAACCCGGACCGACCAATCAGCGGCACAGTGCTGTTCACCTGGGAGCAGAGAGGGAGCAGGTGAGAGCCAGGCGCGCGCCCTGCAGGCGTCTGCAGGGAGCAGGGCTGCGATTGGCCGAGGAGACGTCAGCTGACCCGCCGGTCCTTGGAACCGTCCAGGTCCCAGAACTTTACGTGTCGGTTTCCCGCGGTGACGAAGTAGCTGCTGTCCTGGGAGACGGAGACGGAGAAGACTCTGCTGGACACCTTGTTGGTGGCGATGATGGAGCCTTTCTGCTCAGGGTCAAAGGTCAAGGTAAGGCAGAACGTTAGCAACAAGTAGGAATGGAAAGACATAAACAATAATATAATAATGTAGCAGAAAACAATCCAGAACCTCCAATTATAAGAATTTAGCTCCACTAAACACTACATAAATAAAATGTAGTGTTTTATGGACTGAAAATAAAGATAATAAACTGGGTTTGCTGCTCTGGCCTCCAGAACTTTTGCTACTGGGTCGGATTTTGCAAATATCAACATCATTTTTCCAAACGACCTTCATTCTATCTCCCAAAAAGCCTTTTAGTGTTTAGAGCTACAATAGTAGCGATTGGGTCAGATGTTCTGTGACCCAATCGCTTTGAGTCAAAGAACATCTGACAAACATATTTAATGGCAATTTACTTTTTTAAAAAAATAGTCAGACATTTTAAGGCTTTAATTACAGAAGAATATGAAGAAATAAATCTGTTCTGGAGGGACATTTTCCTAGAGAACCAGTTTCTTTCACTTCCAGTCAACGGGATTGAACAATCAGGTTGTGATTTAATTCATCTGTCCAATCAAACGCACAGATTTAGTCCCAGTAAGGAAAGCCTGGGTGTTAAAGGATCATTGGGTATAAAACCAGCTGGGACTCAGAACCCACCCAGGTGTGTGTGTGTGTGTGTGTGTGTGTGTGTGTGTGTGTGTGTGTGTGTGTGTGTGTGTGTGTGTGTGTGTGCGCGTTCTCACCCTCCAGTCCCACACACTGATGGTCCGGTCGTGCTGGAACCCCACAGAGACCACATAGGAGCCGCTGCAGGAGAACGCCACGCAGGACACGCCGTACTTATGGGCCTGGACTTCAGCCACCTGGCCTCCGCCCACCTCCCACACCCGGACGCAGGGCATGTGGCCGCTCTGGAACAGCAGGGGGCGACGTGAGAACACCAAAACAAGCCAGGCACCAAGAGGCGTCCGGTTTGTGGCTCACCTCTCCGGTCGCCAGGTGCTTCCCGTCAGGAGAAAAGCTGAGAGCGGTGAAGGGTTTCCTGGAGGCGTTGATGATGTGATCCTGCTTGTTGTTCTGTGGGTCCAACAGCACCACCACACACCTGGAGAGGAACAGCATCACATCACACGCTGCTCAAATCGTTTCAATATGAAGAAATTTATTCTGAACAAATCAATAAACACATTAAATAAAACTGGATAAACATAAATGCATAAACGGCTCCAGTGGCGGCTGAATGTCTCCAGGCCCGTGTGACGCCAGACCCCCAACTAAACTGGCCTCAAATGTTCGTAAAAGCTTTAGTTTGTACCGATACTATCTTACAGATATTTATTGATCAAGTTTACAGAGGTCATGATCAATATTTTCAAAAGCATACAAACAAAGTCGAGTTGATTGATTGGCACCAAAGTTGTCTGAATTAGGTGGTTGACCTTTAATGACCTCTAGAGACATTTAAAATCTTTGAAATGACTGCGGCACAAACAAAACTCTTTGCTGCACAAACGTCTGACACCAGTTTAGTCAGATTTGAAGGTGAACCTGACGTGGCACTCACCCTGCAGGATAGGCAATACGGCCAGAGTTAGGGTCAGAGGTCAAGAAGCTGCTGACCAATGGGCTGATCCCAAGAACCTTTTCCAGAGTCACCTGAAGCAAACAGACCAGAGAGCTGAAGATCAAACCGTTCACCGTCTGACGTCACAAACAGTCACATGAAGCTAAAGCTGCTGCTAATCAGGCCTCTGACTGGAGGCTGTCCTATGCTAAGCTAACGTACTGTTGCTGCTCATTTTAGATACTTTTTAACCTTAAAAACAAACTTCTAGGAGAATTTCATGACAGACTGGATTTAAATACAAAACATAGAAAAAAGGAATTTACAACTTGGTGGAAAATAAAGATTGCAGGGTTTCCCGCAGTGCAGAAGTCAGATTGCAAGAGTCTCTGTTGCTCTGAGCGTTTCACTGGAGGAGCAGATTTATGAATAAAACATAAGTTTATAGAAGATAAGGTTATCTTCTATAGTTTATGCCCCAATCACACAGGCCTGGGGCAGAACCTGACCCGCGGGCCCCTCTTGCTGCTAGAACATCAGAACCTCTAGCAGCTTCTGTTGGATTTAATCTGGAGATTAAAGTAGATTAACTGGCCAACCTATAAGCAATCAGTTATTATTGGAGTTTATTCATTTGTATTTGTGAACAAACGGCTCAAACTATTAAACTCTCAGCGTCAGATTGTTGCTGTGGTAACAATACAATCTATCTATGAATATTGTTCTTTGAACTTTTACAAAGTAAACTTGTCAGCTCCTTAAAATCTTACATATGAATGTTAAACAATTTAAAATCTTTTAATTCATGTTGAAACCATTAAATCCAATGTAGCAGCATTGATAACATCAATGAAGAAATCTTACATTTATGTATCTGTGGGGTTAAAATATTAGCATTTGTGGCCCCTGATGCTGACTTACTTTGGACTAAACAAGTGTAAATAATTAACATTCATTTTAATTTTAATTTGTCGTTAAGACTAGTTGTGGGTTTAATTAGCGTTTCACTGTCAAGGTTTTCCTGTAACCTACAATTAATTACCCAGTAATATTTTTACATTTCCTGTCTAATTAACATCTTTTAAACCCAGATGTTCTTATAAACTGAAAGCATAGAAATAATTTCAACTATCGGGGTTTAAAACATGGGAGCAAATATAAACATCCCTTTAACGGGATCCTGAACCCGGAGCCGTTGATCCTCTGATGTGAGGGTGACAGAATTTACCGCAACACCGGTGGCCTACTTGTGTGTTGTTGCCCAAACTTTCCCTTGCTGCTGCGATTAAACTATTTAACCAGCATTTTTTAAACTCGGATAATTGACAAAGGCTTTTTTCCTCCAAAAAATAATTCGGTTCTCGCTTCTCAGAACAGTTAGAACATCTCAAAAACGCCGCGGGGAACCAGCTAACGGTTCTAACTGCTAACGGCTGTAGCTCAAGACTGTACCCGGGCGCTGGAGCTCTTCCTCGGCTGGCTCTGCCGGCTCTTCCGCCCCGCTGGCTGCCTCCTCCTCTCCGCTCTATCGGCCATACCGGCAAGTGCGCTAAACTTTCGAGAGAGAACAAAAACATAAATAAAAGAGCCTCGGAAAATCCTTTAATGCTCAGCAAAAGCGCAAAAATATATCTCACTTTGTTCAGAAAGTTTTGTTCACAACAAGCTTCTGCTGGTCGCCATGATGGCAGCAGGAAATTTGATACCGATGTCCGTAGCGGGACCGAGGTTCAAACTGAGCCCCGCCCACCGACTGAACAACCAGCCAATAAGCTACTAGGGATTTATTCAAGCGAAACAACCAGCCAATGAGGATAAAGAAAAAGCCCCTTACCTCCAAATCTCATGAGAAGCTGTCATGGCTAAAGAGCCAAGACAGAGGAAGAAAAAAATATATATTTATATATATATCTTTGCAAAAGAGCTGGTTCTGTTCAGGGACAACTGTAGAACCTTTGGGAATTATGGTCCAAAGACAGATTTTACATAAAATTAGGAAAATTACAAAAAAAAAAAGTGTCTTGAGTCAGAGGTTTCTTCAAAGTAGTTGTAACAGACTGCTGCGGGAAATTTCATACCTACAGCCTTCAACATCTAATTTTATTGAAGATTATTGAATTAATGAGTTACCTTTAATTTTCCTTTGGGACTAATAATAAACTGAATGAAAGATTTAAACAAATACTGTCTAAAATACCTTAAATTTTATTTTAATAATTCCTAAAACGCTGCCTGAATGAAACCACGACTCAGATCCGTTTCATTACAAATTTATTCTGCGCTCAATCCACACATTAAAATCTGTCACAATAATCCCTCTGATTCTAGAATATTCTTGACGTTTATTTAACTTCCAGCTTAATTTGGAGCATCTATGGAGGTTCCCAACCTGCGGCACGGGGCCCCTGTGAGGCCCAGACACTGGATCCACAGCTGGAGGGTCTGGTTCTGATCCGAAACCAGCAGGCAGAATCAACAGATTTAACACAATCAGAAAAATCAAGAGCAAAATAAAACCCCAGAGAAGGAAGTTTAAAGTGATTCAGCATCAAAAGGTTTTAGTGCAAACAGAAGAAGAAGAAAACTTCACACAGGCTGCGGGTAAACATCAGAAAATCATCTGCTAGACTTCAGACATTCACCAGAACCTCCTGGTTCCTAAAGGTCCAGAGCACAAAGGAACCTGAAAGTTTCCCAGAAAACGTCACTTTATTCCCTTTGAACGGCAGTGGGACTGCCTCTGCTGCCCCCTGGTGGCTTGGCAGTAAAATCCTGATCAGATTCTATTTTCCCTTTCATTCAGTGATTCATGAAAAGTTTTAAGAGGTCAAATATTCACTTTAAATCCCATAATATCAACATATATAATGAAAACAGACTGGTTAGATTCAGACTCTTCTTGTTGAGCCAATCATCTGAGGCCGGGGGCGGGGCTTCACGGCACACCTGGAGCTTGATACCTGAGAGCTGAATCAGCTTATTACAGACTTTTAAAAGGTCCTGCATCCGTTGGTTCTGTTGGAGTTACCAGAACCCTGGTGATGGGTTTCATAAGGAAATGCTGAGTCACTGGTTGCCATGGTGATTCCCTTGTAGCACCAGAACGGTTCTGACCCGGGAACTATCTGGAGAACAAACTGTGACTCTGGGAAGTAAAAGTGCTGGTTTGTTCAGGTAAAGTCCAACTTCCTGGTCCAAAGACCCGTCGTCATGGTTCTGGGGAACGTGAGAAACGGGTCGGATAGCAGCACATGCTACAGTCTCTGTTGCCATGGAGATGCCCTCTCCACCGGCAGGGGTCAGCAGCAGGTCCGTTACACCTGGATTGTGGGAACGGTTCCCAAAAGGCACTTTGAAGGAAGAATTAACCAGAAACATTAAAAAGCTCAGAGTTCTGACCCGGTCGGGTCCAATCATGATTCAGATTAAGGCAAAGCGGAGAGTCTGAGCAGCTGCAGGATTCCTGCTCCGTTTGTTCTGGGTTTCTGGTCCAGGACCTGAAACGGGTCGGGTCCGATTTCACAGTGTCACACTAGTACCAAACGCTTCAATCACAGCAGAAGAAAAGAGGAAAAAGTCATCAAGTCTCCTCAATAGGTTCTGGTTCTGGTTTCAGCTTTGAAGGCAGTCGGTTCTGAAGAGGAAGCCAGGGCTGGTTCTGGAGAACCGCGGCTCAGGACCGAAAGACGTGCACGGCCCGGATCACATACTGCCGGCAGATGGGACACTCGCTCATCCGCTTGCCGCACTTGGTGCAGGTGACCATGTGACCGCACTCCAGCAGGACGCAGTCGATGGGCGAGTCCATGCAGATCTTACACAGGTTCTCCTCCTGGCCCGGCGCCGGCCCGCCGCCGCCACCTGCAGGAGGACCGGACAGCGTCAGACACGGAACCGTGCAGCGGCCCCACCGGACCCGCAGAACCACACTCACCTGCGGCGTTCACAGAGTTAGCAGCTGAAACAGAAAAACAGTGACATCATCAGAGAAGCAGCCAATGGGATGCAGCGATCCAAAAAACATTAGCTGACAGACGGTTAGCATAAATGAGCGCATCACTGCAGATCACCAATCAAACACTTCCTGCTCAGTTTGGAACAGAACCAGACCTGATACTGGTCTGACTGGATCAGAACCATTAGAACCCAAATGTTCTGATGGGTTCCTGTAAACACGGTCAAACTTGTTGGGTTATCCTCACCCAGCAGGTTCTGCTGGTCCTGGTACAACCGGGTCACGCGCTCCATCAGCTCCCACTTCTCACAGCAGCCTTTGTAATCCACAAAGTTTCGGGCCAGAATCTCCTTCAGCTGCCGGACGCTCAGGTCCTCGATGTCGTCCACGCTCTTCAGGTCCGACAGCGAGGCCCGGCGCCCCGACACAGGTGCCTCCTCCGGGTCCCAGGCCTGGAAGACACGGGTCGCTCAGCCGAACCGGGTCGAACCGGGTCGCTCAGCCGAACCGGGTCGAACCGGGTCGCTCAGCCGAACCGGGTCGCTCAGCTGAACCGGGTCGGACGTCCAGATCTTCTACAGAACTTACCGGGTCATCCTCCTCCAGCTCCGTCTCAGAGGCCGGAGTCTCTGAGTCTGGGGGCGGAGCTTCAGGTTCCGGAGTGGGCGGGGCCGGACTCGATGTGTCAGAGGACGAATCAGAGACAGAGATGCGAGGCGTTGGGTCTGGAGGGTCAGAGGTCACGGTAGGAGGCTGGACGGTTGGGGTGTCGGGGGCGGAGCTGCCAGAAGGCGACGACTGCTGACTCAGCACCAGCTCCACCAGCTCCTCCTGGGGACAGGAAGCACTGGTTTAACTGGAGGGAACCAACACATCCACAACACCTGCCACCGCTCTCTGATTGGCTGCTGCTGAAGCCAGGGCAACACGTCACCTTCTCTCTGCACAGGTGGGTGGAGACCTCATGCAGGTGCAGGTAGTCCCTCAGCTCCTTCACCTTCAGCTTCATCAGCTCCGCCCGCTCCAGCAGGTTGCCATAGAAACGCTGACAGGTGTGGCAGAGACGGGGTCGCAGCCCCTGCTGGGCGGAGCAGCCGCTGCAGTAGTTCTTCTTACAGTCAACACACACATGCTGCGGGACGGGTGGAGACAGGTGGGGACATAAGTGGACAGCAGGAAATAGTTTAACATGAAAACCCAGTAAAATCCGAACTGTCAAACCGAGGCTAATCCACCAGAGGGCGCCATTTCACCTGAAACATTTCACAGATTGACTTCAACTCAACGTCAGTTTCAGGTTACACCTTCTGTGCTCCACCTCTTTAGACAGGAACAACAAACTGAGCTTCCTGCATTTCTAACTTGAATCTGTCTGTTTAACCAAACTCATCAGATCGGCTCCTGAATCGAGAGTCCATGAGGTTCAGGAGATTTACCCTCCAGACTGAAACTGACGGGAAGTTACCTTCCTGGCAGGTGTGTCGAAGGAGCCGCCGCAGGCCTTACAGGTGTGCTCATGTGGAGGCGGAGACGGCTGGGAGTTGAAGGCCGAGTTGGTGTAGGACTGTTGTCTCCTGTCAGTTCGGCCTGACGGGTCCACATCCGTGGAGTCCATGCAGAGCCAGTTACAGCAGCAGGCAAACATCCTGACCACGACAAGCAGAACCATTAGCCCGACCCGAGAGGTCACTTACATTCTTCTACACCAGAAATGTGTCATCAGCTGCATAGAAACCAGGTGGGAACAATCCCATCGCAGAGTTCCCCTCACAGTATTATCAGCCTGGCAGGCCACCAGGCTTAACTCACAAATTATGATGCCTGCTTGCACACATCCAAATTCTAGGAGCAACATTTCTTCACAAAAAAAAAATAAAAATTTTAATCAAAAAACGTTTCTTGTTTTTTGCAGTTCGGAAACTATCAATCCTACAGAGAAACTTGAAGGAGAGGGACTATAAGACTGGACTTTGGACGAGATTCTGCTTTAATATTTACTTCCAGGACTCATTTATGACAGATAAAATATTTTATTTCAACTACGACTTTTATTATAGCTGAAAGACCTTTATCTCTTCCATTAAGCACGCTGATATCTCTTATGTAAATTTATTTATATAACCTAATGGCAGGAGTCCATATTACATAGTTGAACAAGAAATTTCACTTCTATTTATTGGTTATAAAATTCTTCAGACTTTTTTTTTTATTAATAGTGATTTTGTGAAACCCAATAAAAAAGATTCTTGAAGTGGCATTTATGGGAATTAACATACAGGCTGAAACTGCAGCAGTCATTAAAAATAAAAGCAGATCCTTTTTACCACAAACTGGGTTTGTTTACAGATGACGTCACGCCAAACCACTGAGAGAAAACTTTTCCTTTCATTTTTTTAAACAGAAACCGAATATTTGACATGATCTTTCAAAAACTAATACTCCTAATCACGTGAAAATGTCCTTGGATAAATTCGGCTTGATATTTTAATGAACATGATCATTATTTAGCAATTAATATGTAGCACTTGAAACCATCTAAAGCTGATGAAGGAAACTTAATTTAATACAAAAAAAATATTGTTTTACCTTTATTTCAAGTTTTCTTTTAGCCGAATTATAAAATAATCGCATATTATCAGTCCTAAGTCGGTATGTGCCTTTTACGTGAGCAAGTTTTTTACCGAAAGAACAAAAATAATTAAAGGAGGATTTTCTTAATGGAGTCCGGCTGGCGAGTCTGGAAATTACCCCAGGCTGCTAGCAGGCTAACCGGGCTAACGAAGGGCTAATTAAACAAGTTTCTAAACACTGAAGAAGAAGAAAACCGACTCAAAACAATAAAGAAGACTAACTTAGTTCAGAAACGGAGCGGTTTTACAGTAACCTGGTTAACAGTTTAACCCAAATTAATGACAAAAAAATGAAATTTAAACCGAAATGTTTACCTGTTGGAGACAGGAGAGCCACTGCTAACAGTCAGCCTGGGCTAACTTAGCGACAGTTAATGTTGTCAAGCAGAACTAACCAGCAGTCTGAGCCTTAGGAGGGGGACTGGTTAACAAGACTAGTTAGCATGACGAGGTTTGAACATGGAGGAGATCAAACGATAAAGTCAAAGTGAAGGCAACGAGATAAGAGGAGAACCAGGAAGCGTTTCTTACCACACACACACACACACACACACAAACACGCACACACACACACACACACAAACACACACACACACACACACACACACACACACACACACACACACAGGCAGTGAATGTGTTGAAGCAGAGGAACATCAGGGTTGCACTGATGGACAATATTACAGTTGGGAACTAAAACTTTACTAGTTTCCAGTTTTTCATCCTAACACTGTGAAGTACAAAAAAATAAAACTCCAATCTGATCCAATCAAGCTTCAGTCATACAGTCGTTAAAATTATGAAGTTGGACCAAAGTACAGCACATAAAAATGTGGGAAAATAAAATGCATAAAACAGAAAAGGCAGTCAATAAAAGCTCAAATAAAATGACACAAAATTTAGAAAAAAACTAATATAAAACCATGCCATGTGGTGTCAGAGGTCAGGGCAAAGCCCATTTTAAGAGGCCAGTTCATCATGGTGACCAGTTACTTGTAAAAATGTAGCATTTTATTCTATTGTAAAAGTAGGAGGCAGGTTTTTGGTTATAAATACAAATTGAAATACATTTTAACAGTGATTCATAAACTACAATTAAAATCTGCCCAAATTATTTACTTCCAAACAGAAATCAATTCTATTCATGAAATCAATGTAGAGTTGATTCACTACAAATATTGAGTCAATTTTCTGTTAGAGACACAGTCAAGTCAGTTATATACATTTCAATTTACCTAATTAAAGAATAATACTTGGATTGACCAACTTAGCTGCAATGCACAGATAATCTGACGAGCTGACAGGTTCCCCAACCTGAGAGACGACAGAGCAGCTTACAGGTTGGGCAGGAGATGAATTGTGAAGGACGTTTGTAGCTACAGGAATGGTGATGGTTATGAGTACTGGTGTAGCTACAAGACTGGTTCGGGTCACTGGAGTTGGGTTCTGCGTCTTGTTCAGAGAGTGAGGTTTCCTGAACCAAAATGGCCGCCGAGGCCTTCTGCAGCCATCTGGTCAGGGTTCATCCTAAACCAAAACTTGCCTTGAAACTCATTTCAAGATTTTATATAAAAATCTTGAAATGAGTTTAGACTACAACATTTATCTGGAAGGAGAAAGTTTAAGACACTAAGTACACTAACTTTTGCTTCAGAACTTAAACTGCAACATTTTGTGGAAAAACCTTGAAAAATCTGAGGTGTTGTAAAACTTTTGCCCAGTAAAGACTGAAGGTCGTGGAGAAGCCATCTTGGTTTGAGACATTTACAGGAAGCAGCACCAAAACTGGGCCGAATGTTTTCATTTTATTATAATCGGTGAGAACCGCTAACTAAAATGCTAGCTGCGCTAACACTGCTAATGCACTACATACAACGTTGATTCTCACCATCGCCCCCAGCAGGCCTGATCTGTTACTGCGGCTGTTTCTGAACGGTGATTCTTTTCATTTCATGGTTCCAGTTTTATACTTAGTTTGACCAACTCTAAACAAATAACTATTTTGAATTGATTCTATTTATTTCAATAAGGTTTTGATCAAAATGAGGAGAGGAAATGGAACTGCTGCTTAAACTACTTCAAAATAAAGGCAGATATGTGAAAACTTGACTGCAGTCAATAAACAAAACTTCCAGCTCAAATATCAAACTTTATTCAAAACTTATTCAACTAAAATTTAACTAAACAGCTAAATAAATTATATCTTTATTCCAGGAAATTTATTTAGAGGAAGCTGACTTCGCGGTGTGTCCATCGCTGATTTAAACGTTTCACTTGTATTCATAAAAAATAAAAATAGTTTGACCTTTAAGACCTTCACAAGGTCACAGTGGTCAAAGTTTTAGGGGCAGAGAACCCAAAAACTGTTAGTGGAAATACTTCAGGATAAAAAGCCAAAATACTCCTCAAAGTACTCTTTTCAAAAAGTAACTAGAGTAAATGGTACAGCTGGTATCCAGCCCGCCGGCCGGTTCTGCTGCTGGTCCAAACGGATCCGGCAGCAACCCGCCCTCCTCCGCCATGAAATCAAACTCACCCGGGTCGGTGTTGGATGATGATGACACAGTTTTATTGCAATAAACAGATTGGGTCAAGAAAGAACAAAAAGGTTGCAGATTAAGTAAAACGTCGTCCTTTCACCGTCCCACTAAAGAAAATCCGCTCTGTCAGACGGGAAGTGAACCCAGACCCGGTCCAGATCCACACAGACACCCAGACCCGGTGACCCGGTCCAACAAACCAAAAGAAGCACACGCTACAGTTGGAGCTACAAACCAAAGATCCAGCTTTATTGGACAGGAAGAGTTTGGACTTTACAACATTTATCTCGGTGGAAGTCTGCGTCTGATCCACACTGAAACAAACAAAACTTCTAATTTCTTCTTCTGGGTTGGCAACAAGGCGTGTTAGCGCCACCGTCTGGTCGGGGGAGTCTGTGGCGGCGGCTTTAAACGAGTCAGTGCTGCATTCAAAGACAGGTGGAAGCAGAGTCGGGGAGAGGAGGCGCAGCAGGAAAGAAGGGGAAAAAAGCAGATGAGAATTTAAACACAACATTTCAGAATCTCTTTCTTTCCTCCTTCATTCATGACCCGTTCAGCTAAATACCAGAACTTCACCAATCCGCTCTGCTACTCAGACACTTACAGTGGCACCTTGTGGTCAGGAAAAAGGAGCAAAAAACTCAAACTTTGAGAATAATCTCAAAATTTTTCAGAAGACAAAAATCTTTGTGTTTCAAGTTTTTCAAGATTATTCTCATACTCTGATTTTTTTTTCCTGTTTTTAAAAAATGTTGAACTCTAGGAGCTCAGAAGGTCATTCCTCAGTTTTTCTAGAAAATCTTTTGACTTTTGGAGATCAGAAATTTACTTGTGTTTCCCAGAAAACTTCTAATATTATTTTGGCAGAAAAGTTCTCCTTGTTTTTCTAGTTAAAATGCCGTCGTAGAAATCAGCATAGAAATGAAGGAGCCGGTTCTTCATTTAAAACAAACTACAGCAAATTTAGAATCAGAACCAACTCAGAACCAGAACCAGTGATTACAGCTGTTTGTAAGAACCTAACCATCCAGAAAGCAGCGTTAGCGCCACCCTGTGGGGAGAAAAGAGACTGGAAAGTTTTGAGGAAATTTGCCTCAAATGAAACTGATTAGAAAACCGTCCCGGCTGATCGGAGGGAATAAACTTCCCAGTTACATTTAACGAAGACGGAAAAGCAGGAACGTTCCGGTTTTCAGTGTGGATCAACGGACCAATCAGAGAAGAGCTCTTCCTCTGAGTGGATGACATCACCGCATGACACAACCAATGAGAGCGGGCTTCTTAGCAGGCCACGCCCCTCAGCGGTTGCCATGTGACCTGTGAGTCGGCATTCCAGGAAATCCTTAGGATAGTGAAGGCAACGTTTCTCTCCACCTGAGCAGGTGAAACCAGGGGCTCAACCTGAAGGGGCGGGGGCTGTAGCGTAAGCCCCGCCCCTTCAGGAAGAAAAACAGATCAATAAAAGTTGATCAGTCACCATTGAAACATAGAAAGGGGCGGGGCAAAGAGAATTGTCTATGCCCTGACCAATGGGGTCTGAGGGGCGGGGCGTGGCACAGGTTTGACCTGCTGGGGGCGGGGCTACGGGAGGATGCAGGTGTGACATCACAGTAAGCGGAGGTGAAACCCAGATTGAACATGCATTGGCGAGTTGCTCGCTGTGTGTGTGAGTTACTGATCAGAGTGTCAGTGTTTCCCATTTATTCCCACTAAGAATAAATATCCTGCTCCAACAGGAAGAAGAAGAGGAGGAAGAGGAGGTTCTCCTCGCCGTCCGTCCAGCCGTCTGTCTGTCTGAAGGAATGCTAACTGTGTCGCTTCTATCATTCCACGTTTTTAACCCAGAGTTCACTCATCCTTTGACTCCGCCCCCTGCCCCCCATCCCCTCCCCCCCCGGCCGTCAGTCTCTTATGGTTTCTCCTTTGAGATCACCTCTTCTCGTGGCTTAGCTCCGCCGAAGATGGCGGAGTTCGGGTTGGCGACCTGGTTGAGCGGTTCGGAGACGGTCCGGGGTTTCAGCTGGAGGCGGGGTCGCTGTGCACGCTCCTCTGCACACACACACACAGAGACACACACACAGAGACACACACACACACACACACACACAGGTTAACATCAGTGTTCAAACTCAGGCAAACTAAATGCAAAAGCTGGGATGGACTAGATGTAGCGTGGGGGATATGATGTGATCTGGGGTCAAAGTTCAGGAATTATTTGAGTTTTTGTTCCTATTTTAGACTCATATGGATCTGATTGATGTTTGAAAGGAGACGCTGAATAGCTGGTTGCTGTGGTGATTCCCAGCTTTCCTGTTATTGAAGGATTTTCAAATTCTATCATCTGATCAGAAAAGTTTACATTTGAGCAAATAATCATTTCCCTGTGTAAAGAGCCCAGTGAGCTGTAACAGCAGGTGGCGCCACCTTCAGACGGTTCCCTGAAGTCTGTGGTTCCGCCCCGCGGCGGCCCGTCTCTGAAGCGGCCCATTCCTCCGCCGCCTCCCCGCGGCCGCTCGCCGGGACGAGTGCTGCCGCCTCGACTCCGTCCCCCCATGTAGTCGTCGTCTCTGAAACCTGCGGGGACGAGCAGACGGTCAGTCGGCTTACCGCCACCAGGGGCGCCGTGAACATGAGGTGACAGAAAGGGATGATGGGAAGCAATATGGGGGGAGGGGCTTCCGCGAGCTTCACTGCCACCTGCTGGACAAGTAGAGCATCTCTGACGCTGCTTGGATCAGATTTCAGTTAAAAAGTCGCTCGTAAGTCAAACTGCCCTGCTGCCGTCTAACTGGCAGCAGCCCAGCTAGCAGCCGTCTGATTGGCCAGCATCATCTGACCCCACCTCCTCCTTGCTGGTCGTAGAAGTCATCTCGCGAGTCCCGTCCTCCGCCTCCTCCTCGGGAGCCTCCTCGAGAACCTCCTCGTCCTGCAGAGGACACGGGAGTTTAACACCGACAGGAGAGAAGAAGAAGAGGGGAGGAGCTTAGGGGGAGAGAGGATGAGTCGGCATCTCCTTCTAGAAGCAGCTAGTGAGGAGGCGGAGCTTGTTAGTGTCCCATCAGCCAATCAGAGGAGGCGTTAGAAGCAGTAGCAGTGAAGCTCAGAAACAGAAGCTGTTATTGGTCAGAGGAAAGGAGGCGAGAGGAAGGATGGAGGAAGAGGAGCTGCACAACCGAAAAACCTGAAAACATTTTACCTAAGTAAATAAACTTTATCTCATAACTTTATTTATTAGTAGTAATTATTAATTATTGTCTGTTATTCTCCTTTCTGTTTCCCTCAGTTCAGACCCGATCCGGTTCTGATCCGGTTATTCCTGTGGGTCAAAGGTTCTCCAGGCTCCCCTGTTGCTGCTGCACGCTGCCGGCCAGCTGGCTGAAACACTAATTCAGCTGTTTGAAGCATTCCTGTCATTGTGCGCCACCTACAGCACGAACCCTGTTACTACAATCAGTTGCTTTTTATTATTAACTCCCTGTCTATAGAGCTAAATACTAGATTAAAATTTAGTCTCTAGCTTTAATAAACAGCATGGTTGGAGTCAGGCTCGTCGCAATAATCAATAAATCAATTGATCACGTTATAAATTAAAAGAAACTGTATGATTTATTGTTCTTCTCTTTCTTCAAACTTCAGCAAACAAATCAGAAGAAGAAGGAGAATGAAATCCCGGCTCATGAATCAAAGCTGGGCCGGGCCCGGTTCATTACCAGAACCGGGCCCGGCCCAGCATGAGGCATGGACGCCGTGTGGACGAAACGCCCCGCACAGCTGGAATCAGCAGAAACAGGTTAACCAGGTTAACCCGCCTGGAAGGTCTTTCATTAGCTAAACCCGGAGCTAACATCTCTCTGCACTCGTTCTACATAACCACGTCTGTTTTTGTTCTGCCTGGGGGCTCGTCCGGGATCTTTAAACACATTTTTCTCCTGCAGTTGGGTTCTCCTGGCGCCACCTGCTGGTGTTTCGGTGCTCATACCTCTAGCGTCGTCTTTCCTGAAGCCGAAGCCACTCCCTCCTCGTTCTTGCCTTCGTCCCTCTGCGATGTCCACCCTCAGTGACCTGTCGCCTAGCAACTGAAGAGGTCAAAGGGTCGGGTTAGCCTCACAGGACGGCACCACCTGTTAGAACTCCTGATCATCCCCCTGCAGTCTGTTTTTACTGAATAATTACAGTAAAAAAGCAGAAACTTACAGCGCCGTCATACGTCAAAGCTTCTTTTAAGGATTCCAAATCATCAAACTCAACATAACAAAAACCTGAAGAGACAAAAACAAACTCAGTCAGGAGTCTCCCTGAGTTCAGAGCTGTTAGGCATAATAATAATTATTATTATAATAATAATAATGAAAATAATGTTGAACTGTTTTAAAAATCAAATGCTCAAAACATTCCAGTTAAATATTATTAATTATAGTTTCCAAGAATAAACTGTAAATGTAATGAATGTGTTCAGAAATATACATTTATTTCAGTATTTTATTGGAATATATTTTTAACATAATTAAGATCACTTCATAATTATGTGTTATTAGAAGATTAATACCTGACCACCAACTATAAAGTCTCAAAAACTCAGGCATTAAAAAAGCTAAAATAAATAAACAATGCTCAGCGTAGGGAAGTAAAGCCTGGCGGCCCGCCAGGCTGATGATACACTGGGTGAATGTATTGTTTTACATATTTATTTTATTCATAGAAAACTATTTATTAGTTTTTATAATTAAAATAGTATTTTCTTAAAATATGTTTGAAAATATTTCTTTTTATTTTATTTATTGAAAATATTCTAGGTGCTTACAAACTGAGTCATACTATGTATTATGAAGTAATTAATTTAAAGTTAAAATTCTGCTGGATGGATGTTCAGTTTTATTCTGTGATGCTTTAAAACCTGAGATTCATGTTCTGATCAAAACCTGATGAACTTGATGGAAGTTCCAGTTTTGGTGCAATAAAAATAAACTTTCCTACATTGCTAATCACTAAACCATTAAAGTGAAGAGTCCATGTTCCCTAAACGCTCCGGCTGGATCAAAACAATAACATCCGCTCACCTTTGAACTTGTCTGTCTCTTTGTCTCTGACCAATCGCACGCTGCGGATGTTCAGCTCTTTGAAGATGACGTCAATGTCGCCCTGCACCGTGTTGAAAGGCAGGTTTCCCACGTACGCTGTGAACGGGGGCTCTGTGGGCAGCTCCTTCTGCTTCCGGGGGCCTCCGGGTCCGCCGCCGCCGCGCGGCCTGAGGGGACGCAACACAAAATCTGGCTCAACATCCGGAGAACGTTTTCCTGACGCTCCTGAACAAGCTGACAATTTTCTGCTCTGACAGAAAACCTGCAGAGCTGAAATTCTGCAAACCGAACCACTTCAGGACCAAATCCGGTTTCATTCTTACACAGGAAAATTCAATGACTCAGGAGAAAATTTAGATTTTTATCTCATCAGAATAATAATCACGTTGATGTTTCCTCTCATTCATCAGGCGTTTTGCTGCAGGAAAACAGAATAAACTGTCCATCAAGCTGCTGCAACGCACAAAACATGGTGAAAAACTATTTTAATAAATTTATTTAAAAATACATAAAGGAATAAAACACATTTCATAAAAAAATTAATACATAAAAATTAATGAAAAATCCCAAAATATAAAAGTGAATAAAAAGTTATAGGCATAAAACATTATTATAAAAATTTAGGAATGTATTTTAAGAAGTGCTTTTCAAATTCAACTGTGAAATAATACAAATATTAACATCTATAATTATGTAAATGAAATGAAATTGTCCATTTATTTTTCATTGCCAAATAAAACATGGAGCAGCTTTTTTATCAAGACACTAAAAATAAATTCAGTAAAATCTGGACACAGATTTTAAAAACGCACATTTGGGGAGATAAACAGTCGAATATTTACAGATATTAAAACCTTTTGTCACCATGAAAACCAACCAGAATTTTGCTTTTCTGCTTCAGTTAAACATCCCATAATCCTTTGCTGCATCAGCATCACGTGACCAAACAAATACCACAATCCCTCCACCATCCAGGAACACACAGCACCAGGATGGAGACAAACTTCACCTGTTAACCAGTTTCAAATATCGGGCCGATGCCCAGCAGATTCTATTGTATACATCATAATTATAATGTGCATGAATAAATATTAAAATAACCATCTGCTGTTGATCTGCAGTCAGTTTCTGCTCCGTTTCACTTGTGGACTGTAATGTAAGTGTTCAGTCCTTTGGTTACGAAGTAAAAAACATTTATTAATTATAAAGTTCTGACACAAAACTCCGAGCTTCCAGTCACTCTGGAATCATTTCCACTGGTTTCTGCATGAAACCAGTTAAAGCCAAAGATGGCCGACCCAAAGGTTCCCTCCAGAATGCTTTAAGGCAGCTGGTATGATGCGTAGCCATGGCTACAAGGTATTTTTACAACAGAGCAGCAGATTGGCATCTGAAAAGCTGAAACAATATGAAGAGATGAAAAGGAACAGAAGGAGGAAGATCAAACTGTCTCCTTCATTCATCGTATCACCTACTCCAGCGTCACTCCGCCTGATTCTAAGCTTTTGGCCAGGAAGAGATTTAAAGAGGAGCGGCAAAACCAAATGAGTAGTCTTCAGTCAGAGACACATTCATGTTGAAAGCCAAACTGACTGCTACTGGAGATCCCATCATCCACGTCCAGTCAAAGAGCTGCAGAATTTAAAATATGATCCGAGGTCCTGAGGTTACTTCACTCCTGAAAACTCTTCTTGCATCACAAACCCCTCTAACCAATCACCACAGATGCATCTGGTATTGATCTGTGATCAACTGTCCAGTGACCAGGTCACAACATTTCCAGCTGAGTTTTCCATAACCAGCAGATTTTAGGATTTATATGTTTATTATGCTGTAGGTGAATGAGAATATTTTCTGGTATTTTTCTGTAAATATTACATATTTAAATAGTGATACACTAATTCTATTCTTTATTCCAGCAAACTGAAATAAAAAAAATAAGAACAAACTTCTGCTGATGTAAAAGAGCCACTAATAGGAAACAATAAAGCAAAATTCACCTATTTATATTTAAAAGCATCATTTTTATGTTTATCTTTAATTAAAACGTCCATTTGAGGATTCTAAATGTAACGGAATCAGATATTGAATGAATAATCTGAGGGATGGGAACCTCCAGCCTTTCAATGAAAGATGCAGACATGCTAAGAAAACCAGCTGGTTTCCACATGAAACCACTGGAACGGTCAGGAACCAGCAGCCTCCCCGACCAGAACCGCCCGGCCCCGGTATCTGATCGCAGCGATCGATCCTCGGCTCACTGTGGGACCTGCGGATGCCTCTGCGGACACATGATGCAGCCATGCGGCCAGCCTGCAGCAGCAACCCGGCTCCACCTCAGCCTCCACCTCAGCCTCCACCTGCCGCGCCTCTGCTGCCGCACGGCACCGGAACCCGACCACCGTTACCAACACCGATCAAAACCATGCTGTTCTGGTCGGTGACAGATGCGCCACATCACTGCATTTTTGAAGCGGTTAGCTCCAGGATCCCCGGTGTTTCCCGGCCGCCCTCACCGGCCTCCCCACACCCCAGCGCGGCCTGCTCACAGAGCGCACAGGCTCAAAGAGCTCCGAGCCGATAGTTATCGGAACCGGTCCAGTCAGCGCGTGCGGTTGGGGTCCGGAGCCGGGATTCGGAAAAGGCCGGACCGGTCCGACTGTACGTTAGGGTTTCGGAACTGGGACTCACCCTCTGCCGCCACCGAAGCTGCCGTAGGCCCGATCATCGTAGTCCGCCATTACTGCTGCTGTGTCGGAGAGGAAGGTCCTCACGTCACAGCCGAGCGGGTTCAGCTGCCCGTTCAGCGCCTGATCGGAAACAGCAAACTAAACTAAACTAAACTAAACTAAACTAAACTAAACTAAACTAAACTAAACTAAACTAAACTAAATTATATTACATTAAACTAAATTAAATTAAATTGAACTAAACTAAACTAAATTTAATTAAATTATATTAAACTAAATTAAATTACATCAAACTAAACTAAATTATATTAAACTAAATTAAATTGAACTAAACTAAACTAAATTATATTAAACTAAACTAAATTAAATTATATTACATTAAACTAAATTAAATTGAACTAAACTAAACTAAATTATATTAAACTAAACTAAATTAAATTAAACTAAATTAACTTAAATTAAACTAAACTAGTGTGTGTCCTTGCAATTCAGAAAGTGACGCTGAACTATTGTGGATTGAATTAAACAAATGAAATTACATGAAATAATAAAATCAAATAATGAATTAATACTTACTAAAGTACACACATACACACAGTTGTTGTCTGTTGTTGTACATCCTTACCACAGGTGGATCCAGTAAATCTTGACTTTTATGTGTAAGTTATTATGAACCTATCGGACATAATGTGATCACATAAACTGAAATGTCCTGAATGAAACAAGCTTTATTTGTAGATTCAATTATAAATGGGTTGAAATATTTCATAGAGCATAAGAGCCCAAGTATGACTTCTACAATTTGTTGATCAATACAAAAGAGAAATATGCTTTGTCCCCTTTTGCATTTTGACAGAACTAACATAAACCAAACCGTTTATTGATTTATATACAGGTAGAAAATATATTTTTATCAACAAATTGGAAATGTTCTTAGTTATAATTTAATCCATATTTTATATAGATAAGAATTCAGGGAGCTACAACCATTTCTGTGACAGAATCCAGAAATGGATTATCCAAACACTTTCATTGACTCTAGTTTGTATTTATAGGTCGATAACCAAAAACTGCAAACTGAGAAGAAATTATGAGTAAAACAATGTCAATATCACTAGTTTAATGCAATAACAGAAGCATCTCCAAAATATTATAAAATATCACAAACATTTTCTTAATTATTCAACAAAAGGCAGTTTGAACAGGCATTCGTTCTCTCTCACAGCAGAGACTTGGATCATTTTCATTTTCAGTGATTCTTCTTCCAGCCTCTCTGTTTGAGGAAGTTCCTGAGAAGCTTCCAGTCTGAGGAGAGTCACTCAGAAATCTCACAGGTCTTTGATTCCGGTTTCAGACCATAAGGGCAGGAAGATGCATCTTCTCCACTGGCACACTGTTCTATGACAAGTTGGAAAGCTGGATTATTTTAATCCGCTAAACATCCACTGTGCAGGTTGCAAAACCTCCACATGAACCAGCCTTCAGCTCTGACGCAGTCGGGCGTCAGGTCAGCAGCCGCTTGGTGGGTTTGAGTTTTTTTGAGACCTTCTTCAGATTTGATGGCCGGATGTCATTCCATTGTATCAGGCCTCTGGATCCACGAGGATGCATGTCACCTGACAAAATGTCATTTGGAATAGAGGTTTTCCCCAAAGCCTGGAGGAACAACAAACGTGTCCAAACACATTCCTGCCAAACACGCAGTCTAACTGAAAGGAAATAAAGCTGAAACAATAAATGCTGGACCTTATTCTCAGCCAGTGCCTGTTTAGCCATGTAGTGTTCCCTCTTCATCTTCAGCTCCACGTCTTCAGGGATGTCAGGAACTATCAAGTCGATCAGTCGGTGGATGAAAAAGACCACATGCTGAGGTACGAAGATGGTGAAACACACATCATCAAATCCAGACATGCAACATTCAACATCTTGGGTAGAGGGTGACATCTCATGGATGTCCATGAAATGTATAGACTGTGAGAAACACTGACCTCAAAGATGATGACAAAGCTAAGTCGTATAACGAGGAGTTCATAGAACTCCGGCAGGTATTCACCTTTGTCGTCCCTTATACCTCGATACCTGCAGAGGACGATAAAAACCAACATCAAGATTGATACCTGCAACCATTGGGAGGAAAACCGTGTTGGATGGATGAGCTAAATACCAAGGACCTTTGTTTTTCTCTTAACATGAACCTCGTGCCATTACCTGCAAGAGATGTTGTGGTGCTGCTGGATGTAGGTCTGTGGGGCTGTTGCCAGGGTGAAGTTAACGTAGCCTCTCAGGGTGCTATCTCTGGTGAAACGGTAGTACAGCCGAGGCACAAAGGACGAGGTGAAGGCAATGAGAAAAGCCTGGAAACAGATTTCGGGAAAGTTTGTTTCCATCAGGAAAACTGCTCCTGATCAGGCCTACAGACTCACGTTGCTGATGACAGCGACATGTGTGATGAACTGCAGGATGTGAAACCAGATGCCGATGTCCTGAGCTCGCTCCACCACCGGGCGGCGGTATTCCTTTACAAACTTCTGAGCGTCCAGACGGATTTCCACCCAGTTGTTCATGAGAGCAAAGAGAGGAGCGAGAGGACACGCCGCCACAAAGATGGTGATGAAACCAAACTGAAGCACTGAGAAGAGCAGCACTAGATTTTCAGAAACAAGCCGCAGTCATGGAAGCTTCTCTTATTTTGGAGCAAACAGAGGCTTTGGTTACCCATCTCCAGATATTCACCGAAGAGTCCCTCACAGACCAGCAGGTCGTAGTCTGTCTCCCAAGGAGAAACGTCCACCTTGTGCTGAGTCCCCTCCCAGGCCTTGTTCGTCAGGAGAGGATGCATCTTGTTTTTCTGCCACCACGCTTTGACCTTCCTGCCAAAACAAGAAGCCTTGCAGTCCAATCTGAAAGCTGTTGTCAGACTTGAGAAACTCTTTTGGGACTTGATTAACCTGAAGCCTCTGTAAAGTTATCAAATCAGTACTCTTCAAATGTCTCCACTATTGGAGTAAGTAGAGCTTAAAAAATGTCCAAATTGTCTTGAGAAAGGTGATATTAGTTCATATCTTTACTTGTATTGTGGTTTATCAAACCCAGAGGACCTTGAAGCTTCACAAGCTGATTGTGATAAGCTACTGTATTGCAGCCACAGTTTGCTATGTGGCCCTCGTGCCTCTTTTCCAATGAGTGGTATTGCATGGCTATTTTGTCTGTTTCTATGTTAAAATTGGCCCAGTCAAAGGACACATATTGCACCATTCCTGGGCCCCTGCAGTTGAAGGTCCAGAGGATGATGGTACAGTTTGGGTGACACAAACAAAGTCTGCAAAGCAAAAATGTCACTGCGTGCATCAAGAGAAGTATTAATGTGTCACATTTGTCATAACACTCGTCTGATACCTAGTGAGGCATTTGGGCTTGAGCCGCCTGCCAGAGGAAGGTCAAAGATATCTTCAATACCTCAATTTGTTCTTTGTCTGGAATTTTGGCACCACAATTTCTCACTCCACAAAAGCTTTAGCCTCACTTCTCACTTTCAAGCTGTTTTAGGTACCACAGGTTTAGCTCTGTGGTACTGCTAAATAAACTAAATCTGGATTTATATTTTTTGAGATCTACAAAGACTTGCTTCTTAAATTCCTCTGTCAACTGATGTCAGCAGAGAACGTCTGACATCATGGACGGCGAGTTGTTTGTGTGGCTGTGTGTCATTTACGGGGTGACGAACTCCTCGATGTTGTTGATCATCTGTTTTCCCACCATGATGACCAGCAGCTCCTGGGCCAGGTCAATCAGACACCCGCCGACGCCACACTGGAACACACAACCCGGAGACCCGGAGACAAGAACGTCAGCTTCTTCATCACACCGCATTGACCCGTCAGCATTCATGAACAAAGACAAACTCACTTCTTCATTACGAAGTCCAAACAGAGTGTTGTACATTCCAGGGTAACCAACGAACCTGAAGAGACACCAACAAACGAGCACAAGCTAAGTCTTTGGAGAAAATCAAACAACTTCATGATTAGAAGCAGAAGCACTTAAATACTTGATAAAAATGTTCCTTGAAGAAGCTTAGAGGCCTGTCGCCATTTGCTGGAGCAGCTCTCACCTGCCTTTGAAGAAGGCGATGTAGACGGGAGTTGAGTAGAAGTTCACAAACTGGAATATGAAAACTTTGAGGATGAACATGTCTTCATATTTGGTTTGAGTGCGATGCATTTCTGAGTGGTAACAAACACACAGGCATGAAGATGATGAAGACTGGAAGGTTTCCATCACTTCAACACCAGATTCCTGCTCACTTTGAAAAATGTGTTTTATCAGCTACTTTCATCATTAAATCCTGTTCTGCAGAAAGGAATGACTACGATATTCACAGCGTTTTTACTTTGGCTCTCTAGGATATCGATTGCAAAGTGATTATAATTGGTTTGGCTCTTTTTCTGTTGTTGCTGCTCTTTAAACTGTCAGTAGATCAAGGGTGCAATAAAACCCATGTGTCAAACTGTCCATCCAGGAACGGAGACTCACCCCAGCGTGTGAGGATGTCGGCCAGCATGGTGTAAACCTTGGACAGCATGAGGATAACCAGCAGGTTCAACACGGATCCTGAAAGGCTGGCGATTGTCAAAGCCTGAGCAGAAAGCAGGTAACGCTCATTCAGAGTCCTGGACCGGATCAGAACTCAAGGTGTCCCTCTGGGCAGCGTACTCGGGAATCTACACTTTCTCTACAGATTGAGAAAACATCTGATGGCAGCTTTTGGACTCACAGAAATGCCGAAGATACTGATAGTTTTAGTTGACTTGTAGATGACGGTGCTGATGATGGTACGGTACAAAATAATGGCAATGAGGAACATCAGGACCACTGCAACCTGCAAAAGGAAAGTCAGGTTATTCTCACCTTTAATTGGTACTATGGTGCATTATGTTACTGTAAAACGCTTTCAACTTTACATCCTAGCTTAAATATTTACATGCTCACTGCTCAGATTGTAGGTTTTTCACATTTCCCATTAACCACTCGAATTTCAAGATGGCCGTTGTTTTTGAGCTTTTTAAAACAATTATTTTCATAAAATTGTTATCCATTTTCATCACTTGGATTAAATTTATGTCACATCAATAGCCGTCCAAGTTATGTGACGTTAAGGAGCAACACTTAGGAAAATTAGACTAAACTGAAACGGGAAGGAGATGAAGGTACGAGACGCAGACTGAGAAACAATCGACTTTGTTTTGCTGTTCTAATGAAGACAACATATTCTGATTAGGATTATGCTAAAGATCAGGAGAGTTACCATGATAATGATGACCATGCATCCAGTCAAAATTCTGTTGAAGCGTTTATTCTCAGGAAAGTAAGGCTCCTCAGCTCCAGTGATCGGGTTCCTCGTGGTCATCGGCGCCATGGCTGAGAACTCTGGACGTGGACGCTCCTGTTCGGGGAAGGAAAGGACTTACAGAACCGCCTGCAAAGTGGAACCGTCTTAGAGCAAGGCATCACAGCATCTAACCTCAATGTCCTCCAAGTCAGTGCAGTCCCAGCGGTGGGAGAGAGTTGAACAAGTTCTCTTCCAGTACTCCAGGAAGGTGACGGCCCACAGAGACATGAAGAAGCTGAGGAACACTGTCCCCCAGTTGTCAAACAGGAGACCCGCCTGCAGACACCAAGGACACGCTGAGGCAGAGCGTCAACACAAAGCTGCGTTAGAAACATCTAAAGTTGCCGTCCTGAGAATCACTGTGATGCTGCAACAACGTCACTAAAGAAAGAGACAAACTTGGCCTCCAGTTCAATGCAATTCAGTTCAGGTCATTTATTTATGTAGCTCCTCTTCACAACTCATGTCATCCCAATGTGCTTGGCAAGAAAAGGTCCATTTAATCCAAGAAAGAATTTCAGTTGATCCTAATTATCAACAGTTCATTAAGTTTATTATTCAATGTCGTTAAAAAGGTTTTTTATCGAAGGAAACTCAACACTGAGAGCCGATCAACTGAATAGCAGCAGACAACCGGTCATTAAAACGCTGTTAAATAAAAACTTGGTTCTGACAATAACTGACCCATTTAGACCAGCGTGAACCGATTGAGGCTGGTTCACAGAAAGCAAGATGCCTCACAGGTACCTGATAGGTGAAGCAGATGCTGGAGTAGTTCCAGGTGGAGCAGACGTTACAGAGAGGACACATGATGAAAGTGTCTTTGCTCTCGCACAACTCCTTCCTGCAGGAACGAAAACATCTTCTGAGAAAACTGCCCGGCTTCGGTTTGTGTGGAGAATCGTTTTCACCACAGCAATTGGGATTCTTACAAAAACATAAAGACTAGAAGTGGAATGTGTTCTTACGCTGGGATGTCGGAGGACACAAGCACAAAACCCAACAGGAAAACCAGAGTCCCAATCAGAGACGCAGGCAGCAGCCAGGCAGTGTAGAAACCTGCAGACACCAACTGACTTAACACTGAGCAGGTTACAGTCATGAACTCTGGGTTAAATCTGCCTTCTGAGGAGAAAACTGACTGCTGCTTTGTTTTCCACTTAAAGTTAATGATTACTGAAAGCCACGCTTTTTACGTCCCTGAGGAACTCCTCATCCTACAGACAGCTGCTAAAATACACTGAGAATCTCTAAGAAAAATCAAAGATCTGTTCATTTAGACCGGATCACAGCAAGGAAACAGGGACAGACAATCTGGACTGCATCATTTTAAACAAGACATGAATTACCAATCCATGCAAAGTAGAGAGCTATCTTTTCCCCAAAATACTCCCTTATGTGGTCCAGAGGTTGGTAGCGCCTCCAGCAGGACCACTTGGACCAGTACGCATTCAGGATCTGCCTCTGTCCTAAAGACTGGAGGGGCACCGGGTCGACCGGCATCCTGTAGTCCCCCTGCAAACAGAGCTGACGTTGTAAACGTTGTTCCTCTAAGATGTTTTAAACGTGTAGGAAAGTCAGGTCCAGACCTCATGCAGTGGGTACGCTGCTGTGAAGATTCCCTCACTGATCAGCCGGTCGATGCCCACCTCGCCCCGGTTCACACAACCGTACGGGATTCTGGCCAGGATCTCATACAGCTGCAGACACAGAGAAACGTTGAGACTTTTCCTCAAATCAAACTGTTACAAACTGAAACAGAAACATCAGGGACACCAGGACATGCCCTGAGGAACTTCTCAATATTTAATGTTTTATGAGAAAAACAGCTTATTTCCATTTATTAAACAAAACACAACTAATTGAAATTGAAAATATTGTTTAATTTCCTGGAAAAAAATAATAAATTTTGGGATATGTTTCCTGATTTGAACATGTTTTTCTTTTACACCATTGCTGCTGATTTAGATGCAGAGTTTTTGTCTCATCCGTCTTGTTTTCATATTAAATCATTCAGTTTCCAGCAGCCTCTCACCCCAGCGAGGTCAGAGGTGACAGGCGGGGTCACCCTGCACAGGTCACCGCTCTGCCACACTATTGAAAATTCTGATTACTTTTGAAATAACATATATCATTAGTTTTAAACAACATCAATTGTCAATGAAAATTCTAAATTTTTAGGAGTTTTAGGACATTTGAGAGGAGAAATGCTTCTTGTATCCTTCAGGTCTTAATTATTGAAAAATAACATGCAAATATTTAGGCAATTTTTCTAAATGATAACAATATTCCAACTTTAAGAATATATCTAAATGTTAAATGCAAAAACAAAAAATCAAATAAAAAAAATTATAATCTAAGATCTCTGTTTTTAGCTTCTTCTGACAAGTACTGCCGCCTGCAGGTCATATGAAGTATTGCACCCTTTAATAATCACTTCATACTATAAAATTAGTTTCTTGAAAACAAAGCAACTTTATAAAAATCCAGGCAGAAAAAACCCATCAGATTTTATGTGCAGCAGCAACAGTTTGCCTATTTTCAGCTCTCTGCTCTGGATTCAAGCTCCCATTTGGGGTTGATGGTTAAATTTCTGAAACTGGTTTCCTGCAGCATTTCCAGCTCTGTTTGTCTCTGGGAGGCTGCAGAAGGAGGCGTTGCTCTCTGCAGCGTCCGTCCGTTGACAGATACATCCTGGATCTGAGGAGGGGTGAGGAGCAGCCTGGGACCCGGTGATGGGACTGGAACCAGTTCACAGTTCACTGGAGCTCTGCTGGAAGTCTGAGTGGGACCTGAACTGACAACTATTGCTGCAGCTGGAACTGTTTTTATCTGAAAAAATTATCTTTTAAAAATGTCTAGATTGTAGGATTTCATATTTTTCTCGGGTTTTTGGCTGAAAATTCACCAAACTTTGTCCAAAAAAAAATTGAATTATAGAAAAAAGTGGTTGTGCCAAGAGGCTCGCAAAGCGCCATGGGAAGGGAGGATGAACTGTACATTGCTGAAATCTGAAACTTGGTACATAAGTAGACGCCCCCCAACTCCAGAAAATAAAGTCTCTTGGGGATATGCCTAAAATATACAAGACGGCGGCCATTTTGGGTCACAAGGCAATTTTTGGCCATTTTTCTTGCTTACTCAACTTGAACTTTAACTAACTCCTCCTAGCAATTTTGAGCTATCAACTTAACTTTTGGTCAGTGTGTACCTAAAAGGATAGGGGGTAAAAAGTTATCAAAATCTCAACTTTTTCAGTATGTTTAGGGGGAGAAGAACAAATAGCGCCTGAACTCACCACTTGGTGTCTCTGGGTGGTCTTAAAGAAGGTCTCTCTGTTGTCACTTCCCAGGAACCTGCAGACACAGGACAGGTGATGCTGCAGCAGAAAATAATCTGGTCCCAGACTGGGGACAGGGACACTGCTGACCTCTCCAGCTTGTTGGCCCTGAACTGACAGGTGTAGTAGTCAGGAGGTTGGTTGGGGACATTCTGGCTGAGGGGGTTGGGGAGGGACAGCTTGGACAGGAATTGTTCAGACCAGTTTGTGATTGGAATGGTGAACACCTGCAGGAGGACGGAGGACACTGTGAGAGGACGTCCACTAGAGGCATGACAGCTGCATGGGAGGGTTTTACCTCGAGGGGCGCTCTGAGATTGATCTCCTCGGCGTAGTAACAGAGGAGATTCCAGGGGGCGCTGAGGAGGATGAAGTGGATCCTCCTCTTGATCTGGGAGACCACCCTCTGTGGACAATAAGACAGAACTATCAGAGTGATACTGATCCCACCAAGGGACACACAGGGACAAGTGAATGTTTGGCACAGCAAGAAACAGAACACCGCCACGGTGGTGAGGCGTCATGATGTGGGACGCCTTCCATCCCCTCATTCCAGCCAATCAGAGGCAGCCGTTTCACTCACGTCGCTCTGTTTGGGTTTGACTTCACGCTCAGGTGTGTTTGTTTTGCTCACCCGCTCCTGCAGCAGGCCTACTTGTCTCAGTCTGCTCAGAAACTGTTCCCTCCACTTCCTCTGGATGGCGACATCACCTGTGTCATCATGAATACCCCGAAGCTCCTCCCACACCAGGACAAAGTCTGACCAATCAGAAAACAACATTGAAAAGTTTACTAATGCAGATGGAAAAGGATATTACTAATTCCTTCTTTATGGACAAATTAATGTTTTACTAACAACATAAATCTGTAGCATTTAAACAGAAAGCTGATTTACAATATTTTAATCATTAATACTGAAATTAATCTGTTTTTTTCCAGTAAAAAGTTGTTAAATGATACATAACATAAATTCAGTAAAATCCATCTCACCAATTCGAGTCTTTCCATCGCTGAACACGTTCCTGTCCTGAGTCGCTGCTTTCTGGAAACCAAGAATATTCTGTAAATCACATTTTCTATTACATGACCATCACAGACAATACACTGACATCAAGTAAGTCTGAGGCAGCAGTGTAGTAGAAGTATGAAATACTGCCACCTGGAGCTGAGAGTTAGCAGTGACTTAAACCCACAAGTTTTGACAATTTTTGCAAAAACATTACAATGAATTCAAAATCATGCAATAGCACAAAAAAAAAAAAATCTGTTGATTTTGCATACATTTTCCATAATCACAGGATGGCAAAAAAACTGGAGGGACGGCTAAATGTAACAACCACCTGATAATCTGGTTCAACTGGGAAAAATACTCTATCATCTGCTCCATCTCCAGCTGCTGTGGCTCTGAGTCAAACCAACCTGTTCCCCTCCTGGCCTGTGGGGGCGCTGCACCAACAACCACTGAAGGAAACGACACAAAAACCTCTGAAGGCACTGAGAGTAACTTCCTGTTTCACCAGACGGAAACAAGATGGAGGCGTCAGATTTTAGCGAAAATGGCTTGTGGTCCTTTGGTAACGAGCACAAGCTATTTCTCCCGCTAGCACCAAGCTAGCATGTTTGTTTTGGTTGTATTTACCCAGAATGCCCTGCACTGTAAGCCACTTCCTACTTTTGGAGCGGTTTTTGGTCCACTTGGCATTCGAACTGAACCAGAGTTCACTTCAGAGGGACCCAGGTTGAAGTTTGTCGGCAGACCAGAGTTTGTTATTTTGGTATGTTTCAGAGTTTGATAACACATTCACACCTCCCCAACCAAAGAAGACTTTCTAGGCAAATCAACTAGAGTTGGATTTAGGCAGGAAACAGTCAACTTCAAATCTTGGTACAGTGGTCTGCCCCCTTCAAGGCTTTATTTTAGGTACTTATATCTCAGACTTTCTTGATATTCCAAGCTTTGACTAAATCATAAAACTAAAACCTATGGAGTTTTTAGTCAGCAACAGGTTCATCACTGTGGGTCTAACTGGCAGTCAACACCTGAGAGAAGGTACGATTCAGGGCGACTGAATCGCCATCCCTGCTCCAACACACCTGAACCGAAAGGCTGAATCACCTCCTTGACGAGTGAGCAAGTTTCCCAGAGGCCTGGTCATTAACCATTCATCTGATTCAAGTGTGTTGGACCATGAATGCTTCTACAAGTTGCAAAACATCTCTGCTGTGGTGTTATGGTCAAAATTAAAACCATTGTGCAGTCAGAGGTGACACCTTTGTTGTTGCAGGAGGATATACCCATTCCGAAGACACTGATCTGACTGATGGGCTGGTACCGGGCCGGCGGCGCCCGACGAGAGCGGCCGGCGGCGCCGCCCATGAGGTTTGTAGGAGGAGGGATAGTCTATTCTCATGTCACGTCAACTTTGTGGTTGACGGCCATCTTGGTAGGCACCAGCAGTTATGACAGTTGCTATGGAGTTGCTATGACAACAACAAAGAAGCCACAATGTTTGAAGCAGCTTTAGCATCGTCCGTTTCTAACTCATAAACAATTATTAGTCCACAACAACGTCTGAGTTCTGAACCCTCCTCTGTGTCATATTTACACTTCAGACTTTTAGGAACTATGCATAAAGTTTTATTGTATTCTACTTGCTGAAAAATTATACAAAAATCCAAAATCCCTCCAGGGTATGTAAACTTATGAGCACATTTGTAAGTGTTTTACTAGTTGACTTCCTGCTGGAAGCTGAACATGATTTAAACCTTTCCGTGTTTGAAGGGAAACGTTCCGGTTTCCATCCAGCTGAAGAGCTTCAGTGGAAAATTCATTTCTACTGGGTTATGAATGAACTTCCAGCGTCAGCAGAACTTTTAGCATCTCGGTAGGATAATCAATAAGCACTGATCAGGACTCAGGGGCCGAACTACGGCAAGCCGGACGTTCTGCAAAGCTTTTCAGGTTTAGTGAGAAGAAATCCTTCTGAGCGGAGCTGCCTGGTGAGGCAGCCTGGAGAAAACTGCCTCACCGGGCAGGAACTCAAACAGAACCAGGAGGAACCAGAACCAGAAGGAACCAGAACTCCTGATGTCTGTGGTGGATCAAAGCGGATACCTGGGTGGTACTGTCGCGGCGGAGTGTAGAGGTCGTTTCCATGACAATGGGGGTGCTGCTGGTCGATATCTTCTCCGAGCTGCTCATCATCCTCGCCCACTTTCTCCTCCTCCTGTGGAAACAAACGCGATAAATCACCTGGCGGCCCGTTTCTGTCTGCAGCCGCTCCGAGCCGCTGCTCAGGTTCTCACCTGCGTTAATGAGTTAACCTGTTAGTGATCTTACCCGTGTTAGTGATCTTACCCGTGTTAGTGATCTTACCCGTGTTAGTGATCTTACCCGTGTTAGTGATCTTACCTGTGTTAGTGATCTTACCTGTGTTAGTGATCTCTCGCAGCTCTTTCCCAGTCAAACAGCTGGAGTCGTTTTCCAGTCTGTTTCTTGTTCAGCAGAAACACGCGGAGGTTTTTATTCAAAAACGGCTCAGTTTTAAATTCAGAAACCGCCTCAATGTTCCGTTGCTGTTTAGATTTGATTTTAAATGAAGCCACTAATTAACGCATGTCGTATAATCTGATCCTGTGTGGATCAGACAAAATCCAGCAAATTCAAATGATTGTGTTTAATTAATGATAAAAAGAACAGCTTGAATAAACAATCAAAAATTAATTAAATCTCAACTTGTATCACTGCTTGAAAAGTATACAGTAATTAAGATAAATTGTTAATCAATGTAAAAAAAATGTTTTATATACAAACAAAAAAGAGAAAAATTTGTAAAAAAAAAAAAAAAAAAAAATTTTTATAAATCCTGGCAGTTTTTGTGTTTTACATGTTAAAGTGATGAGAAATATTTCGTTCTAAATGAGCCGGTCACATTAAGCAGGCGACAAATGCTGCCACCTGCTGGCAGCTCAGCAGAACAGCAGCTCACCGCTGAAAATGAATCATGTTTCTGCTGCTCAAAGCCTTCAGGTCAGAGGTCACAGGCTTTAGTCTTCAATCTGCTGCAGCTACTTTACCAGTTCAGGACTCGAAAGATTTTCCATGTTTCCATTTCCTCTGAACTCTCGATTTTTCTGACTTTTCATCTCCCTGGTGATGATCTTCCATGTGTGATTTTTGCCTGGACTGTCTGATAAATATCATTAAAGTTTCTGATAGGCCCTCCCCTTTCAGGTGGGCTCAGTAAATCTCAACCTTTATGTTCAAATTATTATGAACTAATCAGACAAATTGTGAATAACATGAACTGAAACGTCCTGAATGAAACAAGCCTTCAGATCAATGGTTTCTTTATTGCAACAATAAAATGAATAATTTCACATGTAACAATTACATTTCATTTTTAAACAAGCATTAGCAAAAAATACAATAAAAATAACATCACATCTGACCTATAAAACATGTAACATTTTGCAGTAAATATTTACTTTTTCTCACTAAGACAAGTTGGTGTTGCTTTTAAATGAGCTAAAATTAAAATGTTTAAAAAAAATCTACATTAATTGACCAACAGTTGAGCAACCGTAAGAAATGGAAATAATCTAATGCTCCAGACTAATTTATATCTCAGCAAGTGACCAAAACACAAACATTCAGAACCTAAGCTAAGCCTAATTTAAGTTCCCACATCCAGAATGCCTGTGCTGGAGATGTAAGTTTTTCTAAATACATCACAGACACATTGGAATAAGCTTTAGCTTCCTCTGACAGCAGAATAAAACACATTTTCTTTTTCAGTGGTTCCTCTTCAAGCCTCTCTGTTTCAGGACCGACCCAAAGCTTCAAAGCTTCTCAGGACAGTTACTCAGGAATCTCACAGGTCTTCCGGTTTCAGAAGGTAAAGGTAGGAAGATCTTGCACTGGCACACTGTTCTATGACAAGTTGGAAAGCTAAGTTACTTTCAATAAATCCGGTGAACATCCAGAAGGAGCTCCATTCTGCAGGTTGCAAAGCCTCACAGCCTTCAGTTCTGATGCAGTCGGGCTTCAGGTCAGCAGCTGCTTTCTGGATTCTTTTTATCTGAAGTCGTGTTCACATTTGTTGGTGATGCAACAGAGTAATCGAAATGTATTGGGCCTTTGGATCCACGACGTTCTGACATGTCACTCATGGGTTTCCCCAAAGCCTGGAGGTAACACAAGAAAATGTATCCAAAACCCTACCTGCCAAACACACGGCCTACCTGACAGGAAATTATGCTCAAACTGAACTTAAAGGACTTAAATGCTGGACCTTATTCTCAGCCAGCGCCTGTTTAGCCATGTAGTGTTCCCTCTTTATCTTAATCTCCACGTCTTCAGGGATGTCAGAAACTGTCGTGTCAATCAGTCGGCCGATGAAGAAGACCACATGCTGAGGTACAAAGATGGTGAAACACACATCATCAAACCAAGACAGGCAGCAGCGGTTTCCTTCACTCACCCTCTGATGGCGCTCTCACTCAACTAGAAGCTTTTCCAGTGAAGGTCCGTGATACCAATAGAGCATTCAGACCGAACACATCTCACACGTCAAAAAGGCGGCCAACGCCTCAAAGTTGGACACCCTTGGTACTGAAATCGCCTTAGAATCGCAACTGAGCAATGTGTGGAAAGGCAGGAGCCTCTTAACTTTAAGTTGTTCTTTTCTTTCAGTTTCTTTGTATAAAGGCAGAGGAGAGAGCAGTTTGGCTTTACTTTACTGGTCATCATGCCTCTCTGTGCTGTGTCTGAGCTCATCAGATAATTCAGAGACATTCTGAGTTTGGTGAGTTTCACCACCTATTCCGGAGCTGCGTGCCGCTGAGGGTTGCTTTAGCACGTCTCAGCCCAGTTTGACCACCTGCTGATCGTCTTGTCCTGCCAGGACACCAACTCAAGTGTCTTTGATGGAATGACACTCTGCTTTCACCTGCAAAACTTCAGATTTTCTAACTCTCGCGTTTGCTGCCAGACATGATTCAAAAGACGCAGCACCATACGTGTCCAAGACTTCATGATGCCCCTAGACGCGCATCCACCATAGTCCGACGGTGTAAACCAGACGCCCCTGACATTCAAGTTGTGTTCGGTCTGGATGCACTATTAGAAACTGTAGGAGACACTGACCTCAAAGACGATGACGAAGCTGAGTCGTATAGCGATGAGGTGAAAGAACGCCGGCAGATAATCGCCGTTATCATCCATAAAGCCTCTATACCTGAACAAAACCAATGTTAAGGTCCAAACCTGCTGCCATTGGGAGGACAGTATTGGACAGGCAGATTGAGGCCATTACTTGCAGGGGGTGCTGTTGTTGAGTGAGGCTGTTGCCAGGGTGAAGTTAACGAAGCCTCTCAGGCTGCTATCTCTGGTGAAACGGTAGTACTGCCGAGGCACAAAGGACGAGGTGAAGGCAATGAGAAAAGCCTGGAAACAGATTTTGGAAAAATTTAATTTGTTTCCATCAGGAAAGCTGATTCCTGATCAGGCCTGCAGACTCACGTTGCTGATGACAGCTATGTGTGAGATGAACTGCAGGATGTGAAACCAGATGCCGATGTCCTGAGCTCGCTCCACCACCGGGCGGCGGTATTCTTTCACATACTTCTGAGCGTCCAGACGGATTTCCACCCAGTTGTTCATGAGAGCAAAGAGAGGAGCGAGAGGACACGCCGCCACAAAGATGGTGATGAAACCAAACTGAAGCACTGAGAAGAGCAGCACTAGATTTTCAGAAACAAGCCGCAGTCATGGAAGCTTCTCTTATTTTGGAGCAAACAGAGGCTTTGGTTACCCATCTCCAGATATTCACCGAAGAGTCCCTCACAGACCAGGAGGTCGTAGTCTACCTCCCAAGGAGAAACGTTCATCATGGGCTGAGTCCCCTCCCCTGCCGCCTGTGGACGCCTCACTTTGGTTTTCTGCCACCACGCCTGAACCTTCCTGCCGAAACAAGAAGCCTTCTACTTCATGCGTCTTGCAGTCTAGTCTGAAAGTTGTTGTCAAACTTGATTTAAATAAAGTCTCTGTAAGGTTATCAAATCAAAACTCTTTAAACATATTTCTCCACTGCTCGAGTAAGTGTGGCTTGACATGTCCATTCTTGGAGATGAAATAGTCTTAGAAGCTGAAACATTGAAACACTGGCTTGGTGCACAAATATGACTTATTTTTAAGAAACTAGCTTGTATTTTACATTGACCAGATCTAGGAATGGCATGGAGTCATGACTGAATGAGAAAATAAATTGTACTGACACTGAAATAAGCTATAATTATTATACCATCTTTTTTATTTAATTCTTCACACAAGAAGAATTAAATAGGTCAATCACTTGGCGAGTGAGCTCCTGGCTGACTCGCCAAATTTAAAGCTGGCTTGGGTGAGCAAATCTCACTTGTCCTTTTTTTAAATAACTTGCTTGAAATTCATATTGACCAGAATTAGCAACAGCATGTTGAGTGAATGACCTGGATCAGCACAGGCGTATTATAACGTATTTATTATTATCAATAAAAATGATAATTTAAAAATAATTAAATAGTTTTATAAAGCAACAAAACATATTATGACACAACAGATTCACCAATGCCATTTCAGAAACTCAGGTATAAATCCAAACCTGAAATGCGTGTGGACATGCGCGCCAGGCTGAGTAAGATAAACCTGGATCTCAGTATTTTGGATCTGAATAGAAGTTTAAATTCTCCTGCCAGCCGTGAGCAGCAGAGGAATAATTCGAGTTTAGTGGATGGTGTGTTGTCTGTGTGTCGTTTACGGGGAGATGAATTCATGGACGTTGTTGATCATCTGTTTTCCCACCATGATGACCAGCAGCTCCTGGGCCAGGTCAATCAGACACCCGCCGGCTCCACACTGGAACACACAACCCAGAGAGCCGGAGACAAGAACGTCAGCTTCATTCATATTATCTGCCTGTGGTAAAACTCAACCCGTTTGAAGTTTTTGTTGCAGTTCGCTACAGTATTTACAGCAGCTTCTGTCCTCCAACATATTTAAACATAACAAACTGGTAGATCATATGTCCATATGGTACAAAGTCAGCAGGTCCAAGATGTCCAGGAGACAAACCCAGACATCTCCAGCAACACTCTAAGGCTCAGACTGAGAATCTCCACTGAGCGCTTCGGCTCAGGTATGGTGCACTTCACTTCGCTATTTTATCTGTTTCCTGCGACCCATAATGCAATATTCCTGAGCCCATTTCTGTTGCATATCCTAAGGACAATGGGAGGAGCTACTGGCGTCACACAACACCATCTATTGATTGGGGGGTGGAAAAATGTCACTGCTTGCAGCAAGCATCACATCCATCATCCCACTAATATGATGCAACGGTATGCGTTTGTTTCACCCTGCATGCCCAGTAAGAGTCACACTGGTGGTTGAAACACTCTCTTTAACACATCAGGAGATTTTTACTATTTTGGAAATAAGGGACAAGCATTCATTCATAGGCCCTTCAGAAAGTTCTGGATCAGCCCCAGAGTCAGTGGATGTGCCTGGAAAGCCTCTAAATGAAGCCCTCCACAGAAAGTATCGTCATCAGATGATCACCAGGCTCAGTGGATCAGAACTTCGTCCTGGTTCTCGCCTGTGAAGGAAGTTCTGATCCAATTGGCCTGCCATCTCTGAAGAGCCTCAGGATGTTTGGGGTTGAGGAAGATTCAACTCCTAACATGACATTTGCAGGCAGCCCCTTGACAAATCATTAATGAAATATATGTCTTTCTTTCAAACATGAACAAAGACAAACTCACTTCTTCATTACGAAGTCCAAACAGAGTGTTGTACATTCCAGGGTAACCAACGAACCTGAAGAGACACCAACAAACGAGCACAAGCTAAGTCTTTGGAGAAAATCAAACAACTTCATGATTAGAAGCAGAAGCACTTAAATACTTGATAAAAATGTTCCTTGAAGAAGCTTAGAGGCCTGTCGCCATTTGCTGGAGCAGCTCTCACCTGCCTTTGAAGAAGGCGATGTAGACGGGAGTTGAGTAGAAGTTCACAAACTGGAATATGAAAACTTTGAGGATGAACATGTCTTCATATTTGGTTTGAGTGCGATGCATTTCTGAGTGGTAACAAACACACAGGCATGGAGATGATGAAGACTGGAAGGTTTCCATCACTTCAACACCAGATACAGAGTCACAGCTGTGACATATTGGCTGATCAACCAGATGACATAGCCTGACATCATCCGAGGCTCTGTTCTTACAGAATATTATCATGGAATGCAAGTGTCAAGAGAATCTCTTACGGCGATTCATTGATCCACAGCGAAATACATACATACATGCATACGTTTTGTTCTATTTCCTCCCTACAGGCCACCAGAGGGCGTTGCTGAAAACCCTGCTGACTAAAACCAGCGATGTCACAAGGAGTCCAGAGCACATCCCTCCCTGAGAAAGGCGATGTCGGAGAATCCTTGCAGAAGAACCTGGCCCAGTGATGAGGGCTGGCACCATAAACATCCTCTTCATGTGGGCTGAAACTGTGTCGATCCGAATGGCTGGTTCCAGTGAGAATGAAATGACACTTTAGGCACAAATGCAGTGTTTGGCCACATGGTAGCATCATAGCCAACAGCCATCAGTACTAGAATGATGACATCGCCACTTCAAGCATTGAAAGAGAAGAGAGAGGGCTGCTTTTGTGAACACAGTGCATAAAAAACAACCAAAACTGGGAGAGGCTAACACTGCTAGGTTAGCTAAAATGTGAGCTGTGAGCTGGGAGACGAGGCGCAAATGTTGTCACCACCAACAATGACCAAAAGTACAAAGATCAAACCATCAAAGTTTACAGGAGGGTGCTACACCGCTATTGGATGTCTCATGGCAGTGAAATGATCCGAGATCCACAAGGTCGATGCCACGCAAAACAAACTGCATACGAGAAGAGAAAGAGAGCCACAGCTGATGTCAGGCCGTATATCCCGATGGATCATTCTGTTATGTTACTCTGTTAGCATTACTACTGGAATGGCGAATGCCTGAAGGGAACGTTCAGTGATTTCAGCACTGCCCTCTGGCGGTCAGTAGGAATGAAACAGAATCCATTTGTCAAACGCCACCAGACCTGAGAACAGAGACTCACCCCAGCGCGTAAGGACGCCGGCCAGCCAGATGTAAATTCTGGACAATGTCAGGATAATGATCAGGTTCAGCACTGATGCTGAAATGCTGGCTATCGTCCCAGCCTGAAAGCAGAAACCAGTTCAAGCTCAGGATCAGAACATCAGGAATGCATGGAGTCCCTCAGGGCAGCGTACTCAGAAATCTGTCCTGTCTGTACAGATTTTGACAACACTTTAAGGAACGCCCCGGCAGTTAGACTCACAGAGGCGCTGTCAGTTGTAGTTGACTTGTAGATGACGATTCTGAGGATGGTACGGTACAAAATAATGGCAATGAGGAACATCGGAACCACAGAAATCTGCACGCAGAAAACTCAAGTTCAACCTCTTATTCCAACTTCTGATGGTGGACATGGAAGATCAGGAGAGTTACCATGATAATGATGACCATGCATCCAGTCAAAATTCTGTTGAAGCGTTTATTCTCAGGAAAGTAAGGCTCCTCAGCTCCAGTGATCGGGTTCCTCGTGGTCATCGGCGCCATGGCTGAGAACTCTGGACGTGGACGCTCCTGTTCGGGGAAGGAAAGGACTTACAGAACCGCCTGCAAAGTGGAACCGTCTTAGACAAGGCATCACAGCATCTAACCTCAATGTCCTCGAAGTCAGAGCAGCCCCAGCGGTGGGAGAGAGTTGAGGAAGTTCTCTTCCAGTACTCCAGGAAGGTGACGGCCCACACTGACATGAAGAGGCTGAGGAACACTGTCCCCCAGTTGTCAAACAGGAGACCCGCCTGCAGACACCAAGGACACGCTGAGGCAGAGCTGTGCTTATTTATTACAACCTGAGCCAGCAGCAGCATACAGATATGAAAGATACAGGAAAGAAGCATCATTGGAAACCTGATCTAACTGACTGTAGGGAGTTAAAATGGCTGACAGTCAACTGACTTAAAGCAAATTGTTGAAAAGCATTAAGAGCACCGTTCAGAAATCAGGTTCAGTCAACCTCTGAACCGGAGGTCAGGCTGGTTCAGGCAGAGCCCGGCTGTGGTAGGAGAAAACATGAACCGGCTCACAGGTACCTTATAGGTGATGCAGATGCTGGAGTAGTTCCAGGTGGAGCAGATGTTACAGAGAGGACACATGATGAAAGTGCTTCCGCTTTCACACACCTCCCTCCTGCAGGTACAAAAACATTTTCTGCAGGAACTATCCGAGTATGAATCATTTTCACCACAGACAAGTCAAGCAGCACAGGAATTGGGATTGTTATAAAAGCATAAAGCCTAAACAATAAAGGTAGAATGTGTTCTTACGCTGGGACGTCAGAGAACACATCTAAAAATCCCAACAGGAAAACCAGAGTCCCAATCAGAGACGCAGGCAGCAGCCAGGCAGTGTAGAAACCTGCAGACACCAACTGACTTAACACTGAGCAGGTTACAGTCATGAACTCTGGGTTAAATCTGCCTTCTGAGGAGAAAACATGCTAAAATCTTGGAAAGTGCCACACCAGGGACTCCAGTACTCATCCATGGGAACTCCTCATCCTACAGAAAGCTGTTGAAGTCCAGTGAAAATCTTAAAGACTGTCATATCCTCCAGTGAGACTGGTTTATTTAGACCACTATCGGCTTGTTTCCACTGAGCAGTGCGGCCCGGATTGGTATCGCGATTCCTCCGCTGGTTGGACCATTAGGTCATACGAGTACAACGACAAACTTGTTGCCAACAGTGACGTTTTCTGTCTCACAATCAATGGACTGTGTTGAGTGGCGCCATCCTAACCGCACCATACCATTGTCCTATGGACCCACAACTTGAGGGCACCCAGGAACGGCGCACTAGGGGTCAGCCCATTCAATGAATGGGCTGACTTTACAACAAAAACAAACAGAATAGTGTACCGAACAGTACCGCTCAGTGGAAACGAGGCATGTCTGGACTGGATCAGGACATTTCAATCACAACTGTAATTACCGATCCATGCAAAGTAGAGAGCTATCTTTTCCCCAAAATACTCCCTTATGTGGCCCAGAGGTTGGTAGCGCCTCCAGCAGGACCACTTGGACCAGTACGCATTCAGGATCTGCCTCAGTCCTAAAGACTGGAGGGGCACCGGGTCGACCGGCATCCTGTAGTCCCCCTGCAAACAGAGCTGACGTTGTAAACGTTGTTCCTCTAAGATGTTTTAAACGTGTAGGAAAGTCAGGTCCAGACCTCATGCAGTGGGTACGCTGCTGTGAAGATTCCCTCACTGACCAGCCGGTCGATGCCCACCTCGCCCCGGTTCACACAACCGTACGGGACTCTGGCCAGGATCTCATACAGCTGCAGACACAGAGAAACGCTTCATGTTGAGTTTCTTCAAGATGTCAAATTATTATAAACCAGAAAGATGAGGGACACGAGGACATGTCCCTGAGGAACTATCAATGTTATATGACAAACACAGCTTAAGATAGTTTGACTGGAAATAACTGTCACCAAATTCAGATTTATCTTACCCTGATAAATTATAGCTGTGTATGTAAGTTCAAATTAAATTGTTTCCTCATAAGTTACATTTTTAGGGATACACAGTTTCTGTCCGACAGCAACAACTTTTCTTTTTCACATCAGATTATCAGGGATGCAGGGCTCAAGACTTGTGTTGAACTCATTTTCATCTTGTCCTCATCTCAGAAGAAGAAGAATTCGGTGTTGCACGGCGCCTGAACTCACCACTTGGTGTCTCTGGGTGGTCTTAAAGAACGTCTCTCTGTTGTCACTTCCCAGGAACCTGTAGACACAGGACAGGTGATGCAGGTTCCAGTCTGGGACCAGAAACTGTTCTGGTCCCAGACTGGGGACAGGGACACTGCTGACCTCTCCAGCTTGCTGGACCTGAACTGACAGGTGTAGTAGTCAGGTGGTTGGTTGGGGACGTACTGGGTGAGGGGGTTGGGGAGCGACAGCTTGGACAGGAAATGTTCAGACCAGTTAGTCATCGGATCGGTGACCACCTGCAAAAGGACGGAGGACACTGTGAGAGGACGTCCACCAGAGGCATGACAGATGCATGGGAGGGTTTTACCTCCAGTGGGACTTTGAGATTGATCTCCTCGGCGTAGTAGCAGAGGACCCTCCAGGGGGCGCTGAGGAGGACGAAGCGGATCCTCTTCTTTGCCTTGAAGACGTCCCTCTGTGGACAACAGGACAGAAAGACCTTGAAGTGGACATGTCAGGACACAGAACACCCGTCCAGCACGATTGTGGAGGCGTCATGATGTGGGACGCCTTCCATCCCCTCATTCCAGCCAATCAGAGGCAGCCGTTTCACTCACGTCGCTCTGTTTGGGTTTGACTTCACGCTCAGGTGTGTTGTTTTGCTCACCCGCTCCTGCAGCAGGCCTACTTGTCTCAGTCTGCTCAGAAACTGTTCCCTCCACTTCTTCTGGATGGCGACATCACCTGGGCCGTTCTCATTAACACCCCGAAGCTCCTCCCACACCAGGACAAAGTCTGACCAATCAGAAAACAGCATTCAAAAGTTTACTAACACAGATGGAAAAAGATATTACTAATTCCTTCTTTATGGACAAATTAATGTTTTACTAACAACATAAATCTGCAGCATTTCAACAGAAAGCTGATTTACAATATTTTAATCAGTAATACTGAAATTAATCTGTTTCTTTTCCAGTAAAAAGTTGTAAATGACCAAAGTTTTCCAACAAATTTCGACAAATTGAAAGTTCAGCAAAATCCGCCTCACCAATTCGAGTCCTTCCGTCTCTGAACACGTTCCTGTTTGGAATCGATGCTTCCTGGAAAACAAGGAATTTCCAATTTACCTGAAACACACCTGCTTGCTCTAAACAAACCACTATTCAATGAGCAGAATGCATTCTGAGTCTCTGTGGCTGATGTGTGTCGGTTTCCTCATGGAAAACTTTAGCTTTCTGTGTTTTCTTGTCGGTTTTTGGTTGCCAGTCGTCAAGTTCAGGGTTTGTGGAGTTTTTCCTCCTTCATCAATGATCAGTTTCAAGAGGCAAGTCATTAAGAGAAACACTGTACATCAGTCACTCCAGCAATTTATGATTTATTTTTTATATATTTCCTTCAATCAAAATCTCAAATTTTGTGGCGCTACTTCAGAAATATTCGTAAGAAATTTTCCGATATTTGTGCTTATGTATGAAGGTAAATGAGACTTTTTGTTACTCACCATATTGATCAGACTTTAAACTTACTTATGGTTCCAAAGCAGCTCTAACCGGGTGGATTTTCTAATCTCAGTTTAAAGAAACTTTGTGTTTCAGCTGTTTTGCAGTTTTCTGAAAGTTTGTCCCAGAATCGTGGTACACAGAAGCTGAATGCTGCTTCTTTGTGTTCGTCTGGTTCAAAGACAAACAGATGCATGAGTTTCTCTAGATCTTGCTGGAATATCAGTCTTTTAACGCTGGAATTGTTCTCCAGGTAATAGAAGACTGACTTTGTAACTGTCTGTATGTGGCTCTGAAGGTTCAGGTCAGACTGCATCACCACGCCCCGATTGGTTATTTACCGGAGTTTATTGTGGCGTTCTATGTTGGGAAAACTCTGGATATGATGTTAGACTTCAGAGCTACAAGATCTTGGTTGTGTGAACATTTTGTTCAAGGATGTTTTGACTGAAAATGTGTCTTTAAAAGAAGAATGTCGGAAGGAAAAAATGGTGTCTTTGGTGAAGAAATGAGCTCCTGCTGTTGGTGCGGTTTGAGACTCTCATTCTTGCTGCCCAACCAGCATTTTCCAGTTGACGTAGTTGATAACACTATCAGCATGACGCATGCTGCTGATTGCTCCATTAATCTCAGATGATTCCTTTTCGTCATGGTATTTTTTTTTAAATAAGCTCCTTTCTCAGAAACTCTGGTTTTTATGTCTTCGATTCTTATGACAGACACGTCTCTGATGGAGAAAACAAGGATCTCATCTGATCGCACAGACTTCCTGTTACCTGCTGCAGCCACGCTAAATCCCAGATCCTCATCAGTTAGAAAAATAAAACAGAAGAAGAAAGCCTGTGAGTCTTCCTCTGGAGGAACGGCCAACCAATTTTTCTCTATGCGGTTACATTTGTGTCAAAAATAAGTAGAAGTCATATGTGTAGATGTTGTTCTGTGTCGTTGCTGTGTCTTTGGTAGATGTCTGAGGTCTTAGTGTTTTATGGACATGACAATGTTGCATAAGTCTATGTTGCATATGCATATATGCATTACCTACATGTGCAACATTTACATGCAACATCAATATATCCATAAAGCACTAAGACCATAAACATCTTGGTGTCTGGTCTTAGAGGATTAGGGATTCATCTATCCCCTGTAATAATCCTCTGGGATTGGGGATTGTCCCTTCCCAACGACACATAGAGTTGGGGATTGACAACACTGTGTGTCAGTCCCAGAGACACATAACGACATAGACCAGGAGTGGGCAATCCTGGTCCTCGAGGGCCGGTGTCCTGCAACTCTACTTTGTCCAACACAGCTGAATCAAATCACTGAATCACCTCCTAAATGCAGTCAAGTTTTCCAGAGTCCTGCTGATGACATCATTATTTGACTCAGGTGTGTTGAAGTAGAGACATGTCTAAAGGATGCCTGGACCTCCAGGCCTGGAATTGCCCAACCCTGACATAGACCTACATGCGCATATGACTTCTGCTTATTTTTGACACAAATGGAACCCCATATTCCTGCAGTTCCAGGTTTTATTAGCTATTCATAATTATAAGTAATATTAGTTAATAACTGCATACGTAAAATCTTTGTAAGTTTTAACTTGAGTAAAACTAGTTTAGCTTATATATTACAGAAAATAGAACAGTTCAATATTAATGGTGTACCTTTGATTAATTGCTATGATTTATTTATTTATGCACCTTTAAACACAGAGGAGAATTTATCATTACTAATATGTCTTCCTGGCACCTGCTAATACTGTTCAGGTTAATTGAGATACATGTACTTATACATATAAAACTACAATATAAAACTAGCAACTGCAGTTTGGTTACCTGATGGGCTTTTTAGTTACTTTAGCATTAAATCCTTGGATTTTGACTGAACTGAAGAAGCATTTTTGTTTTTTTCAAAATAATGCAAGTCCTATCCACTATGTAATATCCATGTTTACCTTCTTGCGCCTCATCGTCATGTCCGGTGGGCTAGCAGGGCTAACGGAGCTAGCCAAAACATGGAGTCATTACACCGTCAGCTCACCTACCTGTACATTTATATTCACCTGAATTTGAACTTTCTTGGTTTTAATAGGCGGCGCGTCCGTCCAACACCGAACAGCGGCTGGTTGTCCGCTTTCTGGCGCTCTGCTCATGTTTTCTAACTACATCCACTCACCAGAAACTACCCGGCAGAAACGGTGAGGAACGGCGCCGCCACTGTTGTCGTTGGCAACCGCTCAGCAAGGAAAGCAGCTATTGGCTGTTCTAAAATTTCATGGATGACGTCATCGCATAACTTGCATATTTGGTCAAGTGACCAGGAAAAGTGACCAAAAACACTTAGAACTACAAAAGAACTTTATGAAACAATTTAATAATGTCAGTTAAATGCTACCCCGGATAAGCGGAAGAAGATGGATGGATGTCAAATAATATCAATACGTTGTCTGAACCTACATAGATCAGTTTTGTGTGATTTAACAGTTAACCAGAAGATCTTCACTGAGAGACAGATGGGTGAAGATCCCATCTGTGTTTAAAAATGCAATCATTTATTTTAGTGTGACAGTTTTTGGCGGGGGGGAAGAAAGAAAAAGGTGGGGGTCATTTATGCAACATGAAAAAATACATTTATATTGTAATCCATGCACGATCACCAACAGCTTTGCGCATGCGTCAATAACTTGTCCTCCCTCTCTCCAAGTCCACCTCACTGCAGCAAACAGAAAGGGGCGGGACGGTCTCTTACCTTATTTGGAAATGGGACCGTTGCACTCCGGAAGTGAAGGGGGCGCTATTTCCTACATTATCCCCGGCTCACAGAATAACAAATCTGGTTGTTAAACCAGGATTGCTAAACAGATACAAGCAAAAATTTTAATTTTTGTTTTTAACGGTGCCATACATTATTCTGACAGACTTTTTGTTGGCAGAATCCTATATATAAAAAAATAAGATGAAACTTTAGTCTCTCGAGGTGGAAATGTTCCTTTGACTCTAAAGAAATAACACATTAATAGAATCACAATATCAAAAATTTTTGCAAAGATTAAAACAGTTAGCATGCTATAGTTAAATGTTACCATTTAGTTTAAAAATAATTATTGTACTATTAATAAATGACTTATAATCGATGTTCCAAGGTATCGGACACAATGAGCTCAGAGGTTCACACTGACAAAAAGTCAAGAGGTTTCTATCTGCTAAAATAGCAAACAGTTGAGACAGAGTTGTTTTTGGTTTCTCTGTAAAAATGCATATAACTCCCTATCAAATTAGTCAAAGTGCTTTACTGTCTAGCTCCAGGCTAAATGATAATCTTACCAGCAAAATATTTGGTTTGAAACTGTGGCATTTGTAAATAAACAACAAAGGGAAAATAGGACCTTGAAAAACATGCTAATTTTTACTGTTATGGCAGGTTGAACAACCTAAATTATTGCTGGTAATTTTAGACTATGTGACTTTACTCAGCAGTAATTTGATGGATTTCTTAATAAAATCCTTAAAAACTGGAGGAACTTTCAGCCAAGACGTTCATTTACCAGCAACATTAAACATTAACTGGAGAAACATCAGCTGGGAGAGCTAATGATCCCCCAGCATGACATTACAAACACTAATGTAATCAGCAGTGAGAAAGACTTTGGGAAGAGGACAAAAACTTTCAAAATCAAAGCAACATTTTGTGCAGATCGAATTAAGGACACATTTAAAAAGATGTTTCTTAAATGAACTGTTTTGGCTGTTTAAGCTCTTCAGTGCACAATGTTTCTGTTTTCTTTGGAGGCTGAAAAAAATCATAACTAGCAGTTATAGTTCATAAAACATAATCAATATTTAATATTTTCATGCATAATTAGAAGTTGGCTTGGATTCAAACAACCAGCAACAAAGACAATGTTTGAATGTTTTGTTATACAGTTAAAACTAACATTTCTTAAAAAATATAAACATCTGAAATCAGTTTTTAATTTTATTAAAGGGATGCTAAAATCAAGCAATTTTTAACGTCACTTTATTGATGTTGGAGGGTCTCTGTGGGATGCTTTGTGTTTAAAGACAGAAAATAAAAGTGATTTATTCTGTTTGAGAGAAAACATCTGCTGCCCCCTTCAGGCCAGACAGATTACAACAAGCAGTGTGATTCTACATCAGTTTAGTCTTATTGACAAATAGTTATACACACTGTGCCTGGAAGGACCATTGTAGACTCCAAAAACCGATTTAAATATGACCGTATGAACAGTTCCAGTGAATGGGTGAAGAAACGGTTTCAAACACAAATAGGTCCTCACAAACACAAATTCAGAAATATGGACATACATTCTGTTGTGTTTTAATTTCTCTGGGAACCCTTTAAATCTGGAGCAACCCGAGGCCCCCGAACTGAACCTGGCCCTGACTGAAAGCCCTTTAACTCAAAGAATTGGGGATCGGATCCAAATTCCCCACTATCCACAGTGTTCCACATGCTGAAAGATGAAGACGGGTCCTCACAAGGATGGATGACGCGCACGCACACACACGCACACACACACACGCGCACATCTTTGGCAGGAAGCAGCTTTCTTAAACAAACGAGATGCTGCACAGTAATGATGTCATCAGGAAGTGACAGAATGTGATGGTGTTATAACATTGACTAAGTCTTCTTGTTATATTTTCAAAGCCAAAGTTCCTGAACTGATCATTGGAGGTAGTTTCTTCACATCTTGAAAACTCAGTATGTAAATATTTCACGCTAAACTCAACTTTTCTCCCTTACAAAAACTTTAGATGGTAACAACTTTCCTACTGTGTTAGTGTCCAAATGTCTCTCAATCCCACCAACTCCACCCTAGAGGACTTCAAGCAAGTTATCACAATGCCTTTAGATCCAGTTGCATAACACTTGTTGTGATGAATTTGGTGCAACTCTTTACCAGTCTTCATCAAATTCATAGACCCAAACTAGATGGTGAATGAAAATCCTGACAAAGCTGCAATTAATGTCTCTCAATTAACACTGTCCTGCAACTTTTGTATGCAGCCATGCTCCTACACACTTGAATCACTCTTCAGCCAAATGACTAGTCTTTTACAAAACTGAACTAAAGACATGCCATCTATCCATCGTCTTCTACTTCTCCGAATTGGGGTATGTGAGACAGCAGGGTCAGGAGCAAACCCTAGACATCCTTTTCCCAGCAACATTTGTAGGGTATACAAGATGCACAGTCCGTTCAATGAGTTCTGGGTTTCTGAGGGGTCACCTTCCAGTGGGACAGAACCAGAAAACCTCTCAAGAGAGGCACTGAGGTGGCATCTTGATCAGATGCCCAAACCAGCACAACTCATTCCTTTTGATGTGGACAAGTAACACATCATTTGGGGGGTGCTACTATGAGCACCCCCCAAATGACGGTGCTCCTCTCTAAAGCAGAATCCAGCCTCCCTACAAGAGGACACCAACTCTGCATCCTTGTCTTATGACCAGAGGTGAGGCTCAGAATGTAGATGAACTGGATGACATGCCAGGAAGGTAATTCGGCCTTATGATTCAGGTGTATTGGAGCACATATCCATCCAAAGGTTGCAGAACAGTGGCACTCAAGGACTGGCATTGCAGACTCCTTGTGGAGAACTTGCTTCTCCCTTAAATACCATGGTGAAGGAGTCTTGAGGACGTATGCTGTTGAGTGCTTGGCATCGCAGCACTGAATCCCTTTCCAAATTGGTTGTAATCCAGCCATGTTCTAATAGACCATGGAGTCTATCTTGGTCCTTATTCAGTGTGATATTTGCCCCCAGTAATACATCAGCCTCCCCAAAGTTTACATCTTTCAGAGACTTTAAGTTTTCTTTACTGAAGCTCCAGTGCTTGATACCTGCAGGCATTTTTGTCTAAGCCACACTCTCTGGGTCTCATTTAACATTTCAACACTTTATTTTGGACTTTGAAGGCAACATTCTGGATCATGGCACATTGTTCCTCACAGCTGAAGAAATAAAAGTCACTAACTTCTGGGTTTAACATGGATTCTAGGCAAAGTAGACTGACTATAAAGGACTCATCTGTGAAACTGGCACAAATAAAAATGGTGATTAATTTCACTTGGATTCAAGATGACAGACAAAGAAAAGAAATGAAATATTTGAAAATGGGGATCAACAACAATGAAAAGAAATGCAAAACTCACATTTATGATTAAAGCCAATACTAATGCCAATTACTGTCTGTTCAATTGGCCGTCAGTGGGATTAATGAAAACATTACATAGATCTTTAAACATTAAAGCGATCTGGTGTATAATAAAACCTCAGATGTACAGATTGATCATTTAAATTCTCTGATTTTTTACAAATGTTCTCATTCACCTCCCCACATCTAGCCAATGAAACGACTCACACAGAGTGAAGTTATGGGCCAGTTTGGTATGAGGTCATCACAGTGATAGACGAAGATACAGAGATCTCTCATACAAAATACAACCACAAATACCCATTAATATTAACGGTAATAAAGCACACGTCAGCAACACTGCCCCCCCAGCGGCTTCATTGCCATCGGTCCGCCACGTCTCTGAAGTCCAACAACTCTGTTCGGTTTCCAGACAGGAAGTCAGTCTGATCGTCGCCAAGTAACTGATGAACTAAAGATTACACATGGGCCGCGAACGCAACACGGGGTCGTGCAGAATCTAAGACACTAAAACAGTGGCCAACCTGGAGATTGACCTGATTAACTCTCTGTATCACCACCACCAGTCCTCTTTGCTCCTCTACCAGACCTCGCAGGGCTTCCCGGTGTTCATGGGCGTCCCCTTCGGACAGTTGAAGTGGCGGCTGAAGTCCGGAGAGTTGGCCAGAGTGCCGATGACTCTGTATTTGGGGGGGCTGTGAGGGTCAGTCACCAGGCCCTCGTGAGCGCTCTCCGGTGTTCGAACCGAACACCACACCTGAAAGAGATGGAGTGTTACAGATGGTTCATAGGTCAGGACAATATATCCAACTTCAGATGACCAGCATAACTTGTAACTTGCACCTGTTTTCTGTTTGACTTTCTAACTTCTCACATTGTTTTTAGTTGACATTGCCAACTTGGGACTAAATTTCACCCTGAAGAACCAGACTTCTCACACTTTCTCTGGTTGGATCTCAGCAGACCCGTCTGTGAAACTCTTAAAGTTGGCAGTCGATACCTCCATCTTTCGGTGATTAGGGCAGACTAGAGGTGGATCACCTTGTCACCAGTCTATTGCTTCCAGTTGTCGCTAGGATCGACCGTTCGTCTGAACCTGAGATTGTCCGCACACATCAACGCTGTCCAGAAGAAGATCCAGCAGAGACTAGACTTTCTGCAGCAACTCAAGAAATCCAATCTTCCACAGAGGCTGCTGGAATCTCCTCCACAGTCATTATTGTTTGTCCATCATTGTGTGGTTTGGATCGTCCACAAAAATCATCCAGACTGCAGGGAACAGTCTGATCTGGAGAGGGGATCATCTGGACTGACCTTACCTCAGTCCAGAACTTGAACTGGTATAGTGTCAGGAAAAGGGTGGGTAGCATCTCTGCTGACCCCACACATGTTGGACACAAACTGTGTAGTTTTTTACCTTTAAGGCAGTGCTGCAGAGACTGCAGCAGTCGCTGCAGTTCATACTTATCTCTTGATTAACATTTAAGAGACAAGTTTAACCCAAGTCAAATTGGTTGTTTATATGCAAAAAATTGCCAAATAAATCTGATTCTGATTTTATTGAGGTTTCTCTACATCTCTCTGAATCTCCCAACACAGAATTTCAATCAAATTAAAGACTGGACCAATGTGACTCCTTTCATTTTCAGTCAGTCCGTCATTCTGTTGTAGATGTTTTGCTGAGTATCAATACCTGCGTAAGTCAATCTTACTGGAAAGATAAGCAAGTTTTTATTATTTTTTGGAAGAAACTCACCTGAGCAAATCCGAGAAAGAAGAGCTGGTCATTGGTTAGGTTGACTGCAGGGAGCCTCTTTTCTTCTCCATTTTTCTGGATCCATGATCGGTACGCCTTAAAAAAAATCAACACCAGCTTAAAGATGATGTCAAAGCATGGACATTAACAAGAAAACTCAGTGATTTGAGGTGCTTGTAATATACAACGGTACAGCTTGTGTGCATACTAACATGATAAGCTGCTTTCAGTCCGCCGTTGTCAGCAATGTTTTCCCCGAGCGTTTGTTTTCCGTTGATTGGCTCTCCGTTGACGGTGTAGTGGTTGTACTGTTCCACCATGCACTCTGTTCTCTGACGGAACGCCTCCACTGAGGAGTTCTGCCACCATGGCCTCAGGTTCCCCTCTTTATCATACTCCCGACCTGAGGAACAAGAAGATGGTCTCAAATAGCCTGGTGTTGCATCAGAACTTTCATTTTAGACTGAAACTCATTCTGAACCTCAGCACTGAGAACCAAGCTATGAAAGGATCCAGGTGGCATGTTTGTCCTGTTCTAGCTCCAAATATCTTTGACTTTCAAATCACTCATCAATCTTCTCTGGGAACCAATAAGGACTGAAAGAAGGGAAGTCCAACAGCCGTACCCTCTTCTTCCTCAGCCGAGGGTTTGGGATGAGGTCAGACTTTCACTGGCATCTGAATGACCCAATTCTGATCTTTTCACCTCATAGTTGTCAAAGTGTCTCCAGTCTGAATGATCATGTCAAATTCTATCCAAATTTTATGTTACTGATGTGAGACATGACTCATAATTCTTCACCAGAAGAAGCCAGATGCAGTAAATCCAGACAAACAATTTATAATTATAATAATTATGAACTTAAGAAAAAAATCTCAGTGATGCACATCGGTTCCCGATCCCACCACTTCCGGTCCAACTCCACATCCAAACAGACTTCTCTCCAGAAGCTGCAGTCAATGCTCCACTAAAGGCCGCTGCTGTTAGCTGGGCTTTCTTTTTAATCAGTTTTTTAATTGCCTTGTTCTGATCATGCTGTCGACTCCATTTGCTAAATAACTTTAGAAATCCTTCCATAGACGGCAGCATCCATTATTACTGCCGTAAAAAAAGCGCTACTGTGTGACAGCTTGGTGGGTTGCTTTGGAGTCATGAACCGTTCACACAGAAGTCTGATTACGGCCACAATTAGTCTGCAATTAATCTGTAATTAGTCTGTAATTAGTCTGACCGACCAAACAAAAAAACAGTGCCAGGAAAAAATTGGAATTGAGCATCACAACTTGCAGTGGACATAACTATAGTGGAGAAACTCTCACTGATGATACCATAGCCTGACTTACAGGTAAAGATATTTCCTTTCAACCACCATCAGACTGCTCAAATGGAACACTGATCAATAAAATTTATGTGCATTTGCTTGATTATTTTGATGATGGCATTTGACAAAATGTAATATTTATGCATTACAGTTAGTCAAATACATGTTTTTTGTGATGCAGAGCAATTTGAACAGCCTTGTTGCTGAAATGTGTTAAAAATGACTGGACCAGCATAGAAATGTGTTTCTATGAAAACGTTTTTAGGATTTAATATTTGTGTTTTTTATGTTTTTATGTCAGAAGAAGACACTGACAGGGGCAAAGTCACATGAATATTAACTTCCTAACTTTAGCCAGCAGATGGAGCTATTCATCTTTTTTCTCAAACGTTTTTATTTGAACTCTGTTTACATTAAGAAAACGTGCTCTAAGAAGCTGATGAGAATATTAGGAATTGGTAATATTGCAGTTACTGTCCAATCATTCCACCCTATAGTAGACAAACCTGAGCTGAAATGGTTACGATTTGCCTTTATTAAGATATATCTGGATTCAATTAGCAGGGCCTGTAAAGATGAAAGGAAGCTGTTATTTTAACATGTTAAAGCTGCTCATTTTCCACCTCGACCCAACTGTTCCCTCCAACTGTTCCCTCCAACTGTTCCCTCCAACTGCAAGCCAAAAATCCATGCTGCCTTTTCTATCCATAGTTTTGGAGGAAGAGGTTTTTAAAAGGTTTTAAAAAGACGTTTTAAACTTATATTTGTATAAATATATCTGTATATATTTATAACTTAATTCAGATGTTTTAGTGCTTTTAAAAAGAACAACTCTTTCCTGCTATGGGTCAGACCTCACAGGCAGGAACCTCTCTGTTAATCTAAGGGCTTGTTCTTCTTCCACCACATTGCTGCCAATGGAGACGCAGCGAACCTGGCTAGAACCCAATCAGACATTAACCGGCTACGGTGAGATCTGACATAGGAGAAGGGACTAAAGTGTGTTTTGGTATCCTACCATGGATACCCTTTTTGCCCAGTCTCTTCTTTTTTGGAGCAATACAGTGAAAGGACAATATCATTGGAATATTTCTAAGACATAAAGGGCTTCAGAGAAGCCCTCACATCAGGTAGGTGGCCTTACCCTGATCATCAAAGGCGTGCGTAAGTTCGTGACCCATCACAACCCCAATACCGCCAAAGTTCAACGCTCTGAAAAACAACATCGTTTCATTCAGTTTAAAATATTTCGACAGAACCCAAAACAGAACATGAAATTCTGAGGATGGGTGGATGTGGAGGTAAACGGACTTGGGGTGGTCGTGGGCGTAGAAAGGAGCTTGCAAGATCCCGGCGGGGAAGACGATGCCGTTCTTAGTGGGCATGTAGTAGGCGTTAACTGTAGGAGGAGTCATGCTCCACCTGCAGGAGGAGAAGAGGGAAAATTGGAGTGAATAATTCAGTCTGTCAGGTTTCAAACATTCTTCATTTCTCCTGAAGCAACAGTGTGCTGCTGCGTTTAAGTCCAGTTCTTGACCAAAACATCGAGATACAGACCCGTTTATAGAGTTTCTACACAGAACCAATGCCTTTCAGATTTTCTTGGCTCAATTGATGTCAGACCCTGATATGATCACAGAACAAACTGGTCTCATTTCTATGAAAGGAGACCAGTTTCACATCAGCACAATGCTTTGTTACCTAGAAACCCAAGAACAGGGTTGTGGTGACCCATGAGATGAACTGAAACTGTGACTCTGTGCCTTGTGTACATTTTCTGAGTCCAGTTCCCCTTCCTGGCTCATTGTGTTTGCAGCCATTTGCCATGACAGATTTAATGCAAATCAGTAAACAGTGATTACACATACAAAAAAAGAATTAAATCAGCTGCAGGTTTTGCATAAAATGTTTTTTTTGTATTGTTCCTACTTTGCTGTTGAATTGGAGTCAGTCTCTAAATAAGTTAAACAATCTGCTGGGAATGGACTCAGCCTACACAGAGTGCGTGTTCAGGCTTTATCAAGTTGCTTCATGATTTTTGGCTGATGAAGCTGCATGACTGGGTGAAACTGGGTGAAAGGAGGATGTGAAAATGTTCTGTTACTGGTCTTTGTTGGGAGTCTTCCTCAGCTGGTCGGCCATCACTCGGGCTGAGAAGTTATAGAAGTTCAACATGTTCTGGAAGAAGCTGTCATCCGACACCTCATACTGAAACAGAGCCAAGATGAAGTGATGACACATCTCCAACAGCAGGGGGCAGAGGAGGTCCACATACTTTAACACCGGAACCAGAACCCGAGTGAGCCATGTTCTGTCCCGACAGCCGTCACTCACCCCGTCGTAAACGTCGTCCAGCTCTTTGGGATCCAGGATGAACTCTGGGAAACCGATCATGTCGTAGATCGCGTCTGCCTGTCAAGAGACACAGACACCGCCGGGACATCATGTCTCCATGTCGACAACTCGTCAGTCTGAATGTTGTTGGTCGCCCCAAGACTCGACCCACGTACCTTGTCCTTAGCAGCTTGTCGCGTCTCATCATCCATCCAGCTGAGACGGTCGAGAGAGTATTTAAACGCAGAGCGGATCTCGTTGATCATCTCCTCCGCCTGATGGGAAAAGAGCTGAAGTGAACCAGAACCTCCTGGACCAACCAAGACCAAGGCAACAGAGACACACAGGGACTCACAATCTCTTTGCTGTGCTTGTCAAACGTTGCCTTGACGAAGAGAGCGCCAAGAGCGAAGCCCAGCGTGTCGTCTGTGTTCCCGATGCAGGTCTGCCAGCGTGGGGTGCAGGACTGCAAAAAGACGAAGAGATAGAACCGGAAGGAGCTACCTGAGGCCGACCCGGTCCGGCTGGAGCCGACCCGGTCCGGCTGGTGGGTCACCTCCCGCTGCAGCCGGTTACAGGCAGAAATAGAGAAAAGCAGGGGCAGCTGAATGACGTCCAGCTAAACCAGAGGAGGGGTCAGGCCTGCCAGCCTCTAGGAACCATTAGCATGCAGCAATGAAAGACAAATCCAGGGTCCAAAACCAGTTTTAAATACATTCACTTTGTGAAAACCCAAATTAGACAAGATAGAGAGTCCATAATAGAAGACTATGTCCACTGATGGACAGGAGATGAGACCATTAAAACCAGGATGGGCAGAGCCAGCTTGGTGAGTTACATCGCTGGTTCAGGTGATGACAACCCACCGGCCCTCAGCCCAGGGCAGCTGCTCGCTTTGTTTCACCTCCATCCAAAGTGTTTCTACATCAGGAAGAGCTGAGTTAGTCGAATGACTTCAAAAACCCAATTAGTGTCATGATCTGAACATCCCAACCCACGACCAAAACTGAAGAAGGTTTCATGACGAGAACCGTCTTCAGGAAGACCAGCTGCATGCGTCAGCGATTCCCAATCATCCAGAGGAAGACGATCCTCAGAGAAAAACGGCTGCTAGAGACACCGGGTTCAGCTGCAGCAGAACTGGAGCCCAGTGACCATTAAAGCCAGTTAGGACCAGTAACAGACAGGAAGAAAGAAGAAAACGTAATCTGGTCTGGTTCTCACAGGCTAATGGGGTAAAAATGACTGTTTCAATTTAGGAACATTTCTTAATTCAAGGAAGAAAAATCCACCTTGTAAAAGAAACTGAAACCCAGTTCAGTCAGAACTGAACTGGGTTTTAATTTATGCTTTTATTTCCCCATTTCAAAATAAAAGCATCAATTAATTTATGGGACGCAATGTGTGCTAAACAGTTTCAATGTTAGACAAAGCACTCAACAACATATTACTCCTGGGTTAGATTAGAGGAAGCCTCCCCACCACTGCTTAGGACTTTATTTTGATATGACCTGTCAAAGCTCACAGTTGGAGCTAATCATTCATCACATAATCAATAAACATCCTTTCAGACTTTCATTTCTGAAATTGTGTTTAACTCCTGCTTTCCACCAAGAACCAGTTACAACAGGAGAGAATCAGGAGTTCCCAGTAAATACAGAAGAACTGGACCAGTTAGAACCATCAACACACAAGAAACCACTTTAAACCAGTTTGGTTTTCCAGTTCAAAGCCCAGGGATAAAGATTACCAACCGTGGGGAATTCCTACCTCCATCTGAAAGAGACATGGCCGTCAGCAGGTGAACCGAGCTCAGGTGAGGTAGCGTTAGCATTAGCATTAGCGGTCGTACCTTCTTGGTGCCATAGAGACTCTCCAGCAGTTTGTCCTGAGCGTTCTCGAAGCGCTGATCCAAGGTGGCGACGCCCTTCTGGACCAACGTCCACATCATGTAGTTGTTCAGGAGGCTGGAGGCAAAACATCAGCAGCAACATCAGCAGCATCAACAACAACAGAGCAACATTTCTCAAAGTGAGGGGTGCGACCCCTCAGGGGGCTGCAGGAGATGCTGGGGGGCCACAAAACATTGGAAAAATAATAATTTCAATTAAATTTAATTTTTTTTCAATCATTATTATAAAATATGTAGAGATTAGTGTAGAGATTTTTTTTTAAAATGATGGGATTAACCTAAAATTATACATGTTCTTATCAAGATAGAATTAGATGTGCTGAAGCGCTACATCAACACGATCTAATCCAACATCAGATCAATAAAGTCATCAGAAAGTCGATTCCGTTTAAAATTTGAAGGTATGAAGCAACATTAGTGGAGAAAAACCCACTAAATTAAAATGTTTTGTACATATTTTCTCTGTGGATCAGAAGCTGTTTGGGCGCCGTGGAGTGAAGTGTGTGGTCTGGGTCGGAGAGCCGGGCCCTTCCAGAACCAGCAGCGGATACCTGCGGTCCGTCTTGTTGATGAGCTCGGACACCTGCTGCAGGTACTCTCTGGCGTACAGAACCACAGGCTCGGTGTCGTTCAGGTCCAGAGGAGCCAGGGAGAACGTCAGGAAGTCCAGCCAGTCCACAGCTGGAGCCAGCAGCTGCAAAACAGGAAGAGGCCACACTCAGCACTACGCTTCCCATGAGCCTCGGCTGCAGGGCGCCATGGAAACCAGGCTGCTCAGCAACATGAGCGTGCTGCGGGGCGAAAATAATCCCTGCTGAGGCAGAACCTGAACGGTCAGGAAAACAGAAATGAAAAGATTTCCTGCTGTTTCCCACCAGCAGGAGGCAGCAGAGCTGGACCCGATTCAGACCGGGCAGCGGCCCGGGGCGGCAGGCTCTAGGGGGCAGGGGTCGCATAGACTTTCTCTAAATTTTATTTCATTTTGTTTATTGTTTACAAATGCATGTTTTGGAATCACTGTTATTGTAGTTGCGATATATGACCATTTTAATAATAATTTTTACATATTTGTGGAATTTGTCACTTTCTGTTTGGTGATGAAGTAAAAAAGCCGTTTGAAAATCAGGACGCCATGAAATACCGACGCTCTGAACTGCGAACAAATATCCAGGACATTGAACGCCACACAGTTAGCAGTGAGAACATGAGGTTGATTAACAGCGCTAAGCCCCGCCTCCTTCCTCTGATTGGTTGTTTTCTTCAGACGGCAGCAGCTCAGGAAGGAGATCAAACTTTTCACAGATTATTTGTCTCAAACTATCATAACATGGTTTCAGTTTGAACAAATGTGCAAAAACGTTTTGGGATTGCTTTGAATGTAAACAATATTAAAGCATTTGAAAGCTATTAAGTTATAATCAGTTTCTTTGGGAACAGGATGGAGCGAGCGGCTGCAGCAGAGCAGAGGTTCTCAAAGTGGGGGTCCAGGCCTCTTTTGGGTCGCAAAACAACAAGCAGAAGGTCAAACATTAAATGTCTTAAATAATCAACAATTATATGCCTTCTAATACTTTTTTTTTAAATTCACTTAAAAATACTGATAAATATCTACATATATTTTCAGTAAATAGAGGGGGGGGGGCGGTCAGACGCATTCAAATCTGCTGATGAAGATCATTTACATTCATTTACATCTGTAATTTCAATTAATAAAATAAGTTATTCAGTGGCACAGTCTTGCTGGAGGTCACATGACTTCTGATAGATAATCAATCAGAGTTGTGCTGAAGCTTAATCCCAATATTCTGGATTATTCTGATGCAGGAAGGAGATTAAGAATCAAATCTGATCAGAATCTGCAGGTGAAGCAGCAGCAGCAGCAGAACAGTCCAAAACAAGCAGACCGACTCCGGCTTATGCAACAACCGGTTACCTAACAGATACAGGCGCATAGCAACGGCTCGGGGCAACAGTCGCCATGGTGACCCTGAAGCATACGCAGCACCATGGAGGATGCTACGCAGCACAGAGGATGCTACGCAGCACAGAGGATGCTACGCAGCACCATAGAGGATGCTACGCAGCACCATGGAGGATGCTACGCAGCACCATGGAGGATGCTACGCAGCACCATGGATGCTACGCAGCACAGAGGATGCTACGCAGCACAGAGGATGCTACGCAGCACCATGGAGGATGCTACGCAGCACCATGGAGGATGCTACGCAGCACCATGGATGCTACGCAGCACAGAGGATGCTACGCAGCACAGAGGATGCTACGCAGCACAGAGGATGCTACGCAGCACAGAGGATGCTACGCAGCACCATGGATGCTACGCAGCACCATGGATGCTACGCAGCACAGAGGATGCTACGCAGCACAGAGGATGCTACGCAGCACCATGGATGCTACGCAGCACAGAGGATGCTACGCAGCACCATGGATGCTACGCAGCACCATGGATGCTACGCAGCACAGAGGATGCTACGCAGCACCATGGATGCTACGCAGCACCATGGATGCTACGCAGCACAGAGGATGCTACGCAGCACAGAGGATGCTACGCAGCACAGAGGATGCTACGCAGCACCATGGATGCTACGCAGCACCATGGATGCTACGCAGCACAGAGGATGCTACGCAGCACCATGGATGCTACGCAGCACAGAGGATGCTACGCAGCACAGAGGATGCTACGCAGCACAAAGGATGCTACGCAGCACCATGGATGCTACGCAGCACCATGGATGCTACGCAGCACAGAGGATGCTACGCAGCACAGAGGATGCTACGCAGCACCATGGATGCTACGCAGCACAGAGGATGCTACGCAGCACAGAGGATGCTACGCAGCACAGAGGATGCTACGCAGCACCATGGATGCTACGCAGCACAGAGGATGCTACGCAGCACAGAGGATGCTACGCAGCACAGAGGATGCTACGCAGCACCATGGATGCTACGCAGCACAGAGGATGCTACGCAGCACCAAGGATGCTACGCAGCACAGAGGATGCTACGCAGCACCATGGATGCTACGCAGCACCATGGATGCTACGCAGCACCATGGATGCTACGCAGCACAGAGGATGCTACGCAGCACCATGGATGCTACGCAGCACCATGGATGCTACGCAGCACCATGGATGCTACGCAGCAGAGCTGAAAACTCTCTGCTTTCCCATCAGACCAGGAATTAAATCCTGCAGAGGTCAGAGGGAACAAACACAACCTTTGACCCCAACCAGCGGCGGTCGACTCGTCGCTCTTCATGGAGACGAGATCCGATCCGGATCAGAACTCAGTCCATCACAAACGCAAGAAAAAAAACATTAACTGGTCAATTCTGACTTACAGCTGCTGAAATAAATAAACTGGATTCTATCAGATCAGTTCTGCTGTGGTCCAAACTGAAACCACAGGAGGGCGCTGGTAAACGTTTATAGAAGGGGAAAGTTGAGTGGAAGGAAAACATCTGTTGCAGCATTCCAGAATCTGGTTGAGCTTCAGCAGGACTGGACTCAGAACCTGAACCACAAAACAGAACCAGAACCGGTCCAAGGTTCTCTCTTACGTCATTCAGAACCAATCAGAGGCCGGCTCTCACCTGCAGCTCGGCGATCGTGACCTTGTGGTAGATCTTCTCCTCGTCGCGGCGCTGGTCCTGCGGGACGGTGATGTTGGCCAGCGTCGTCTCAAACTCCAGGATCTGCTGCATCTGCAGCTGGGTGGCGCTCTTCTCCCCGCCCAGCAGCGTCCCCAGCTCCACCATGTAGTCCAGGTACGCCGCCAACACCTGCAGGGCAGAGGCAGACCGGGTCACCGACGACCGGGTCACCGACAACCGGGTCACCGACGACCGGGTCACCGACAACCGGGTCACCCGGGATCACAGCTGACCGCATCGTGCCACTGGACCCACGCCTGCTGGCAGCCTCACCTTCTCATTGGCCGTCTTGTTGAGGTAATAGTCCCGGGACGGAAGGAAGAGCCCTGATTGGTCCACCTGCAGAGCAGAGCAGCAGGTGAGCAGTTGTACCTGGATGTCAGGAACTCGTCGGTGTGAATGTCTGGAACCGGATCAGAACCTGGATGACGTTACTGTTGGAGCTCTTGGGATCGGTGCTGACGCCCACGCTGAAGAACGGCTGGGCTCGGTACGGACCCGACACCATCTTCAGAACCTCCATGAAGTTGTCTTTGTCCCACGGACCCGTCATGTTCCAGCCACCGATCTGCAGGCGGACCACAGGGTCAGAGGTCAGGAAGGGTCAGGCAGACTGCGGTGTTGGTGGAAAGTCGCCAGCCACTGTTACCGGAAAGGTTAAAGGTCATCTCCATAATGGAGGAAGACCATCATCCTCCAGAGAGGAAGACTTCTGATCTTCATGGAGGTCAAGTTGGTCGTAACTTTAGCAATGCGGTTGCCATGGAGACAGTGTGGACGGGCACCGCTAACTAAAAGGCTAGCTGCTAGCAGCAGAGCGCCCTCCTCTGGCGGCTACCTTGGCTATCAGGTCCATGAGCGGCTGGGAGCCGAGCTCCTCGATGCGCTGCGTGTTGAGGCAGGACAGGTAGTAGGACTGCGTCTTCCTCTCGGCTTCGCTGGTGCCGTTGAACGTCCCGTTCTCTGCACACAGGAAGAAAACCCATCAGAGTGTCCAGCCGGTTCCGGCCGCTTCGGACCCAGCGGCTGGTTTTGTCTCATTTACCCAGCAGGTGTTTGAGCAGCGCCTGGTTTTGCTCCCAGATGCTGTTGAAGGTGGACCAGCGGGACCGTCCGTCCGGCAGCGGGTTCTTCCTCATCCACCCGCCGCAGGCGAACTGGTAGAAGTCCTGGCAGGGGTCAGCGCTGCGGTCCATGGCCTCCACAATCTGACTGGCCACGGTGACGCACGCCTCCGACAGGCACAGGCCCCGCCCACTGTCTGCGGCACACAGAGGGCAGAACGGTCACGGCTCAGCAGGCTGAACCCGGGCGAGAGGAAGAACCACTGAGGAGAACAATCGGAGGATGACTGAAGATACAGACGGGTACCACAGGAAAGAACCGAAGAGGATCGGCAGGAAACAGGAAGTTCTGCCTGTGATTGGTTCTTTATCGTCCAGGCAATATTCTGATTGGATGTGAGGAATCTGTCTGCACTCAGCTGGTGGAGCAGCTCCTTTACTTATCCTTCAAGTTGTGAACACGATTTTAAAAAGTTGGTTTCATGTTAAAAACATTTGCATATTTTTGGCCCTACTGGCATTCCAAACATAAGGAGCAAGAGCATCAGAATGGAGGGCAACATACAAAATGTTTTTTATGCTTGGACATCGTAAAATATGATGAAAATTCAGTCAAGTTCTGAACAATAAAAAAAGTATTGAAAGCCAAAAGTGACAAAATTCACCATTTTTAACACTTTCAATGAAAAAAAGTTGAGTAAAAAAATGGCAGTTTGAAAATCAGGACACCATAAAATAAAGCCAAAGTCCAATTGAAGCATTTCTTCTGAAAAGAAATCATGTTTATTCTGAGCATTGAAGGCTGTTGATCTGAAGCTGTACTGAAAGACAATAGTGCCAAAAATCACCATTTTAGCTGCCAAGTGTGTGGGTGAAAACTTGCATAAAAAAACAGTTTTATATAAGTTCAGACGACGCAAGATGTGATAAAAATCTCATTTAAATGGCAAAAATAAAATGACTTATTCAATAGATTCACTGGAAACTGTCACATGTAAAAAGAGGCGTTCAAAGACCAGAATAAACTCGTTTTTCCCACCGTTCAGAATGTGGTTTTATAATGGTGTAAATAAGAGATTATGGCCTCAACTTGGATAAGATTTTTTTTTACCATCAGTTTTTTACCAAATTTGTGGTAAAGCTTGTGATTTGTGGCACCTTTGGCTTCCCAAAGGTGAACATTATTTTGTTTAACGATCGCCAGTGTGACGTTTAAACACTCGGCTGAGGGAAAAGCGTGGGTGTTTCAACATGGAGGCGACGCCCATAACGTGGTACGGAAAGAAGAACGAAACAGAGAAGAGGAAGAGGAAGGATGAGAAGATGGAACCAAAACCCAAGAATAGGAGGAGGAAAAGAACCAGGCGTGGGAAAGAGAGGAGATCAGTCAGAGAGGAAAGGAGGAGGCTGAGGAGGAAAGGTGGAGACCGGAAAACAAGGAAGCTTCAGGAGGAGAGGATAAGGAAAGGGAGGAGGTGGAAAAGAGGACAAGAGAAGGAGAAAGAGAGAGAGAGAGACAGAGAGACAGAGAGAGAGACAGAGAGAGAGAGAGAGAGACAGAGAGACAGAGAGAGACAGAGAGACAGAGAGAGAGAGAGACAGAGAGACAGAGAGAGAGAGACAGAGAGAGAGACAGAGAGACAGAGAGAGAGAGACAGAGAGAGAGAGAGAAAGAGACAGAGAGAGAGAGAGAGAGACAGAGAGAGAGAGACAGACAGAGAGAGAGACAGAGAGAGAGAGAGAGAGAGAGAGAGAGACAGAGAGAGATGGGACCAGTTACCTGAGCTGAATCCCAGGCCCAGAACCACCAGGCAGGCGAACAGAGCCAACAGGGCGGCCAGCAGCATGACAGAGAGCAGAACCTCCAGCTGGGTCCGCCGGCCCAGGATGTCCACTCCCCCCTTCCTGAAGCCCACCTGGGACACAGAGAGGCAGCGTTACCTGAGGAACACCTGGAGGACACCTGGAAACACCTAGAGGACACCTGGAGGACACCTGGAAACACCTGGAGGACACCTAGAGGACACCTGGAAACACCTGGAGGACACCTAGAGGACACCTGGACAACACCTGGAGGACACCTGGAAACACCTGGAGGACACCTGTCCAGTCTGCCACGGAGTTTTAGGGCCATTGTAGATAGAAAAAGAACCGCTAGAAAATTTCTGTGAAAAAACTCAAAAATGAGAAAGAATTTCAAAAAGCCAAAAATATCCTAGAAAAAAACGTTCAGCAATAAAAAAAAAATAAATAAAAAAAATTGTGGAAATTTCTGAGTTGAAAAAAAAATTTTATAGAAAAAAGGAAAATTTATGGAGTTAAAAAACTTCTAGAAATTTCTGAATTTTTCAACTTTTTTTCTGAAATAATTCTGAGATCTCAGAACGGGATCCGACACCAAGCAGCTCCACCTGGACTCCTGATCCCGTCCTCTGGGTTTCCTGGGATCCAGACAAACTGCTGACTCAGCAGAAACCTGCAGAATGTTCTGTTGGGCCCGTTTGGGTCGGGAAGCGTCTGGTTCCAGATGATTATCTTCTGTCTTCTTTCATCCTGATGGGATTTGTTTGTCTCTTGATCATTTACCTCTGCTGTTAAAGCTGCAGGTGAGCTTTCAGGTTTTAAATAGGCCACGCCCACTCATGACATCACAGCTCTGCTCCAGGTGGGGCTCATTTGGTTTTTCGCTGCTGCTGCTGATTTGTTTCTGTGAAACATTAGAGCGGGCAGAACCACATGGATCCGTTCTGACTTCAGGGGACGACGGGGTTAAAGCGATTAGAGTCTCCTGGGATAGAAAACATTCGCCGCTGTAATCAGGCTGATTCGCCTCCACAGACTCATTTCCTGCAGCTTTTAGTCAGAGCAGCTTCATGTTTCTTCAGACTCTTGCTTTTATTCTGGGCCAATTATCCAGGAATGTTTTCCGTCTCTCTGACCTCCAGCATCGGCAGAAGCTCCTGAACTCAGCATCGTGTTGATCTCAGAAAAATGATTTTATGTCCAGAGCAACTGGAAAACAGTCTGCTGCTCTTAACCCAGTCAAAATGAACCAGTAGAAATCTACCAGGAGTTATAGTTGTATTAGTTTATCTTAGTTCAATTTATCTGTATTTAGCTTGTTTTAAGTTTATTTAGTGAGCTAATATAGTCTAATCAGTTTCTCTACTGAGGTTAGTTTTGCTGATGTTAGCTCCTGTAGCTTAGATTATTTTATCTTGGCTTACTTTAGCATAAGCATCTTATGAATGACAAGTTAACTTATTTAGCCTTTTGTTAGCATAGAGTCGCATAAAGCTATAAAACTGTGAATCTATTAGCCTGCCATTTTCAGAGAATGACAGACTCCAACCATTAGTTTTTTCATTTCTATTTTTCTGTGAATGTCTAAATATATATTTTTTGTTTAGTTTGTAGTTTTTGTTAAGCTAACTGGTCATAGTGTTGTAATCACTGTTGACATCTGATTCAACCATAAGGCAAATTTAAAAAGAAGTTTGGATCAGAAGGTTTTTATCAGAGCGAATAAAAAGTTCTTGCATATTTTCCTGTCCAATATTCCACACTTTTCCATTTTTAAAGCTTCTTAAAGCCGTGCGACAGACTGGCGACCTGCGCAGGATGTGCATCGTCTCTCGCCTGGAACGCAGCTGGAGAAGCAGCAGCCAGGCTGACCTCTGACCCCATTGGGACCAGGCTCTCAGAAAACGCATGGATGGATGGAGCTTCTGAAAAATGTTTTGTGGACCACATTGAGTGAAACCCAACTGAGTTATGAAAAGATTTCGGCTGCAACCAAAAAGAAGAAGAAGAAGCTTGTGTGGAAGATGCACTGTAAAACCTGAACTCTACCTAAACCTTTGCTGTCATTGGGAGAAACTCTTCTCTTTTTTTAATTATGATTTTCTGCTCTCTCTCACACACAGAAAGCATGCTTGTTTCCAGGGCCTGGTGGCACTCCAGGCCCCCTGCTACGACTCTGTGTTGGTGGCTGTGGCCCCCTGCTGACAGGCCCCGGCTGAGGGGCCCCCCTGTGGAGCTTCCTCCCTGTGAGGCCCCCGTCTGTCCGGTCAGGACTTCATCTGGACGCTCACAGTATCCCTACAGCCTGGCTCCTGTTTGTTTGTGCGATGCGTTCACTGACCTCCATTCTGTCGGGAGATGAGGCCGCCTCGGCCGGCGTGTCGGAGCCCTCCTCCTCCTCCAGCGTAGCTCGCTTGTAGCTGGACATCTGCAGGGAGAAAACAGAGCCAGGATCAGATCAGACTCCGCGCTCCGCTCCGGACCGTGGTTTGCGTCAATCCGCTGTTTGTTTGCATCAGGCGGGAAGCTGAATGGCTCCTCTGGGACTCGAATGCATCATCCCAAACAAACACTCTGGATCTCTGGTTCAGTTTCCAGTGCAAATATCTCAGTTCAAACAAGATAAATCTGACTTGCATTAACTTTTCAGCAAGATATATGACTTTGTTTTAAGTAAATAATTCCTTAGTATTAATATTTAAAAAGTACCAGTTCTACTGGCAGATTATTTCCCATGTTATGAGTGAAAAAAATGTATGGAACCACAACTTTTTCATCAATAATAATGAATTATTTACAGATAGTAAATATTAATATATATATTAATTGCAGTTTAGTTTTATATTTGTAGGAGAAACCAAACAAAAATACTTGATAAAATGTTGTGTTTTGCAGAGTCATCAATGTTTCAACTGTTTTATGTCTCATCTGGTTTTAAAGGTCAGGTTGTTCCTGGAGAAGCTTTTTGTTTGTCCTTTCTTCTTTAAAATGGGACAACAGTAACTCTCTCACTGCTCAGGCTGGCCAGTAAAATTATATTTTTTATTTATTCATAACGATTTGAATTAAAATCATAGCTTCATAAGACCAGAAACTTCTCCAGGAAAGTTACAGGAAGTCCCTCAAGCTGAGAGGAAAGTTACAGAACATGTCAAATCAAACTGAATCAAGTCAAACAATCCGGCGGTAAAATGTTAGAGGAGATTTAAGTTGATATATTCACACAGTATTCAAATGTATCCATCCCCTTTTGTTGCTTTCACAAATCAACAAAGCTAGGTTCTTAGGACAAAAATGTGTTTCTGTTCACCAAGTTGCATTTTGAGTAAATTATTAATTGATCACTAAATTAGCTGATGATTATTTGAATGAGTGATAAATCTGATTAATCGCTCTGAATCAGTCACAGCTTGTTTTCTTGTTGGCGATCAGTTTGTTGTTGCGTTCTTGGCTTTTTAACTCTATATTTTAACCCCGGGTGAAGCTGTGGCGGCGGCGGTGCGCGGCCTTGGAGGCCTCAGTGGCGGCGGCAGCAGCTTGCAGAGCGCTGTGCTGCAGCAGGTCCTGCAGCACAGCTTCCCGTCGGCCTGCAGAGCGTCGGTGTCCTGCAGGAAACAAAAGGTTTCCAACTGTTTCCTTCCTCAAGACCCACACTGAAACCTGTCTCCCTCTCTCTCCTTTTGTGTTGCTCGCCCCACTGTGTTCTCTTTAATTGATGACGCACGCAGAGCGGGGGGGGTCAGCGATCAGGTTGCCAGGAGATGGGAGTGTGTGTTGTCTCTCCCTGTGAAGCCTGATGTCATTGTGTGTGTGTGTAATTAGATAATGTGTGTGAATCATCTCCATTCAGCTCTAATGGAGTCCTCTGCAGCTTATATAACATCTGTCTGTCTGCTCTTTTGTCCCCCGTCAGCCTCCATACTCTGACCTGAGACAAACACTCAGAGCAAGATGCTTCATCTTTCAGCCAAACGGCACGGAAAACCCAAGATCCTGCTGCTTCGAGACGCCGGAACCGGATCCATCAGGTTCTGGTGCTAAACAACTACAGGAACCAAAGATTTTCCAGTTTTTCCAAAGCTGGAAAAACATACAGATTCACCTACAGAGGAGGCAGAGAGCCACTGGAAAAAAGAAGTCCTTTTAAATCACAATTCTAACTTCTAATTTTAATAAAGTCAAAATCTTGAGTAAATGTGAAAAATTCTGAGAAAAAATCAAAACTTTGAGAAAAAAAGTAAAATTTCTGTGAAAACATAAAAATTCTCTTTATTTTCAGTGACCATTGCCCTCTTCTATATCCATCCATATATAAACTCTATGTAATATAACTAATAACGATCAATAATAAAAACTCTGACCTACATGGAGATTTGGGAATCCTTATCTGCGTTTATGTGTCTACGTTGGAAACCAGACATGTAGAGGTCCACGCATACAGTCTGTGACAAATAATGTATCGCTGCTGATGTTACATATATAACCATCGTTAATTTCCAAACCTGAGAGACGCAATGATGATTGCAGGCAAAATTAACGAAGAAAAACAACATGAATGTCTCAGATGAAGTCCGACTTTCACTGGACTCCCTGCCGGTTTGGTCGTACAACGTGACAACACGCAACACACCAAGTGATTTCACTCACCACCACTCAGTCAGATGGGAAATGACACAAAACTCCTCAAGATCAAACGTGAGTTCAGAGTAAACAAACATGGCTGCCCATGGTGACAATCAGTGGACAACAATACAAAGAGATCTTGGATGATGTCCAACTTCCACTGGACTCCCTGGTTTGCCTTGGCAGTTGGTTTGTCTTTTTTGTGTTTTGGATTGCCGTCCATGTTTCTGTCTCGCCATCTGATAGGGTACGCATCACATTCAACAGGCTGCATTCTCGTTTGACCTTGGGGCTACACCTCATGCTGCAATATTAGACCAACATGTTGGATACTCCTGATTTTAGATCAAAGCAGTCCTGACATCTTTCCTTGCAGACCAGATCACTCTGAACACACGGCAGGAAGATCCAATATCATCTCTTGAACAGTGAATGAAGTTGTTTTCCAAAAGTTTCCCTAAGTTGTTTTTGCCAGTTTATTCATGGTGTTAACTTGACATCATCCTCCCTGCTATGTGCAGTAAGAGTTGTTCAATTCAAGGAAAGTAAGTAAACAAAGCAGTAACGCTTACAGCTTAGCTAGTGCTGCCATCTTGCCACTATGTTCTCCAACGTGTTCCGTAACTCCCACTGACACAGGCTGGTTTCCCCAAACGGTCAGAAATGGGCACCGGAGTTCAAAGGTATCCGAACTTGAACCAGTTCAAGTTTGAGAGTTTGTACAGTGGAAATGCACAGAAACCTTTAACTACCAGATATAGGAGCAGTAGCTCATTATAACTAGATTCATATTTCAAGAAAACCAAATATATTTTCTATGCTAAACAAGACAGACTGCAGTAGCAAAACAGAAACAACTCTTGGAGTTTTTAGATGAAACGGGGTGATAAGAAGGAACGTCTTGGCAAACCTCTTTATGGCTTTTTAACAGCTTGTGTTGTGATATTTTTATTTCTTGTCACAGTGAGAAACTTTTACACTATAGTGTCATGAAGTTGTCTCATTTTAATGAGAACATTTTTTATTGCAATGCTACTGAATTTATTTTCCAGCTGTGGCAGTTAAATGCTTCCATATAGAAACACGCTGTGAGTCCTTGCCCAACATCAGTGTCTGACCTCAGAATTGGTCAGAAACTCCTCTGAGAACATGTCAGCATCCCAGAGGAGATGAAGCTGTTGGGTGTCAGTAGAGGTTGTGTGTGTGAAGGCAGAGGAGCAAATGGTTCTGGTTCTGTGTCTAAAGGTGGATCTGAGGAGAAGCTGTGATCAGAACTAGTTCTGAAGTTGCAGCTGAACAGACCCCATGCTGCTCTGTGTCTCATTTGGGAAATATTTGTCTCTCATGGAGATGAGTTTTAATATCATCACCAGAAACAGACAAAGCTTGATTAGATTGAGTTTATTAGCAGCAGTCATGGGTTTACGTGTCCCTGCTGCCCCTCTGGTTCTAATGAAACCGGTTCCAGTCGGTCAGTAAGTGTTCGGTTCATTTCCTGAACCTGCAGGCAGAGACTCGTTGAGCCGGCCTGAACGGGCCCGACAGGTTGTTCCGGTAAGCTCCGCAGGTTTCTCTGCTCTCAAAGTGTCACCGAGAACCGATGCAGGAAGTTTCATTTCCTCCTGGGAACGACGGCTTTAATGAGCAGGAACTCCGGGGAGCGCTGCGCCTGAGAGGAACACATTAACCTCATGATCTGACGGGCCTCAGGAGGGAGCTGAAGCTCCTCCTGGGGGCGCGGAGGAGCACAGCAGCCACAACGTTTTCCTACCCTCTCTGTTCTCCAAACCTCAGAAACCAAACTGACCTTCTTTCTGCACAGAATGAGTCAGAGAAGCACAGAGAAAGTTTCCAAACCCTGAACTGAACTGTGACATGGAAGCAAAACGACAACATTTTTAACAATGTGGAATCTGAAAAGTGTGGCATGCATTTGCATGAAGCTCATTTTCCTCCTGACGCCCTGAAATAAAAAGTTCTGTGTAATTAATTTCTAGTTCACATGGCAAAATAATTTAGCAGATTTTGTTCCTGATCATCATGATGCTGTAGAGAAAATCTGAAGATTTTTCATCTGCTGAACGCGACGTTTAGCTGGGGAAGCACTATTTTCTTGTTTTCTTTTCAAGAAATGTTTAGAAAAAGGTGTTTTATTAATTATTCCTTCTGTGAGTTGAACATGGACTATTAACCATAAAGGTTTAGGCCTTTATGAGAACAAAGTTACAATGTTAGCAGAATAAATTGTCTTCAAATTAAGAGGAAATAGTTATTTTATGGAGAAAATTAAGTTTTTAATTTTTGTGTTGGGTTTTCATAAAATTACTAATTTATTCTTCTAATATTACAGCTTTATTATCATATTAGTATTATAAATGGTTGTCTGTCTCTAATATTCTATCATAGATTTGACCTGAATTCAAAGTCCAAATAAAATAAGCTGTAAATGAAACCAGGTTTCCTGAACAAGCAGCATCACTGCGGTACTGGGCCAGACGGAGCTAAAACCCGTCAGGGGCAGCAGAAAACCTGAGCCTGGGCTGGACGGTTGCCTTCCAGCAGGACCACCAGCCAGAGACATTATGGAACGGCCTAGTCAAAGTACAGATGTGAACTCAGAATGTTGTTAAAATGACGGGTCATCCCATCTGGTCGAACACAAATAATTAAAGAAAAGCCCATTTCTGCTGCTGGGAATGTTTAGTGGAAGGAAAAACTCATCATCATCTGAGTCTGTTTATCCCTTCCTTTGCAGCAGGATCAAAGTGATGCGGCGGGTTTTCTGTCCGCTGAGCTTGTTTGCTCAGGCTGCTGGCCAGAACCTCTGCCGACCCAAACGGGTCCAATGAGCAGAACTGGAGAGTCAGTTCAGGATCCAGTCCAAGAACTTCTTATGTAGCTGTCATAAAAATAACCAGAGCACACGCATGTCTATGTTTTTCTCTCAGAGAAAATTGATTTTTAACTGTAGAACCAAATGATAAATGTAAAAATAAAAAATTGTTTTCAAAGATTTCAAAACTATTTTAAACCAGTTAAAATGAAACATCAACCAGAATCCAGCAGAGTTAGACCTGCACAAATGTTGCTTCAGAGACGTCTGGACACTAAATGATAAACCGGCTTGCCGTATTTGGAGCTTTTTGTTGTTGTCATGAGCAACAAGTCCATCGTTGTTTGTCTTTTAAAAACAGATTTTACACCAAAACAATTCTCCAAAAACATCACTGAAACAATTAATCACAACTTTATTGGGGCCCCGGTACGTTGGGGCCCCGGTACGTTGGGGTCCCGGTACGTTGGGGCCCCGGTACGTTGGGGTCCCGGTACGTTGGGGTCCCGGTACGTTGGGGCCCCGGTACGTTGGGGTCCCGGTACGTTGGGGTCCCGGTACGTTGGGGTCCCGGTACGTTGGGGTCCCGGTACGTTGGGGTCCCGGTACGTTGGGGTCCCGGTACGTTGGGGCCCCGGTACGTTGGGGCCCCGGTACGTTGGGGTCCCGGTACGTTGGGGTCCCGGTACGTTGGGGCCGACAGCTTGCAGCCTGTCTCTGACCTGCAGCTCTGATGCTCCACAGCTCCATGTTTAAACCAGATGAAATAGTTTCCACACTAATATCAATGTTATATATCAGTGTCAGAAGGAAGGATCCCGTCCAAGATGGCCGCCATCTTGGACAGCTAGTCTCATCTGCTCCACGATGTGCTGAAGCACAGAAAGTCATGTCTGCCTGTTGCCATCACGTTTTGCCCCAGTTTGAGCTGAAAATGACATTTTTTTCTGCACTCATTTATTAATATATTGCATGTGATTATTTATGTATTAATTAATTTGTTTGTTTATATCTAGTCATTTTGAAATGATCAGTCTAAGATATATTTATATTTTACAAACTTTGTATTTATTACCTAAGATAGCTTTCAACAAATAAGCAATTTTCCCCTGGGGATCAATAAAGTATATTCTATTCTACTCTAATCAGCTGCTGCGGGAACATTTACTTTAATAGGCCGTTTCTGCCTGATGGAGATGCATCGTCTCCGACCGTTTGATCAACTCTCCACAGAGTTTTATTTCTTACAACAACATAAGATTTGATCATTTTAAGCTAAATTTTCTTTAAAATTTCAGCTCCTTCAGATTCGAGGTATTCAACATGGGGGTCGCAACCCCTTGGTGGGTCACAGCTGTACAACCACAGGCGTTGAGAAATTCTCATGTTTTTCTTTTGAAATTTGATGTTTTGTCTTAAAGTACGAACTCTAAATGTATCAAGATGAGGAATAAAGTATTTTAGAGAGGATGAAAACATCCAGCGAGTGGAAATCTGCTCATCAGGTTGAAAGTTCAAGTTTTTTCATAATACTGGGCCTTATATTAATGGTTGTGATAAAAATATGAAATAATGAAAAGACGAGTTATTTGTATTAAATACACGATAAAGACACGGTTTTATGGTTTTACGTTTGGACTCCTGGAGTCCCACCTGGCCGAGTGTTTGGACTCCTGGAGTCGTTCTGCAAACAGCTGTTTTTATTCAGATCGACTTCCTGCCAGCAACTGGGAGGTTCTGGTCCGGTTTGAAACCAGCCGACCCGGTTCGTCTCAGAGCCTCGGTCCAACCTGGAAACCAGCAGCTGGATTTCCTGGAACTGGACTTCCTGGAACTGGACTTCCTGGAACTGGACTTCCTGTGGGAATGTCCTTCAGGTCCTCAGGTTCCAGAACCAGAACCCGTTCTGCTGAGGAGACCCTGCAGGAAACCATCCCAGGATCACCTGAGACTCTGCAGAAGAAGGTCAAACTCTGATCTGACGTCATCCAGCTGCTCAGTGACGTCACCAGGAAGGTGATTACAGGCCGGAAGCTCCGCGCTAATCAATCTCAGTGACTGACAGCTGATCAGCATCCTCAGCGTGTGCGCTGTGTCGGTCACGCGGGCCGGTGAACGCGTGCGTATCTGCGCGTGCGTGTGTGCGCGTGCCGGTGTGCGCGTGTGCGTGTCTCTCACGGTGTTCCGGAGGTCCTGCAGCGCTACGCTCATCCTGGAGCTGCGAGCCGGAGAGCAGCGCGCTACGGCCGGCCCATCCTCCCCGGGCTGTCCGCCTCTCCGCTGGTTCCGCTGGGTCCGCTGGGTCGGTGTGTCCGCCGCTGCCGCTGGATCAGAACCGGGACCGGGACCGGGTTCGGGATCGGGACGTGTTTCTGCTCTCTCCTCTCTGCCTCTCCGTGACTCCTCAGACCCCGCCCAACATCCAACCAGCCGCTTCCTCTCACAAACAAACACACCCCGAGACACACGGGGACTGACGTCATCACACGGCCTACGTCACCTCCTCCAGCTCCCACAGTTATCTATCCATCTATCTCTGTGTTCTGGTTCTGGTGGATCCGGGTCAGTTGGATCTATCCATTGATGGTCAGAACCTCAGCAGAACCTGAAGTTCTGCTGCTTTTGTTTCAGTTTTATCTCCAGTTTCATGTTTTTTCCTCCTAACTTTCCTCTTTTTTCATTTATTTATTATTTATTGGTTTAATGTTGATTTTATTCCCTTCATTCTGACCTGGAGTTTGTCCCAATTTAAATATTTTTTCTTTATATTTTTATTTATTCATTTATGATTGAATCCAGACTTTATTCCTGTTTTTATGTCCTGATTTTGTTCTGCTTCTATTTTCTTTATCTTTTTGTTTCTTTGTTTATTTTCACATGAAAAATGATTTATTTTAGTTTTAATCTTTTGTATTTTTTCTTGTTTTTATATTCTTGGTAAGAACCTGATTTAATTCAGACTTTATTCTGATTTTTCTTTTTCAGGTTTTCTTCCACAAAATATTCATTTTATTTGTTTTTAATATTTTCTTCTGTTTTTTTTATTTTTATTTTTTATCTATCTATCCTCCTGACTCCATCTTTGTTGATGGTAATTCTGAGGAGAAAGTTGGGAATTCTCAGCTGTCAGTGGATCGGGACCAGAACCAGAACCTGGTCAGGGCCTGGGCAGGGATTTGAACTTGCAGCTGATTGTTCTGGTTTCAGTCGAAGGTTCTGCAGAGTTCTACTTCCGGCTTCCTGTCACCTGGACAGGTGCGGCTCTGCAGCAGCTCGGAATGCCACCCAGCGGGAAGCATAAATGTCCTGATTGCACCTGAAGGCATCAGGGGGATTCCGCCAGGAGCCTCTGAGAAGATCCAGAAGCGTAAACAATTCTGCCCCCTGCCGGCAAAAAGCTGGAACTGCAACGACGGAAACAGACTGAGGCTTAAAAAAATATTTAAACTGACTAAAAATATATCTCTCTGATAGAAAGACAATATTTTCTTGGTCGTTTTATGTTTCATTTTTCTGGTGAGAAATATTTAAGCGTTACTGTTAGCAGAGTTAGCTTAAAACTAAATATTTAGATCCAAGATAAATGTCTGGAGATGAGTGTTTATCTCTCAAGCTAAATATTAAGCTAGTGAGATAAATATTTAGCTTCAAACAAAAATAATTAGTAAGCAAACTGAATATTTAGTTTGAAGCTGAATATTTAGTCTTCTAACTAAAGGTCAGTTTTTGGCCTGACCTGCTGACCTGATCTTCTTGTTGTGGCTCATTAACTGGGAATCAGTGACTAACCAATAGCAACTCTCACCTGGAAGTAATCAGAAAGTTTAGGCTTCAGAGCTTTTAAAGGGTGAGAAGAAGAGCGGGGTCAGAGGTCAGATCAGTCCGATGCAAGTGGAAACATCTCCACCTACTGGACATAATAAACTTACAGTCAAATAATAATTTGAATTATTCAGGCTGAAAAAATGGTTTCATTTTCAAAGTCATATTTTCACAGTTTGAAACTAAATACCAGTGTAAATATTTAGTTAAACTAAACTTTTACTTCGCGAATTAAATGTTTAACTCAAGGCTACATTGATAAACATTTAGTCAGTCTGACCATCAGACTGATCAGGTTAGGGTTAGGGTTAGGTTAGGGTTAGGTTAACCCTCTCCCCAAGCCCAGTTGGTTCTGTAACAGTTAAACTGTTGGACCTGGAGCTGTTCGGTTCTGACTTAGTGGATCCGGCCACTAACTCAGTAAAAAGGGGTTGACTCTGTAGTTTCAGAGTCAAATTGTGAAATATTTTCCTGGTATTGAACTCGATTTGTCTTATTTCCTAAAAGTCTTTGGTTTTGTTCTGGTCTCCCTCAGTCTCGGTCTCAGCCCAAACCGTCCTGGTATCGACTTGGACTCGATATATTCGGGTCTTGGTCTGGACTCAGTCTTGTCTTCACTTCCTGTTTTCCCCTATGATGTCAGAGCTGGTCCTTCAGCTGTACAGTGATGAAGCCTGATGTTCTGGCCTGGTTGGGTTCGGTTTGGACCAGAACTCAGCTGACGTCACTCAGGATCAGACACACACATCATTTTAATGAAACATCCTGAAATCTGTGAGCAGCAGCTCATCAGCTCCTCCCAGCCTCCTCCATTCCTCCTCCATCCTCTGCGGCGTCAGGAGGAACGTCTGAAAGAGCAGCTCTTCATCGGCACCTTGTCGCTCGGCAGAAGAAAAACAGCAGCTGCGTCTCTGAAAGAGACCAAGATGAAAACGTTCGTGGTGGCGGCGTCTCGCTCTCGCAGCTTTTTGTTCTCAGAGAGACGGAGGCGACAGGAAGCTGAATCGTCTTAACCTGCCAGTTTGACAGGAAAATACAGAAACACCAACAGCCTGGTGATATGTGAAGGACGACTGGTGCTGAGCAGAGGAACTGAGGAACTGAGGAACTGAAGAGCTGAGGAACTGAAGAACAGAGGAACTGAGGAACTGAAGAACTGAGGAACTGAGGAACTGAAGAACTGAGGAACTGAAGAACTGAAGAACTGAAGAACTGAGGAACTGAGGAACTGAAGAACTGAAGAACTGAGTAACTGAGGAACTGAAGAACTGAGGAACTGAGGAACTGAAGAACTGAGGAACTGAAGAACTGAAGAACTGAGGAACTGAAGAACTGAAGAACTGAAGAACTGAGGAACTGAGGAACTGAAGAACTGAGGAACTGAAGAACTGAAGAACTGAGGAACTGAAGAACTGAAGAACTGAGGAACTGAGGAACTGAAGAACTGAAGAACTGAGGAACTGAAGAACTGAGGAACTGAAGAACTGAAGAACTGAGGAACTGAGGAACTGAGGAACTGAAGAACTGAGGAACTGAGGAACTGAAGAACTGAAGAACTGAGGAACTGAGGAACTGAGGAACTGAAGAACTGAAGAACTGAAGAACTGAGGAACTGAAGAACTGAAGAACTGAAGAACTGGGGAACTAAAGAACTGAGGAACTGAAGAACTGAAGAACTAATGAACTGAGCAACTGAAGAACCAAAGAACCAAAGAACTGAAGAACTGAAGAAGTGTTTTTCACTGTTAGCAGAGAAAAACAAAAGAAAAACCTCACATATCCTCTATTCCAACATCTTTCTAACCAAAACAGCCAGACAGATTTAAAGAGAAGCAGAAAAGCAAAGGAGGTGGAGCAGCAGAGCAGATGGAGTCATCCAGGACATGTTGGTGTGGAATATTGTCTCTGCTGCCTGAAAATGTTAGCTGCTGTTAGGTTGGCAGGACGGGATTCAGTCAGAGGCTTCTTTGGATTTGTTGTAAGACTGACTGCTACAGCTGCAAAGGAAACAAACGGGGCTAAACTCAGAGAGGCTGAGCTGAACTCAGGGGGGCGGGGCTAAACCCAGAGAGGCTGAGCTAAACTCAGGGGGGCGGGGCTAAACCCAGAGAGGCTGAGCTAAACTCAGGGGGGCGGGGCTAAAACCAGAGGGGCGGGGCTAAACTCTACCAGATTCAAACTTTAAATCTCACAGTGTTTGTTCCTTCAGGAAGCAGAACCTTGCAGAGCGAACCGAACCGCCTCTCAGGTCAAACTGTGGCTCCGCCCACTTTCCGTATCGCCAGACTGCAGATCGACCCGAGGGCACGGTGCTTTACCCACAATACACCAGGGTTAAACTCGGATCCAAATCTGCTGACACGCGATAACGTAACCATGGCGACCAGCTTTGTTTCTGTCCCACTAGTCTGACTGATGGCAGCCTGACCTTTGACCCCTTTGAGATGGGATGACGTTGTCATGCTGTGTGTGTGAGATGCTTCCTCTAGACGCTGATTAGTTTTTGTTTCCAATGAATCGACTTTTTAAGGTGAGAAGCGGCATCAGCATCTATTCACACACACACACACACACACACACACACACACACACACACACACACACACACACACACACACACACACACACACATTGAGCTGCAGTGTGTGTTCCAGTAAAGCTTTCAGCTGTAATTAAAGCTCATCAGAGTTTATTAGAACGTTTGAAACGCAGCCGTCTGATTGGCTGCTGGGCTCTTTGTGCGTCTGCAGCTGCAGCTTCCTGTTAGTGGAGAAACGCTGAGTTCATGAAGACACCTGCAGCGCGCCGCTGGCACCGCAGAGTTCAGCTCTGGACCCATTGAGCAGCAGAACCTCAGAACCGGCTGCAGTCGACTGAAACGTTACGAAACGCAACGTTTTCGTAACGTTGCGTTTTCATCTCAAACCAAACTGAGTTTTTACATCCAAAATCAGGACGCAGTGATCAGCCATGCTGAGAAAACCACAGAAATAAAGTCATAATAATGCAAAAAATAAAGTACAAAGAACAGTAGCTTGGCATACTGAATATTACAAGAATGAACTCGAAATAATAGACAAAAGAAAGTCATAATAAAATGAGAATATTATGTGAATAAAGTCAATATAATTAGAATAAAGATGTATGAGGAAAAAGTCAAAATATTAGAATAGTCATAACAAAATCAGAATACAAAAATGAAATCAGAATATTACCAGAATAAGTGAAATGACAAAAAATGTCTTAATATGATGAGAATAAAGTCCTGACATTTGGCCGATGAAAAGCTGCTACTGGAGGAGGGGCTTAGCGCTGTCAATCACCCTGGTGTAATGCTCTGTAAGTGGCGGCTATGCTAACTAGCTTAGCATCCTGACGGCGTGTTGACGACCTCACAGACTGTCCGTGTGAAACGCTGTCACGTTGCCTTAATTCAGTTTTTTTCAGTATTTTTGAACCTCCATGTTTTTGCTCGTCACTTTGCTGCTAAATTTTCTCTCTGAGGAAAAATAAATGATATTTATATTTCTTATTGGAGTTTTGTGTTCATGTTCTGTTCTTGTTTGTTGATACAAAAATGACAAAATAAAATGTTTTTTTAAAAATAAATGTGATTTTCTGGGT